TAAGCTATTTAATATCGAAATAAGATTTCTACGTTTACGAGTTAAAAGGCCTTAACTAATTAGAGAGCTTTATTTAATTCTTTATTAACTTTAAATTCGACTTTTTTTTAGTCTTATAACTATACTAGTTAGCTATATTATTACTATTTAATTATTTCTTTATTAATTCTCTTTATTTTTAAAACTTCTAATATTTATAGATATATACTATTAATAATATATTAGCGAGACGCTTAGAGTATAATATCATTATCGCTATCACCGTCGCTATTACCGCCGCTATCGCCGTCGAAGAAAGATACTCTTAAGAATATATTAAAAAAGTATATTAAACTATATTATTTCTTTAACTAGTTATCTATCTAATTTCTAAAGTTATTTATATATATTACCTCTATCTACTCTTATATTAACTCTCTATTTATTTATCGTTATTAATATATCGATTAATAAAGATCTACTATCTATTTACTTTTATTTCTTTATATTAGATATAATTTTAATATTAGAACTTTTTCGCTTATAAAGCGTTATTATAATTTTTATAACTAAGTTAATCTTCTTAGCTCTATTCTCTTATACTTTTATTTTTATAATCTTTTATCTATTTATCTTCGCTATAGTTTTCGTATCTCTTATCTTCACCTCTTTTATCTTATTTATTATATAAATCTTTATTTATTTAATTACTTCTTTAGTTATTAAGACTTCTATCTTTCCCTTATCGATCTTAATCTACTTTTTCTTCTTCGCTTACTTAATATTTAATCTCTTATTAATTATAGTTATTCTCTCGAATTAACGTTTAATAAGAGAATAAAGCTTAAATTTATATTTATTTATCTAGTATAGATCTTATTCTATTATTAATATTAAGAAGTCGTTAATAATAATAATAATATCGACTTATTTAGTTTATTTCTATACGATATTCACGTCTAGAAAGATATTCGACTCGATAATATTAGTAATATTAATTTTACTATATTTTTATTTATATTTCTCTTAATTCTATTTAAGTAATCTCTTATATATATTAATTATCCTCGCGTTTAATATATAATTTTTTATACTTATCGAGTCTTTAAATTATATATTTAAGATTCTTATAAATATAATTTTTTTATAATAATTATAGTATCCGATAGAATAGACTACTATAATCGATTTAGTCTTATCGAAATACTTTAAAAAGAATTCTCGAATATAATTACTCTAAAATCGATTAAGAATAATATATTATTCTTTTAGTATATTCACTCGCTTTCTAGCTTATATTTTTTTTATATTTATTATAAAAGTAGCTAAATTCTCGAATAATAAATTAATTAGATTATTCTCGATAAATTATATAAAGTTATTATATAAATTTAATACTTAAACTATACGACTAGCTCGCTACTATATACTTAAGAGAGAATAAATATCTTTAGATAATAATTATTATATAATAAGATATATATCGAGGTTATTAATATTTATATCGAAAGCGTCTATAATAATAAGAAGTCTAATTATCGAATTTAATCTCTTAAATTCGATAGCTATAGTTTTTAACTTCTCTTTATTTATTTTATTATTATAAATATAAAAGAGTCTTTTCGCTTCTTTTTTTATCTAATTTATATTAAGATACTATCGAGTTAACTAGTTAATAATATTATAATTAAGTATAATATAATTAATATATAAAATTATCTTAGTAGATATATAACTCGATAGCTATATTAAAAAACGAAGATCTTTAAACGAGCTCGATTTATATTATAGAGATTTAATATTAAGTATAATATTCTCGTAATTAATAAAAATCTTTATAATCTTAATAAGCGTATCGTTTATAAAACTAATACGTAATCGATAGATATTTAATATCTAATTATCTAACGTAGCCGAGATTTCAAATTATAATATATTAAAAATTAATATTCTTATTTTATAAAGTTTACTATATTTAAAATGAAAGCTATTATCTTATTATTATATTATATATATCTTATTAATAATAATAAAACTAAGTCGTAAGATAAATTCTATATTCTTTATAATAATTATATAAAAGTTCTTATTATCTATAAAAATCTCGAGATTAATAAGAATATATATATAAATACCGCTAACGATATTATATAGATTTTTATTCTTATTAATCTAAGTATTTAGAATAAAGACGCTAATATTAAATAATATATTAATCTTTAATTACTAATCTAACTTTAATATATTAAGTAAATATATAAGAATCGCTATACTACTCGGTTTTAATAAAAATAAAGAGTAAAAAATAAGACTCTTTTTAAAGCCCGTTTTCGCTATTAGAATAGCGTTTTTATTATTAAATAAATAGCGAATCGTATATATCTATTTCTTTTTAAGCCTATTTTTAGCTTTATTAAGATTTATTTATTATTATTAACTTTATAAGATAATTAGAGTATAATATTACTCGCTCTCTATATTAACTATATATTTCGAGACGTAAATTATAACGTAACTAATCTCTACTATTATATTAAAGATAAAATAATAAATATTAGAATTTAAAGTAATATAAGAGAGGATATTAATATTACTAACGATATATAAGTTATTATTAAAACTATCGTAATTACTTAGCTCTTCCGCGCTTATATAATACTTAAAATTTTATTCTTTCGTAAGCGAAGAAGGGTTTATATCGTTATTTATAATTTGAGATTATATATAAACGTTAAAATATTCTTTTTTTTACTTTTATATTCGAGTATTAAATACGAGTAAAGGCCTATGAATTAAATTCATAATCATTTTTTTGATCAGGGCTATCGAGTAAATAGGTGAGCGATCTTTGGTGAGCGAACTTTGGTGAGCGATATTTGAATTCCTTGCGCTTTAATGATTATAAGACAAATTTTTAAAATTCTTAAAAATTCGGAAAGCGCAAATAGCGCTTCAAAATTTAAAACAAAAATTTCAAAATTTCAATAGAAAACAAAAAAGTTATTACTATTGTGAATAACGTACATCTATTTTTTTGATGTGGGAGGCGCGGGAGGGCGAGATTTTGATGGTTGCGGACGCTAATTTATTTACCCGCGATGACTCAGCTGGTCTAACCAAAGAGCGTAGTGACCCTGAATTTATGATTGGCTGCACATACAAATTCAAGGTTTTCAAGCTCAGCCCTACCTTATTCTATTATATATACTGATATAACTTTTTTTCTTTACTCTAGAACTAGTTCGCTAAATATTTTAAAACTTCGTATTTATTAGAAGAAAGAATATTTCTATAAGTTATAAAGAGGTTAATATATATAATTTAAAAATATCTCGCTATTATTATTAAAGAGAAAATCGCGTATCTAAGCGCTTCTTATAGTCTTTTTATTCGCTTTAATTTATTTTAAATACGTTAAACGCGTTAAAACTATTTAAAATATATATTTTATACTCTCTTTAACTTTTAAGTAATATATCTTCGAGTTAATAAATATATATATAGAGGAAATAACTTTAATACTCGATTTCTATTAGATATTAATACGATTAAATTTATAATTTAATTATTATACTTAACTCGTTATATAATCTTTTAATAATACTAAATATAATACGTTATTATCTAAAATTTAATTATCGAAAAGTAATTAATTAAAGATAGATATTATAATCGTTAGCGGAGAATATATATTCGAATAAGCTTATATAATAATAACGAGCTATTTAATTATAATAAAAAGTTTATATACTTATTTAACGATCTCGAAAGATCTATTAGCCTCTTAATTAATATTAAAAGACTATATAATAATAACTAAAAAAATAAAGGAAATCGCGATTTTCTATTAACGAGGTAATTATTACGATAAAAATAAAAAAATATTTAATATAAATTTTTTTTGTTGTTTTTTTTTATTTTATTTTAAAGGGGGGGTTTTTTTTTTTTGTTTTTTTTTTTTTTTTCCCTTAAAGGGGGAAAGGGGGGTGGGGGGGGCCTATGGTTCCTCGGCTAGCCGTGAGTCTAAATTACTGAGACTACCACCGTCGTCCTCGAGTGAGGGATAACGTCACGCCAAGACGCTAAAATTCTAGCCGGATAACTTATTTCTGGACGGCACGAGTACTCGTGGATTCCAGAAGTGAGTTACTTGATAGAGCGAGGACACCAATAGATATTTCCACTCAGCGGCATGTTGCTTGATCTATTGGTGTCCTCGCTCTATCAAGTAATTTTTTTTTTTTCCCACGTTTTTTTTATTCAGAAGTGAGTTCTTTGATAGAGCGAGGACACGAATAAATACTTCCACCGGTGCACTTAGCCGAATATCGGTTAATCTATTGGTGTCCTTACTCTATCAAAGAACTCACTTCTGGATTATACGAGTACTTTAGTCATTACGCAAGACCGAGGCTTTTCCCGCCGCAGCCAAGCCACGGCGCTATCCTCGGCCTTGCGGGGCCGAAAAGCCAATCAAATAGCAGGAGCGTCAATCATGCCTTCTAGCGCACATCTGCATTGCATCCATGATCCAACCTCTGGCCATGTGGGTAGCTGCAGGGCATGGAAAAGCTAAGCTTTAAAGTTTAAATATTCTTTCTCCGTCTGCAGTTGCTTCCAATCTCCGCAGATCACGGTGGCAATTGGCAACTGGCACCAAAGCCAACAGTATCCAACCTCCTAGTTCCAACTACTGCTAATTGGCTCGGAACCACAAGAGATCCGATGGCTATGATCCTTACCTCAGATCCTGCAATCCTTTCCTCTCCACCCTCTCTCTTTCTCTCATCTAATAACACAACTGTTTCTCAACTCTCCGCACGTCCTTCGGCTCTGCCTGTACCCAACATTCATCATCCTGGAAGCTTGACGTCAACTTCCTGCCTTATTGATCATCGCACCGTCTCTGCTCTTCTTACTTTGAAGCTTCAGGTATTCAGATAGCGATCTGTAAATTGTCCACGCGTGAAGCTTCAATCGTCACAACATGCGGTCTTGATGATGTTTGATTGCCCTCCACCATGTCAATTCTCTTCTATAAACGCCCTGAATACGTCTTGCGACACAATGGACCACTCGCAGAGTGCTCACGCAAGGGAGGGACCCCCCAGGATTGTAGCGCTGCTGCCATCCCCCCGGAGCTGTCCTTCGAGAACGTCATATGTAACAAGTGCTTGCCTCCATGCAGCTTGCAAGATTTCCTCGACTACCTCACCTACGTGACACGTGATGCCGAAAATCTCCAATTCTATCTTTGGATGGTGGACTATTTCCAGCGATTTCGCAATGCCCCCAAGTCAGAAAAAGAGCTCTCACCGCCGTGGAAAAATGGTCCCTCGCAATCCGCGTGCAGACCAAACACCCAAATGCCGGTGAAGGGCTCGACTCCTCTCGTCGCAAAGGAGATCGATATGCACAGCGAGGACATTTCGAATGGCTCCACGTGGGAGGGGGATCAATCAGAGGATTATGCAGATGATCATAGCCAGACACTGAATTCGGTGAAGTTTGGCATGTCGCCAATAAACCCGCCGGTCAAGCACAGCCATGAGAAGTTCGCTCCACAGCAGTGGCAGGTATCGCCTCAGAACCAGCCGTTTCGCTCCGAAATCAATAGGATCGTCAACCATTACATCGCTCCAGGCAGCCCACGAGAGCTGAACCTCTCTCACAACAACCGTGCTATCGTTCTCCAGGCTCTTGAGCACACCACCCACCCCTCGGCTCTTACATTAGTCAAGAGAATGCTCGATTCAACATTACGGAATCAGTCTCATCCGAACTTCGTCCGATGGTCCATCTGCAATGGTAACAAACAATGGACCGTCGCTCTCCGTGCCTTCGCCATCATGAACATTCTGATAGGATTTGCCATTGCCATAGCCCTCACCCTTTCGAAGTACTCGCGCTGGTGGCGTATCTTTGCTGCTTTCGAATGGTGGTTTGGTACCACCAATATCATAGCAGCCTCTCAAGGTCTTTGTGTCCTTCTGCACAGAATGCACACTCGGCAATACCACGCATGGGAAACGAAAGACTACACAAATGATGACGACGAAGCAATGCTCAAAGGCTTGGATATCAATTTCATAAACTACGAAAGCACCAAGTCGAAATGGCCGGTCAAGATGGAGGTGTTTGGGCCGGCGAATGACTATGGTGATGAACCTTGGGTGGACCATTATTCGCGGAAGGCCTGGTGGAGGAAATTGTTTGAGAGAAGGATCCCCGTGCAGGAGAATGGACTGAAAAGCATTCAAAATCGTATGATACGTCAGGCGGAGGCATGGGCGCTTCTGATTACTATTCCACTTACAGTCGCATTCGTGGCGATACCTAAAGGGAACTTATACCCTTCATGACGCCCAGTAAAGACGCGAGAGCTGGGCTCTGACCGTGTCGTTCTTCATTTCCGCATCACACGGAGTCAACCGCGGTCATTTGTCTAAGGCGTCACAAGGATACCCATAGATCGAGGCATTTTGCACAGCATTAGCACTACGGCCAATACAGGACGAAATAATGCGAAATGACCATTCTGAAGGTGGCTGGACATATGTCAGCATAATACTAATCGACTTCGTTTCCACTCAGAGACACCCTGGGCACCATTCGGTTTAACTGTCATGCTGCCCTCGTCCAAGACAGCAATGGACCCCTTGTTCGATGTTGTTCCTCACTCCACGAGAAAGCTATTCTGCCCAGGACCGTAGCAGAGTCATCTAGCCAACTTTGGATATCCTCGAGACCTCAACCGAAGAAGCGAATGAAGTAGAAAGAACGGGATAGATGGGAGGTCAAGAGAACGGTTGGGACAACAGATCGAGAGATCTTGGAGCATTCGTCGTAGCTGAGGGCGACGCATGTGGAAGGAATCCTTTAGAAGCTTGTTCTGCGTTCTACAGTCCTCGTTGACTGGGCGCTTGAGGCAGTGCACAGTAACAGCAAGACAGAAATCCATGAGCGCTTGTGGTGGTTGTGAATGCTCTCTAGATTAATCTACGTAGACTGTCGTTAATAAAGATGATGGCACAGGTCCTTGACTCCTTCGATGTGTTTTACGGTATATGATTCCATACCAATTTCCAGGCGAGGCGACTGTAAGTTTGTAACCGAGCCTCCGAGCTGCGTACTCGTAATCTGGGCGCTTACTGTATCCCCATTGGTGCCATGTTCGTCATTGTGCTTGAAACTCTGCACCAACCAATTAGAAATCTCCGCACCCATCACTTCGGCGGCGCCGTCCCAAACGGTTTTGCCAAAGTCCCGTTGGCCCCAGAGCTGGGCGCCAGCGCGTATGCGACACAATAATGTCTCCGAATGGCGGCACTCTCCACGTAAGATTGTCATCACCCCTCTCTTTGCGACCGAACATACCTGCCATACATGACATACTTGACACAGACGCGATAGTACAAATATAATGACCTCGACGCACTCCAAGAGCAAGCTGCACGCATGAGTCAGACCCAATTGCTACAACTGGTCTACCGCAACAACATACCTGCGGCACCCAAACCCCCTCTTCTGGGCTGAGAGCACCAATTTTGGACTTCTTGCGCTGGCGTCAAGACCGAGAGGACTGGGATCGCATAAGCCAGCATATACACATTACTCATAGAACAAAGCTATCGCAATGGCCTCAGGCAACCAAAGATCCATGGCGCCAGCAGCGCGAGGAAACCAAGCAAGAGCAACCCCGCCGCTTCAGACAAGCAACAGTGACTCTAATCGCTACTCATTCATGGATACACCTGTCGAGATGCAGAGGCCCACCTTCCAACCATACCACCAATTCTCCAGTCCTACGAACTCTGTGATTGATGAGTCACCGATCAGCCCAGTGTCACCGACCAGAGGTCTGCCAGCCTACCAGCAGGGACCACAGGGAGCTATGACTTCGCCTATACCAGATCAGAAGGCGCAGGCGCAGAGTCCGCAGGAGATGCATCCGGCTTTCTTTGCACCATATAAAGAGGAACAGCCAGCGCAGCAACAGGCGCAACAACCTCCGGGCATCGCTCCCCGCAGAGAAGAGGCGCCAGCGCAACAGGCCCCACAGCCCCGAGTTGTTGGAGAGCCGCAGTCGCCGGGACCTATACCAATCAAGACACATGAAGCACCACCGCATTTTGCAGCGCCTCCGACCAGCAACAGCCCTCCGACCCAAAGTTCACCCGCTGCGCCAGAAACGAAGCGGGAAATCTACAATCCAGACTCCCTTTTTGGGCCGAACGGTGGATCGGAAACCCACCGTCCGGGCCAAGTCTCGCATCCGAATGCTGCAATAGACCCGCATTGGAGAACCGGCCTGTGCGAACCTGATACCGTGTGCTGCATGGGCATCATATGTCCCTGCATGGTCTACGGAAAGACCATGTACCGCCTATCTCGACGCGCGCAGAAACAAGATCCTACGGATATGCTAGGTTATGAGAGTTGCAATGGCTCTTGCGCGCTCATGTCTTTCGGATGTGGGTTTCAATCATTACTCGCAGCGATTCAACGGACCCGCATAAGGAAGCTATACCACCTCGAAGGCAGCTTCGGCACAGACTGTCTGAAAGCTTGCTGTTGTTGCTGCTGCGTCATCATGCAAGACGAGAGAGAAGTCCGTGAACGAGAGGAGCTGATACGGAGGCACGCCGGCCCGGCTGCAGGGGCATACGTAGCTCCCGAGGGGATGACTTATGCACCGCCGCCTCGATGAAGTCAACGAGGGGACGCTGTCAAGACGGCCTTTGGTGATACTCTTTCTCCGAGCATGACGATACAGCCTCTCATAAACACAATTGGATATACTGCAATCTCTTCAGCAAAAACCAACCCTTCCAGCGGAGCGAGCTTTTAGGATCATTCGCCCTTTCCTCCCGTCGGCGGTTCTGGACCATTGAAGTCGCGTCCAGATGCACGATTCCACAAGTCTGTACGGAAGCTTTTGGTGACATCCGGAAAGTTTATCCAGAGCTACCGATCCGACCGACGAGCTCTAGCACTAAGAAACCAGTGTGGACCGTTGGCCGTTTTGAAGCCCACGTTTTGCATCCATCTGGAATGTCACAAGCCCTGATCCAACGGGCCTTGCTGCGGTGATGTTGGAGCTTGCAAAGCCCGGGATCGCTTCTCTGCTATCGACAACGGCGATTGAAGGGGGTGTTTGATCAATGGGCCTCAAGCTGTCGGAAGAAAACAGCAGGGAATGCACGGAGGAAGTTGGCAGCTCTACTGCGATGCGATGGTCACGATGGACAGGGTTCCGCAAGGTTCAGAGTCGGATTTCATTCTCGAACGATGGAAACAGTATTGTTGTTGGTGCCATTGCATCTTTTAATGTGACAGCACATCCAAAGCTGTCCTCTACATGAAAAAAGCCTTACATCCAAACCAGGCTCTCTGACGGAGAGCTCCGTACGCTGTCCAAACCTACCCCCGTGCACGCTCTCATCGTCTATCCAAACCCTGTGATCTCATCGCCCGCTAGCCAACCTCGTCCTCGTACTGATGCCTAATCCCCCAGCGGCGACATCTCTAGGTTTCCCTTTCCCCGGCGTTCCCCTGCCTTTGGCTTTCCCATGACCCACGCCCATCTTCACATCCACTCTCTCCCTCCACGCTTTCACCGTCTCGTCTTCATAGCCCAATTGCGTCATTTGCAAGGGCGCCTCTTCGCGGTCCGGATCTTCTTGGTGCGCGCTCCAGATGGGTTTGATATCTGCTCTATCACCACTGTGAGTGTTCCTATTTTTGTCGAATTTGGTCGTGTTTGATGACTCGAGTGGGGTGCCGAGACCGTCGGTGTTCATCGTATCAACGCTGCTGGCGCGGGAGAGGTTGATGCTGTGGGATGAGAGATTGGATGGTGCCCGGCCGAGGAGCTGCCGCCGGCGGCGGTATGGGCGTGGCTGTTCTGACGAGGAAGACGCTGATGGTCCGGGGTTCGTGGAGGCGCGCTGGTGGTGAGCCAGGAGGGATGAGATGGCAGGTCCGAGGGAGGACGACGAGGTAGGATCCGGTTTCTGGGGTGACGGCATTTGCTCTGCGGATGCGGACGGTTGAGGTAGTTTCTCCGGTGAGATGGACCGTTTGGTTTGAGAGGTGTTGGGGGAGATTTCGTGGAGCGGACCCGATGCGGGGCGTAAAGTATGCGAAGAATCATCGTCGAGGTTGATATGGGCTGTCATGGTAGTGTCGTTAGTCGTCTTCGTGTCTGGTAGTCTGATGTGATTGATGCCCGATGGTCTCGTGGTTGAACCGGGTTTCGGTTGAACGACATGAATCTGTTCACTGGAGCTGGGTGTGTCTTTCATTAGATGTTTGTTCTCTCCGGCAGATGGCAATGATAGCTTGGTGGGTGTTTTCGATATCGTATCTGTTCTTTCTGAGCTCTTCTCACTCTTGCGAGATATGGCGGATTTGTCCTGGGGAATTGGAGCCTCCGCGTTTTTCAGTATTTGATTCGGATCTCGAAGTGGCTGGATGAGATACGGTCCAAATGGGATAGACTCGCCTCTTCGGATACAAACCCACAGCCACTCTGCTTTCACTGCGGGAATACCCCAGAGTTGGGCGTAGAGCAATTTTTCGTGTCCAGGGGTCACCGCATTGCACAATAGGACGGACGCTTTGGGAGTAAGGAATTCATCGTAAGTGGCGCCCATCAACTTGACGGCTTTAACCATGTGCGGCAGATCTATGCCCTGGAAACTAGTGGAGCAAATTGTGAAATCTTCGAAGCCTGCAATGGGAAAGTGCCGGAAGGGTGTGTTCGTCACACTTGCTTGAGGCTCTTCAAATTGCTTTCGGTACAGGCACCTCTCAACCCACATATCTGTCACCAGCACTGGCTGATGTTCGTTCTCAGATATTGAGGGTGAGTCGGGGTCAGAGCTTGTATGGGGAATCAGAATATAGCCGTTTCTAGGGGCACCATCTTTGGGTGCGGGAGGTAATTGGGAAGCGTCGTCGATGATCTCGGCCCCATGTGAACGCAAGTGCTCCTCGAGTATGGCAGTCTAGCTAATTATCATCCCCAGACTGTATAAGGAATGGGATGTTGCATACCTTCTTTCCGTCAAAACCACGAAGCAAGAATGTCTTCGCACGGAACAGGCCTTCCTGCTGTGGAGCTTTGCATAGAGTGGACGACAGGTTGGCCACGGATTGGCTTCTTTCCAAAGCATGGTAGCCAGCAGCTATCTGGCCGCAAGCGGACACCTTTGCTTGCGCAGCGTCTGGAGACTTGCGGTGATCAAGCGTCTCTCCCTGAGGTTCACCCCACGCGTTCGCCTTAATCTCTTCAACCTTAAGCTCTCCACCATTGATCTCGCTCCACAATCCATCATTGTGACTGCTCAGCCTCGCGCTCGCCGTCCTTCTCAGTTTCCTTGCGTTTGGCGGGATGATCTCCTCGTCTCGCGCTCGCTTCCCCAACGAATTTGTCGAAAAGGATTTCCGTATCCAAGCATTTCTGCCACGCTCTGAAGCTGGAAGCAGTAGATCGTATAGACCTTCTTCCAGGATCATGCCCCTCTCAAGACTCTGCTCCAACCATTCGACGGAAACCGTTTTGATACCCCACTGACCTGCGTAACCGTACTTTGCGCCTGATGCCACCTTCGCGATGAGATGTGTGACGTCCTTTGTAAGGTCTCCTCGGTAATCGCCGCCGTTGTCGTTGATGAGATCTTCTAGCCCCTTGCGGTATACCACTATGGTGAGACTCAGCTTTTGTAATTTCACCTAATGCGCAGTCTTCATACGTACAATCATCGAATCCAGTAACGCAAATCCTAAGCCCCATCAAAGTAGGCAGTCTGTGTGCAAGCTCAAGAGCGACAGTATCGGTTTCCCCGCCCTCCATCCATGATGCTCGTACAGCGTCGACCCAGCTCGGTAAAAGGCATCTAACGTCAGGCCGTTCCTTTGCAACGAACTTGTACTTTGGCGTGTCCGTGTCGCCAACGATTAGGTGGGTCACGTCGGATGTGAGGTCGAATTTGTGAATGGCGCCCATCTGGGACGCGATTACCGCCAACTGTGACTATTTGAGAGATTGAAGTTATTAGCAAGAAAAGCAGCGACCCTCCCTCTTATGGCTGGTGATGCAGCTGCTGAGAGGTCAGATTCACTTACGCGCCTTTCTGGTTCAATGGATGTGCAGCATATAATGACCCCAAGCAGGGGCAATTGAGTGTCTGCCATATTTGCGAGCCCACATGGAGTCAAATCATTGCGTTCCCTGCATTGTCGTTGAAGTCGCAAGATATGCTGCTAGATTCTCATCATGGTGAAGCGGAGAAGCGCGTTGAAGCTCGACCGAAGTTTACGCGCGAAACCAAGTCACGTGCCAGATATTGCGCATGGCAATCTTACCACGAGTACGGTAGGTGTAGCTTGTTCTTCTACGGTACAATGAGTTTATACTGTTATTCGGACCAAATACCGACCAGGCCGATGATGAACTGGCAAGTTGGGAATAAGTCCAACGTGCAGGATATCAGACAATGGGCATTCTTCGGCACTGCTGTGGGACCGGTTGGTTCTCCGTGAGTCGACGGCCTGACGGAGGGCGTTGATGAGATCATCTCGATCATGCCCACAAAACACCCTTAGGGGGTACCTACGGTACTTTAGATGCATAGAAAGAGCCCCTTTTAATTAAAGCTTGGTTGAAAGCTCGGCGACCCTCTGGCGTTAAAGTATTCTAAAACTACCTACCTTACGCGTGGCCCACAATCACCAGATGATACTTGTACTATATACTGCGTTCTGCTGATCCTCCTTTACTCCTCTTGTCAGACTTGTTGATTTTGTGCACTCGTATTTTGAAAGCCTGAAAGCTTGTTCTGCTGATACAAATCAGTTGAAGAAAGAATTGCGGGTAATACGTGGTTGGTAAGGTACGGATAGACTGTATAATGGTTTGTATTTGTAGTAGAGAAGAGTGTTCTGCCAGGCCATGTAAAGTAAAGCTTTACAAAAGTAGAGACTCCATCCTCTCTAGTGCTCCATCAATCATCAATCATCAATCATCAATCATCAATCATCAATCATCAACATCTGGATTAGAGTTGACTTTCTGCCCGTGGCTCCCGAAAGGCTTCGTCGGCTGTGACGGTCTGATCTGAGCATGTGAGTGACCTCACCGCAGCAAAGTCATGCATTTCTATTTTCCCATAACAACTGCATGGACGTAGCATCCGATCTCTCCTTCTTAAAGACTCCTTCCTCCAAACTTCTTTCAATCGAGTGTAATATGATTCTAAGAGACAGCTGTGCAATTTAAATTTCTCGAATGTCATCAATGACACGCATCATCTAAAATCCTTGCATTTCTCTTCACCCTGCCGATGCCGAGAACCTGCTTTTCCCCCATAGCTTCAAGGGACAGTCCCTAGCCATTCCTGCACTTTTTCTGCAATTCAATAACAAAACCGGAGTCTTGGATCCTCCCATGACAATTGCTTCCTTCCGCGTCAATCCGCCTTCGTCCAGAGTGTTCGCAGCCTTGAAACGCCTTTAAAGCAGATACCCGCCCCTGGAAAGAGCAGGAGCCCGTGCATACCTGGACCTGTAGCGACTCGCACTTGCTGTGTATGCCCCTTGCCTGTAGGTCCGAGACATTCCGTACGTACAACAAATTTGTTCTTGCCCCCACATCCATCTCTTTTGGGAATTGGCATTCTCCCTGTTTTGCACATTCCATTATCTTGATTCATTCTACAAGTGTATGCCTTCACCTTCACTGACTTGCGAGATTCGTCATGACAGGCTACCTAGAGCTCAAATCCCGCCGCGGCCGCCTTTATTATCGCCCTCCTAGCCATTGTGCCCAGATTGACGAACCTCCATTGAGCTACCTTCGGTCTCAAGCCTCCCGACACCAATTGTTTCAATTCTCGCGAATATCCACGGATTTTCGCGTATCCGATCCTAGCACAAAGCGCATTTGGGAAAGCTTTGCAGGGAATACTCTGGTCAAGTCAAAAGATCAAGCGAAACGGCTTTTGCATTCCTGGTCGTCACCTGCGACAAAGCCACCGTCATCCATATTTACTCGCCACCCTACTTCTACAAACCTGTTCAGTGGAGCAGCCATGACATCTGCTGACGAGGCCAGGAGGGGAAGTGTGAGACCTAGCTCCACGGTAGGTGGACCGATCAGTGGAATGATTCATCGGCCTTCGCTTGTTCAAGATGTACGGAGGGACTCCGCGAACTCACTCTCTAGCAATGGCAGCAGTGTCGCTACCATACCCAATATGGGGATGGAGAAGCCGATAGCATCAGGTAACGGCGTTTCCCTATCAATCGCATTGGCGGAACCAGTCCTCTTTCTACAAGGGATGGACCAGTCCGAGTTGGGGAACCAGACAACGACAATGCTTAGAGGAACCTTTCACTTAAGGGTGTCGAAAAGTGCTAAAATCAAGACAATATCATTGGCTTTCCGAGGTCGAGCTGAAACAGAATGGCCAGAGGGTGAGGCTCCTTGCACACTTATCTTGCATATACGGCATAGGTCTAATTGCGTGATTTTAGGTATTCCACCACGGAAGACCGAGTTCAAGGATAGGGAAAGCATCATGAACCATACATGGCCTTTTTTCAACGCACAATTTCAGACAGCAGAATACGGTTCCGGGGCAGATCATGTCAAACCACTCAAGGGCCCTTCAACAACAACCACTGAAATTGGTGTCACAGATTCCTCTCTTGAGACGCTTCACCGGAAGTCAGCGAACATCAATTTAAGCGTCAAGGACGCGAAGAAGCTGTCGTTAGCAGTCGTCCAGTCAAGAAGTTTTGGTAGAGACGACAGAGCCAATGGTGGCTCAAGTGTTGCCCAGAAGGGCTATCGCATGTTCACTCCCGGGGATTACAGCTACAATTTCGAGCTGCCTATCGACTCTCGCCTTCCAGAGACAATATCTGTCGATCTCGGTTCAGTCAAGTACGAATTAGAGGCCACTGTTGAAAGAGCTGGGGCTTTCAGAGCGAACCTTGTGGGGTCCAAAGAAGTCACCTTGATCCGCGCTCCAGCAGAAGGGTCTCTGGAGCAGGTTGAGCCTATTGCCATTTCGAGGAACTGGGAGGACCAGCTACACTACGACATTGTCATTTCTGGGAAATCGTTCCCACTCGGCTCTCAGGTGCCAATCGCTTTCAAGCTCACACCACTAGCAAAGGTTCAATGTCATCGTATCAAGGTCTTTGTGACCGAGAACATTCAGTATTACACTACCAACAAGCGGGTCCATCGACTAGAGCCAACGCGGAAAATCCAACTGTTTGAGAAAAGAGCAGACGCGCCCAGCAGCAGTGCCTACCCAGGCAGCTCAGTACGTATTACTGCCGGTGGTGGAGTGGCGTATGATGGACGAGCAGCTGCGGCAAGAGGTGATGAGAATGTCCCTCGGGACACCAACAACCTACTGGGCAACCTGGATGGCGAGCACAATGTCGGCCCAACAGAGATGGAGTTTAACGTACAATTACCGAGCTGTCACAACATGAAGGAACGAGACAAGCTTTCGAGACTTAATTTTGATACTACCTACCACGGTATTCAGGTCCATCACTGGATCAAGGTTCGTCTCATATTATGTTGTAGAAACTTCTCCCACTGATCTTGACGTGTACAGATTGTCATGAGATTATCGAAGCCCGATGTTGCCGACCCCACAAAACGAAGGCATTTCGAAATCTCGATCGACTCGCCATTCCATATCCTGTCTTGTCGTGCCACCCAAGCGAACATTGCTCTTCCCGCCTACACTTCGCCAGAATCAACTACATTACTTACAGAGCATTCTTCGTGTGGGTGTCCTGGTGCCCCAAGGCGCCGAAACTCTCCTTCGTCACTCCTACCATCCCTCAATAGTCTTCGCCAAGAAGGCAACAATGACTCCTCCTCAAGCGTCAACAGCGCTCCTGCACCAGCCAGCTTGACTAGACCTCAAGCGGCACATGTGCACGATCCCAATTCGGGTCAGATCAGACCGATGCATCTACTGCGCAACCCTTCGTTTAACCCACCTCCTTTCGAAGATGACGATCCACCGCCGCCATTAATGACCCCACCGCCAAACTATGAGACCCTTGTCGATGGCGACCCAAGAAGTGGGTTGGCAGACTACTTTTCGCGGTTGGCGGACGAGGTTGGCGAGGATGAAGACCGATCGGGTACTTTATCGCCTGGGACGAGGATGGAGCTGCCTCTCACCCCGGGTGGGCGGATCAATAGGAGCATGGACGAGCGGCGAACCTGGTTGCCTTTAGGGCAGCCATTCACCCAATGACCCGCAATGAACAGCATGAACTCGATGAATGAATGCATTTCTGAATATGGAGGACATGGCTTGGGTAGCCAAGGAGTATATGAAGTATGGCGTACATGTTAAAGCAATGGGAAGATAGAATTCTTGTGGCATTTTTTCAGCGGTTTGTATATCGAAGGAACATTCCACTGTCGATATATGTATAGGTAGCATTCTTATAGCACAAAACTTTTACAATAGCCCGATTCGGCTGCGGAACTGTTTTTGGACTGACATGAGATTTCACCGAGGCGTACTTTATCTTATCTTTGCGAAATCCATAGGGCTGAATCCAAGCCGGAAAAAAAGCTCCCCTTGCAAAGCAATTCTTCTCAGCTTGTTTCCCCTTCCTTCACCATCCTTCATGGCGACAAATCCAGCCATGAGGCCTCTACTGAGGCTAATCCACCAGAAAGGAGCTTCAACATTTGCTATAACAGCTCGGCGTACCCTGACCACTCGCTCCACCACCCTGCATCAGTCACGCGCTCTAATCAGATCATCCATCTCACAGTGCCGGAGGTCATCATTACAGCAGTCCTTCAGAAGATCATATGCCGACACGAAACCGCAAAAGTACTTCAGAAGAAGTAGGATAACTCTAAGATGGTTATGGAGGGCAGTTTACCTGGGAGCGATTGGCAGCTTTGGATATCTGGGCTACACTATCTACCTGCTACGGACGCCTTCAGAGCAGCTCGAGGCCGATCCTACGAAGAAAACTTTAGTCATTCTAGGTATGGTTTATCAATAGGAGGGTGGGTCATAGCCATTGACGAGTTTAAGGCACTGGATGGGGCGCCGTATCTCTGCTCAAAAACATAGGCATGCCCCCCCCGACTTCGCCCATCTATCCAATTCTAACGCTACATGACAGACACTGAGAACTACAATGTCATCGTCATCTCCCCGCGAAATTATTTCCTCTTCACCCCCTTACTCCCATCGTGTACGACCGGAACCATAGAGCATCGATCCATCATGGAGCCAATCCGGAACATACTGCGGCACAAGCAAGCTACGGTCAAATACTACGAAGCTGAAGCTACCAAGGTCGACTATGCAAAAAAAGTCGTTTACATAAACGATGAGTCTGAGATCAAGGGTGACGTGATGTCCACAGAAGTGCCATTCGATATGCTAGTTGTTGGGGTGGGTGCGGAAAATGCTACCTTCGGTATACCAGGCGTCAGGGAACATTCATGCTTTTTGAAAGAAGTCGGCGATGCGCAGCAGATCCGCAAGAGGATCATGGACTGCGTTGAGACTGCCAGCTTCAAAGACCAATCACCTGAGGAGCGAAAACGCCTGCTACATATGGTTGTTGTGGGAGGCGGCCCAACAGGCGTCGAATTTGCTGGGGAATTGCAAGACTTCTTTGAGCAAGATCTTAAGAAATGGGTACCCGAGATCGTCGATAACTTTCACGTCACCCTAGTCGAAGCCCTGCCTAACGTCCTTCCTATGTTCTCCAAGCAGCTGATCGATTATACCGAGAAGTCCTTCAAGGAGGAATCCATCACAATCCGCACTAAGACCATGGTCAAGAATGTCACCGACAAGACCATTGAAGCCGAATATACCAAGCCCGATGGCACAAAAGAGAAGGAGATCATGCCGTATGGCTTGCTGGTGTGGGCTACTGGCAATGCACTTCGCCCTGTTGTCAAAGATCTCATGTCCCAGATCCCGGCGCAGAAGGACTCACGCCGTGGCCTCGCAGTGAACGAATATCTTGTTGTCAACGGAACCGAGAACGTCTGGGCTGTCGGCGACTGCGCCATCGCTAATTACGCTCCCACCGCCCAAGTCGCCTCCCAAGAAGGAGCCTTCCTAGCCCGCCTCTTCAACTCCCTCGCCAAAACCGACACCATCAACAATGAGCTTGCAAGCTTATCTGAAGCGCAAGCCAAGGCTGCCGGGGATCAACGCACACAGATCTTCGACCAGATCAAAACGCTGCAGAAATCATTGAGACGCGTGAAACAGATTGGGCCGTTTGAGTACAGTCACCAGGGCAGTCTGGCGTACATTGGGCACGACAAGGCGGTAGCGGATATCAGCTGGTTGAGTGGGAACTTTGCGAGCGGTGGAACAATCACTTACTGGTGAGTCCTGAAATCCCAATCCTCTGGGCCTTTACTGTTACTGACCATATCTGAAGGTTCTGGAAAAGTGCCTACGTGAACATGTGCTTTAGCTGGAGGAACCGACTGCTAGTCTGCGTGGACTGGGTCAAGTCGTCTCTTTTCGGTAGAGACGTCAGTAGGGAATGAGAGGGAGGTTGAAGACAGGCTTCGGTGGCGGATGATTCTTCTTTCACGTTCTCGATACACCGTACTTTGAGACCTTGCTCCGGTCCCCGAGCCGTCGATGAACGAACCATCACGTAGACTCTTCTTCTCTCTAGCGTTGTAATGCAGCACACCTTTCTACTCGTTGAACAATTTCCTCAGAGCCAACGATTTCCTCAGAGCCAACGAGCAGACACGCAAAAGTCGCCCTTGACTCATATGGATCCCCTAAAGCCATACGCTCGCTCTGTATATGGCGTACGCAATCCTCGTAATGCAACAAAAACCACCTCCCATCCCATCAACTCCTCCCTCCCCATCCCCAAACAAAACCCATCCCCACCCCTCCAAGAACATCCAACGAACATTCTCGCTCCGAAGATCCCCTCCTTCCCAAACCGCAGAACCCCACCTCCGTCCGTAACAGCGCCAGCTGCCCCGTTTTCAAAAATCTCGACCGCCCCGACCCTCCCCCCCCTCGGAGAGCGTCAGTGAGGTTACATAATAGCCCCGTCCCAGCCGACTTTCCGACCAGCCTCCGCACAGTCGGTCGTCGAAGCGGCATCCGTGCAACGATCCGTCGTGACACATCGCCTCCGATCTACGCGGCCCCGGGGTCCTGCTCCGTACGGTTGGTCGGAACAGAAGGGGGCTGGCTGAGGGGGATCTTGACGGTCTGTCTGTCTGTCTGTCTTTGTGTATGTATGTAGAAAGGATGGACTGCGGACTAGCGCTCTGAGGCGGCTGCTTTGCGGTAGTGGGATTGGGATTGGGATTGGACGGGTCGTCTTTCACGCGGTGGAGGAAGGAAGCGTGTCCATATGGAAGGATTGGTGGACCTGCGACCTTGAGTCGGATTACTGTTCTTGGGTTCCATTTCCACATCTCTTTCTCTCTCTCTCTCTCTTCCTGTCGGTTCTCCTCGCAGACAACTCTTTCCCTGCGCTCCATCAGTCGCCGCCGCCACTATGTGCCACTATTCCCGTACCATATGCCAACAGGAAGCCTGCGGTTGGACGAACGACACGGTGCTATTGTTCTGCGAACAGACGCTGGAGGCAAGAAAGTAGCGTGCGAGGGTCCCGAGACGGTTGTGAGAGAGCCGATGTATCGTGCTCCGTTCTGCCCTCTGCAGCCCATCATCAACTTTATGGCCAGGCACGGTTTGTAGGGCGCTGGAGCCGGGGATGAAGGGGTGGTGGAAGGGGGATGGTGACGGGTCGGGGTTTTTCCCCTTCGACGAGCAGGCTCGGAAGGGGAGCGCTATCGCTGGACGGTATCGTTGAGAGACGGGAAATATGGATGCTTGGGACACACTCATGTAATGGGACTAATCGCCTTATGCTGATTCCCTACCGATCAAGCACCATCCTGGCTCCTGATCATGTCCCTGTTCAGCGTGATCTTCTTGAGTATCTCCCCAGCCCCGTTCTCCACCAACTCTTGTGCCATCCGCCACCCACACTCCTCCGCCTCTGCATCAGAGCTGACATAATGCCGCCTCGTCCCCTCAACGCACTCTTTCCCATCCAGGCTGACGACCATGGCTCGCATGATCAATATACCGCCATATCCTTCTCGTTCGGGGTCAGGACCTTCGGGAAGGGCGTCATCTTGTTCGTAACCGTTGTGGTGTTTATCCGCCTGCTCAACCACTGCGTCTGTTCCCCTACCGTCCCCTTCCTGCAGTCCCCCTTCCTCCCAAACACACTCCACGCCCACGGGAACCGAGCAGCCGCCTTCGAGCACCCGGAGCAGCGACCGTTCCCCCACACACTCCCACCTCACCCTCCTCCCCGCCTTCCCCATCCCCTCCTCCGCCTCCGCCAAGATGCCTTCGATCCACTCATCGCCTTCCCTCCACTCCACACCGATCGCACCTTGCCCAACTGCATACAGAACCCCCTCTTCGCTCCCCAGCCAGCCGCTGATCCTTTCCCCCATGCCCAGCCTCTGCACGCCCGCACCGGCGAGGACGAGGGCGTCGAATCCTCCGGCGGCGTCGTCGAGCTTGCGGATCCGGGTGCCCACGTTTCCCCGCACGTCTTTGATCACGAGATGAGGGTACGTCCTCCGGATCATCGCCGCTCGCCGCACCGAGCACGTGCCCACCACCCCTCCCTCCCGCAAGTCGCCCAACCCCCGCCACCCCTCCCCTCGCCTCGCCGCGCTCATCACAACGGCGTCCCGGGCCTCCTCCCTCGCGCCCACGGCGGCGCACACGCACCCGGGGGGTAGCTTCGTGGGCACGTCCTTCAGCGAGTGTACGATCACGTCCACGCGCCGCTCCAGCAGTTCCTGCTCTAGATCCTCCGTCCATAACGATTTCCCGGTCGACGCTAGAGTGTGGAGGTCCGTCGATTTGTTCGTGTCGCCGAGAGATGTAGACGTTGGGTGTGTGGTGGTCGAGAGGGTTGGGTGGGAGGTCCGGAGGAGGTCGGTGAAGAGTGCCACTTGCGCGAGGGCGAGGGCGGAGGGGCGAGTTCCTATGCGGAGGGTTCGAGGGGTGGAGGTGGGGGATGCGGGATGGGTGGATGTGGAGCCGGAGGGGGATGCGCGGGGGTGGGAAGAGGTGGGTGAGGGGTGATTCGTGCTGGTGCGAGGGAAGTCGGCCATTGTTGTGTGTGAAGGTCGTGGAGAGGGGATATGGGTGAAGGTGGTGGGTAAGTTTGAGTTGTGCTACCTCATGCGGTCGTGGCAATTGGAGGGCAAGACGCTACTCGGTTGAAAAGTTGTTTTAGAAAGCGAGAGGTACGATTGAGCAGCAGAAACGGCGTTAGATGTGTATTTTCCTTTGAAGTAGAAGTGTAGGCGGATTACTGAAGCGGTGTCGGTTGTCAAGTGCGTTGCTTACGCACACTAGGCCTACTCTTGTACTCGGTGTCCTGTTAAGTAAGGTTGAGTAGTTCGAAAATACTTGCAGCTTGTTGAGCTCTCTCTACGTGGCCTACTGTATTATTCCCTATGCATTGGTGGAGGAGACTCGCCCTCTGACCTTTGCCTTTGACTTCAACTCAGCATAGAATTCGTTTTTTCAGTCATTAATTTCTATGGCTGCCAATGTTTTCAAAGCCAACCATCGTAGGTTGTAAAAACGTTCAAGACAGACAGCATATCAAGTAGGCTTTGAAGCAATCTACCCCATTCAAAGACTGTACTCTAGTGTGATGTTCTGAGAAAGGTGTCCGAAAAAGAATCGAAGTCTTCTCTTTAGCTCACAAATAAATCTTGAAGCCCACAATTCCTGCTGGCATTTGGAAAGCCGCTGTCCATTCTACATTCACTTCTGCATTCAGACGAGAACCTGCCCTTATTAGCAGATTACCTCCCCTGTTCAATAGCCTTCATTTCTTCACCTCTCATATTGTTCAGCATATTCCGTCATCAACAATCACCAATTACTACACCCAGACGATTGAATTAAGCAACCACTGCGAGCAAAGACATGTAAAAGAAGATCAATGCCGAGTACGGTGCTTCTGGGCCGGCTGGCATCATTGTAGTCGGCGATCATCCAAAGTGAGCTGAACCGGCGTCACCATGAAGCACTTCAAACATTGATCCAGGATGATGGAAGCCGCAAAGACGAACCCATATCTTGCAAACCTCATGCCAAAAATGCTCGTCAGTGATGGCAAGAAGTGAGTTTTCTGCGATTTCTCGTAGAGCCATATCTGTACTGACGGAACGAAGACGGGCTTATGCGGGCTCTGCTGAGCCCAAAAACAAGGCAGAAAGTATGCAAAGCAGGGACAACTTGTGAGCTATTTCAAGCTGATTCAGGAAAGTGTACGAGAACCGGAAGCAAGCTATGAAGTTAGAAGGGGACAAGAGATAAGAAAAACGGATCTGGGAGGTTGTTTGAGGTCATCGTCATTAAGGATAAGTAGACTAGACCACTGCAGAAATGGATCGAGATCAGCGTCGTCAGGGACGCGAAGATGGCAACTTCTCAAAAGAGAGTCCCTGATGGGCGACTCAAAGGTAAAGCTAGAAGCGAAGCCGGACTTCATGAAATGCCTCCAGCCACTGCGTCTTCCGCCTACACCAAGCCAACCGAAACTGAGGAGGAAGCCGGGACGTCTGGTTGAGCCAAAGCCGAGACCCAGGGCAGTCAAGCGAAGTCAGACCATCAAAATCCAGCTCTAATGCTTGCTGACATCTTTTAAACACGACAAAGGCTGTCTCTCCTCCAAGAGAAGTAGGTCCGAAGAGCACGAGCACTGTCGGCCCTGATGGAGTTCCAAACCCCAATTTACGTCGAGCTCGGCTGGTTAACATAAGCCTGGCTAAGGTCCGTACCGAAGCAGCTCTTGGAAGGGGGTTCGTTCCATATTACCTTGGCCGTGAATGCTCATTAACAGCAGAAAGTGCCTACAATGACGCTGATAGGAAAAAATGAGGAAAGGTCGTCAGATGACAAGGGCCTGGTGCATCTCGATGTTGCTACGACATCTGCAGCGACAACGATCGCAGAGAAACTCAAAGGAGCTGTCGACGCTGAGGTTTCCCCATCGAATCCGTTGACGCGTGAGCACTTTGGCTTCATCAAAGTCAATACCGTCGAGGAGAAAACAATTCTCCTTGGTTTGTACCAGGGGCTCCTGATTCACCTCCCCAACCCGCCATGCACGGAGACCGTTCAAGGTTGGCAGGAGAAGACTAAGATAGCTGGAGGCATCTATGATTCACACCAGAGCCAGCATGGACGCGGCTGGTACTTCAACTGGTGCAAGTACCACCAGCACTTCGTCGACCAGACGTACGTTGATCCGCATAACGTAATGTATTGTCCTTCAGTGGAAGAGCGTCCGGACTCATCATTATCCTGGAATAGCTATGGCCATCGAGTATGATGGAGGACAAGGTCCGGGCATGAGCAATCATCTGTGATTTCCAAGCATTACAACCGTGGTGTACCTAGCTCTTAGACTTCGCTAGACCGCATGCTGCTCACACGAAAGTCTACGACTAGGGTTTAATTGATTTTGCATGATGCCGTGGTCATTGTGACCTTCGTAATCATTGGTCTTGCCGCCACTGATGAAAACTAACATACCTAGCTGAGACACGATGCGAAAGCCTAGCGTGGATGCGGGTCGAGGCTCTTCTTGTTGCGCAGCGCGAGGCAATTGCAAACAAATTGACAGGAGAGCCGAGAGCTTCTAACCAACACATGAAGCCGACTTTGCAACAATGCGGCAACCTTGACGATAGTGCGAGGAAAAAGCGATGCGTTCGTACGGCAAGCTGCGGATTTATTTGTGATGGTGAGACCAGAGAAGCGGCCGGTCTCGCGAGGCAAAGCGAAACGCGTGTTGCAACTACATTACCCACGCCGATGAACACTCACAGTCATGTTGGTTTGCATTGCATTGATTTGCGTTTGCATTGCATCATTCGCGCTGGAAAAGCATCCTTCTTGCGAGATTCGGACTGACCGCCATGTTAGGATCGAGTTGACGCGAGTGCGTTCTCCATCCAGCAGGAGCAGGCTGTCCCCGCCCGGCAAAGATCCGAGACATGGCAGAAACTTTGATCTCCTTTCATCCATTCTTGGCTGCCATACTTCCGGAGTCCGCAGTTGGTTGTCGAGGATAGGACGGTGTGTGGTCGTATGGCTCTGTAACTTGCACCGACTAGTCCTGGTGTCGTGTACTCCGTACTCCGTATAGCAGGATCAGGATCAGGATCAGGGTATGTGGAAGCGCACCTCTTGTTTGCCTATCCTATCTGTGCTGGTGATCATAGATTCATCCGTTTGGGCAGACGTTGCAAACGCAGGCTGCGGAAATCATCGAGGAATTGTTGGACCGAGGTGGGCCTCGGACATTTGAACCCCACGGGCTGGCGCGCCGCTGGTCTCCCAATTGGATTTTGTACGGAGTACATGAGACTTGGATATCCTCCGACATCATCATCAGCATGACGCCTGTCAGCCTACATTATGATTGTCGTGGCGCCTCCCTGCATGATAGATTATTGCTTCTGCCTGAAATGTGACTGTGAATGTGTGTGTAGAGTATGTGTATGTGGTTCGAGAGGAAGCACTAAGCGATACGCTGCAAGTGGAGTTGTCGATAGTGCATTATTGCGCAGCAGGGAACCTGTAGCCTGTGAAGTCTGGTTGATGAAGTGACGGGAAGATTTTCGATACTTGGTGTATTTACGGTGTACGGTGTACGGTGTACGGGATCATCATACCTAATGTAAGTAAGCAAAGACAAATCACAGATTTCTTTTCTTGGCGGACAGGGGAGCTTTACTTCTTGAGGTAATGATGCACATCTCTGGGGGGGCCAAGCTGTCCCGCAAGCGCTTTTTCCTAAGCGGCAAAGATGAGGGGCTCGATTCATCGAGGGGCAATTTTGGCACCAAGGGACTTTTAGGACTTTCAGGACTGTGCAGCCTTGCAGCATGCACCCGGCCTACTTGGAGACCCCCCATAGCCTACTTCACTCTAGCCCCAGCCTCTCCCCCCCCTTTCAACACCAATCAATTACAATTCACCTCCACATTATTTACACCTGTCCTGTCCCTCAACCCCTCAGCAGAGCGATAAAGCGCACATTCCTACCGACGGTACTCTAAATTTTCAAATCAATCTCACTCACCGCACTAGTCAGCGGTACTTTTCGCAAGAGTGGGAAACTCTGCAGGTTTTGGCCTCGCCCGAACACCACCAGATCCGACCGCCGCGGAAAGAAGAAGATGAAGAAGACGGAAAAAACCATAGTTAGAGAAAAACAAAAAAACATACCCGAGGCCAGCGTAGCCTTTCGTATCGCAGTCGGACCTTTCGGCTTTTCTCGTGACTGCCTCGATTAATGCAATTCATCATCGGTCTGAGCCATCTTCCAGCTGACCCAGGGATCATCATCCACGCATGCCCCTCTTGGCCTTCGCAAAAGAAAATGATCATCCCTGGCACGCCTGGAACTTGGGAACATGCTGTCGTGGCCTCAATCGTTCTTCGCCTTCTTTTAGCCTCGTACCATCCAACTTTGTTCCGCAACTCCATCACCCATGATACACTTTGATTGGGGCCTAGATGGACGGGCGTTTACTGATTGCAAGGCCACTGCCGCTGAGACGTCCCACCTTCCCTGCTCTTCCGATTAGTCTGCTTGCAGTATCGCCGTCGGCTGCATCGGTTTCGGTGCACTTCTTCTCCCTTCGTCGGTACAGCACATCGAGGACGGAGACAGCAGATTGATGATGACGACCCCCCTTCCCCCCCCCCCAAAAGCGACACGCCTCTCGTCACGAGTGACATGTAGGATCAAGTCAGCTTGTAACAAACAGGCTAACACTCGTCGCTTCTTGACACCTCATCTAAACGTCTTCCCATCCATGTTTGTATCATCACGGCCCCAATTAACACAACAGGACCGTTGATCCCTAGTTCCTTCGGCTGGCACTTGCTTACTGCAGTGTGCTTCGGATTTCCAACAGCCTAGCGTATTATTGATCCCCACCGCCGCTCTTTATTGCTGCGCCAGGGAGGATTGCGAGTTTGTCAAACGTCGCATGCCACGCGGTAGGCTTTGTTGTACGTAGAGTAACACCGCTCGTGCATACGAGACTTTTGAGTTGTGCCGAACGAGGACCGCTCAGATGATGGGGCTTGGCCACAGATGCGTGGTATTCTCGGCAGCATGAGGCAGCATAAGTTTATTAGCTTTAGAACCAACCAAAGTCTTTGGTAAGACATTTGCTTGAGACAAAGACCCGATGACCGCCACCGGCATGAAGTCAGTTAGCCAGAGTAGTATATTTTAGTGGATCGAATTATTTCGACGGCATGAGGTGCTTTTCTCTCTACTATCTTGATTTTTTGGAAGCGGGAAGCCTGGAAGGAAGAGATGGGGGAGAGGCTAAAAGTTGGAGTCCTGAAGACAAGTGGGTAGCCTGGGGGGGGCCGAACAGGGATTTTGATTCGCCAATCAGCGCTGCTTCCGCGCCCAAATCTCACACACATTTCATACGATTTTACCAAAGCACTTGCTAGCGAATTAATGCCATGGCCCAAGCCTGCATTCCTTTCAAACCAGCATCAGCTGGTACATTGATTTTCCCGCAGTCCTTTGATGTTGATCCCGGAAAAAGATCCAGATCTCTCTTCGCGTCTTCGCCTTGCAGCCTGCGTCATGCCCCCTACATTACATGAGACCAGGAGTTGGAAGCTGAATGTTTGATGCCTATCAACCGACTTCATTTGGGCGCTATTATCTAAAATCACGGGGATGACATGGGATGCAGGCTTGCTTGCTTGCTTGCTTGCTTGCTTCGCTTCTCCCGTGCTCTATGCAGAGACTATAATAATAACACGGTAATGATAACAATAGGTAATCTACAACTCTAGTCGCGGTCGTCTCGTAGTCCTTCAATCCTGATGTACCTAGCGATACGACCGTACGAGATCACCAACTCTGACACAGCAGGCACCATTTTTTTTTTGATTTTCGCAACCTCGCTTCCACCCACCCCCACCTGTCTCCTGCTTCCTCTAGACCACTACTCTACTTCCCTCCTCTGTAGCCTCTCATCAGTCATCACTCGGATATGAGTGCAAACAAAAACGCCAATCAGCTGCCGCCATCTGCCACTTTGCCTTTCACTGAATCACTTTTGCTTGTCTGGCGGCAGTGGACCGGTAGCCACCTTACCTGATGTAGTTTAGACCGGCTATGCCTTTGGCAACCCCGGGCAGCCCAAAGAGCCAAAGAGCCAAACGCAACACTTCCGCTTAGCTGCTAGCATCAGACATCGTGTAAAAAGCAACAAGGCTCCTTGATTCAAAGCCGAGACTGTACCGTAGACAACACCCCCCCCCGATTTCTTTGCAAGGGCCCTTTCTTTTATTAACCACCACTTATTAATATTGCGTGTTCAGATTGACACCTCCACCGCGGCACGCCGCGTTCGGTACACGATGGCTCGTGTCATTGGGTCTGATACATAGCTCGGTCGCCCTTGCTACCCTTTGTGCAATGGGATGCATATTCACTCTACACACTAGGCAGTAATCATCTTAATCCCTTCATTATCCGCTTTGGTGGCTCTAGCACACTATTGAAAGCTTCAATCACCCGGAAACACACTTTTCTCTCGCCCCAAACTCCTCTGCTTGCTCCCAAGAAAGAGGTCCCAGACCACACTCGAATTTACACCAAGAGGGATCAATGATCATCAGCCTCCCCCTTTTAAGCTTGGAACATTTGGAAGAACCTTGATTGAAACCGCTCTCATATTGTGCCGGATGAGCAACACATCATCATCCTTTCATTCCCTTAATCAGTCTTTTGACCTTACTACCCTCTCTTAATTCCATTCTCCAAACGCCTCTGGTGCGTCTCCCGGGATATGCACTTTTTATTAATCCGTCCTTGTACGACACACCTCCCCTACTAGGTCATTTCTACATGGATACTTCCAAATTCATCACTAGCTCTCATTCTCCCTTATTCTGAACCACAACAAAAGGGAAAAGACAGTTGAAAAAAGCTTCATTGCTCCTGTCAATGAGGCTCATGGCCACCAAGCCACCGCATTCGTCGTCTTTTCCATCTCATTAACCTCTCTCCTTTTGCCCTTCACTCCAACCGCCCTTGCCTACACCAAGGCTTCACAGCTGAGCTGGGCTGCGGTCAGACTTACACCCCCTCTCAGCACGTTCATGAATACCCACGCCAAAAGACATCACACAAAACAATCACGCCACCATCAACCCTCAAAGCCGGAGTCACCCCTCTCAACCCCTCCTCTAACGACTTCTCATCCCCAAGAGCTGCTCCAATGCTACGCCTGCAGCGTCCTCCCTCCATGCCTTCAACACATTTGTCGGAACGTACCAATCTGAATAGTATCCTCCCTCCCTTTCCACCACGACGAGACTTCGATTGGGATTGGAGCAAGGGCAACGCTGCATCAAGAGCTGGACAGAAGTCACATCTGCCGTGCAGCCACTACTTTCCGGAAAGTGTGAGGGGGTGTGAGCTTCCAGGCAACGAACACGGACTCCGCACCCCACCAAGAGACATGAATGGCATGAACGGCAATCCACTATTAGCATCGAATGCTGAAGGAACACAATATAAGCGTGTGCCAGTCGTTGCATCAAATGCTCCTCCCTACCAGACATCTCTTACTACCCTCGACAACTCAAAGCAATCCAGCAACCGTCAGCCTTTCTACAATTCTTACTACTCTGCAACCCGGCCCCAAAGTCCGGTGCTACCTAAGAAGGATCATGCGGCGCAGAATGAGCAAACGGCTCGACGAAGGGCATCGAACGACAGCAACTCCATCGCTTCCCACCTTCAAATACCTGCATCGATCAATGACAGCAAAGGCAGCTTGCCTGAATTCGCAGCCCAGGTGAGACAATCGACCTTCTTGTTCCCCGTAGTCGTTTATACTGACAGTGCCCAGATAACCTGCTTTTTCTGGTTCGAGTCCTATTCTACCCTCCGTTTGGTCGAAGATGCACCATATGTCCCTAACCCAACAGGTCTACTCGTATCTGAGGCAATGCCTACCACAGGGTTTCGAAAATGGGTGACGACCATCCTTTCGATGACTCAGGTCTCTCAGAATGTTATCCTTCTGGCTTTGATGTTCATTTACCGGCTGAAGAAGTTCAATCCTGGAGTGAAGGGAAAGGTTGGGAGCGAATTCAGGCTTCTAACCGTTGCATTGATGCTAGGAAACAAATGTACATCCGCTTTGCTCTCAATGCAGTTTACTGTACAAAGGCTGACAAATTTGCAGTTCTGGACGACAATACATACACCAACAAGACTTGGGCAGAAGTATCAGGCATTTCTGTCCAGGAAATCCACGTTATGGAGGTGGAGTTCTTGAGCAATATGAGATACACTTTATTTGCCTCTGAGGAAGAATGGAAGGCATGGCATGTGAAGCTCGGCAACTTCTCTGACTACTATGACAAGGCATCTCGTTTCCGAATTGAGAACATGGCTCGCAATATGCCTCTACCAACGCCCCAGTTCAGTGGACACCCACATCTTCCATCGCCCCCAGCGTCACAGAACACTTCGCCGCCGTTCATGACAAACCCATCACCAGGGCATCCAGCACTCCCTCATCCACTATCCGTACCTCCATACCTCGCACCCAACATACCTTCGCCTGCGTTGCCAATGCCGGACGTTGACCTGAAACCCTGGTCACGAAAACGAAGCCTTGAAGACCACAGCTTGGAACCACCGGCAAAGAGGCTGTCTTCGTTGAATCCTTCGGCAGCTTCAAGCACGACTTTGACTCCCTCTACGGTGAAGAACACCACTCCACCTGTACCAAGGCTACCAATGCCGAATCTTTCAATATCCACAGCAAGCCAGCATGGCTCGTCCCCAGCACAGCTGCCAATGCCTTCAGGAAGGGCAATGTCGACTGTCTTCCCCGGGCCCAATCGCTGGCCGCAAAATGGTACGCTGCCGTCACTTCAGTCTTCAACCTACTTTAGCCAGACTGGCAGTGCGAGAAGTGGTTCCCCCTTGACTGGGCAGCCCAATAGGCAGTCTCCGTACGCCACTGGCCCCTCAACTCCTTCACCAACCTCTTTCCACTTTCCTCAAAATGCGCAGACGCCAAATGGTCTCTCACCTTCGGGATTCCCAGCACCAAGGAGTTCGCCATACAAACCTATTCGACGTGTAAATACGCTATTGGTTCCACCACCATCAGCGTCTCTACAAAATCAACCTCAAAACGTCTCATACGATCAAATGCACTATCAGCCACTAGGAAAACCTATCAGCGAGCAGAGACGAGGCGTCTTGCCATGTCTGCCCTTCGAGACCTGGTCGCAGGCGCATCACATGCATGATCAGAATTACCTTCCCCAACCGAATTTTGCCTCATAAGGCACCATCGGTCAAGCGTTATTTTTTCTATCCGTGCTCTTGGCTTGAGCAAAGTGCTTGCTCAAATCGTCTCGACACGGTCTTGCATTTTTTTGAGGTCATTTATACTTGCATAGCGTGGCGCTTCACCCGGGACAACAATAGCATTTTGGCATTGCAGCGAGCTGCCAGCTTTAACAGAGCGTGCCACGGCGTTATTTTGGTGGATTCGGCTACTATTCGAAATCCTAGCATCTCTAACCAGCTTGTAAATAGAGAGACACTCATATTTTCCAATTCCTGATGCAGAGCCTCCTTGAAAAGGGCCGATGTCTACACGGGTCTCAACCATGGCTCTGGGACAAGGTGAGGTGGATCTGGGCTAGAGAGAAGCCGAGCTCCATTGTCCCAAGACCTCGTGCTGTGTTTCAGCGACTACGACGTTTTCGTGGAGAAAACCAGAGATCTCTGCCTAGATAATCTTGAGCCACCAATTGGAATGTCTAGGATGGCGGCATGGCTTTCTATGTCTGAGTGGGTTGCCTCTCCTGTTGATCCCAAGTTTACATTTTCTTGCTCCTCCGGTCAACAGCACCTTCGCTTCTTTGACCAGAGAAATTCCTGTTCCCCCAAGTCTACAAACCACTCACCCAATCACCCACTGCAAAACATAAAATCTGCGGTGCATAAGCGCGAAAATCGGGCCAATCACCGTAAGCGCTGCGGGATGACGCAACTGCAACTTCGACGCCAAGCAACAACCTCTCCCACGCCAACAATGCAGGTCGCCGCACAGCATGCACAAGACTTTACTCCTTTGCTTCACAGATGGCTTTAAGGTATCTCCATAACTGTACCTACTGATTCAGGCTTTCAGTGATTGAGAGCAGGGCGGTGACGATACCTTCGGCGGCTTCCCAGGTTTGTCCTAAAACTCCAAGTCGCGTCGCTTCAAGTGTTCTTCATAACCCCTTTGAAGACTTTGTAGTATCTCTAGAAATTTTGAACTGTCTTGTTTGAGAGTATTATCCTCAGACTGAAGCCTAGTAATTTGCGAGTCGCGTTTCTCCAACAGTTTCTGAAGCATGGTAATCTATAAGTCGCATTCCCTCCAGAGCTTCACTGGGACTCGTGCTCGCTCTGATGCTTTGATTGTTTGACGTCTTCTTGCGTCGATTAGTGTGGGTTGAAGCCTTCTTTTGAGCGTGTAATTCCAGCCTGAGCGCAATCTCCTCAGGTTTGAGAGGATCTATTCGCTTCTCGAATTGTATACATCTGTCTCCGTCTATCGCCCGCAGCACTTGGTGTTCTAAATTGAGCTTGGTGTAGTCTTGATCCCTTTGACTTCTTCCTTCGATCTGCGCAAGGTCTGGTTTGAGAGTGTTATTCTGAATACAATCTTGATCGGGCACTCTATGGGCGGCATAGTTGCAGCGGAAACCCTCCTTACCATAATGTCGGACCCGACTGATCCTCTTCCGTCCACCTCCGCACAAACTCAGAAGACAACGTCAAAACCTGCACAGACAAATACACAGAAAGCATCACGTCCTTCCACTCCGCAGCCGCAGAAGGGTTATCGCCCTTCGACTCCCCGCCCTGACGGCTCATCGTTCATGTTCCGTTATATCCAGGGTCTGCTCGCCTTCGATAATCCCTACCTCGGCATCTCTCTGGGTGCCGTCGCCCACGGTGCTGAACAGCATTACAAGAATGCTTCGACCGCCTATAGTGCAATCTCCGAAGTTGCTGGCGTCCTCGGATATGGCTCCTCCAACAATAAGAACACCCCTAAATCACCACAGCAGCAACAGGCAAGTCGGAAGTTGCTGACACAAGGTGCCGACGCCATGTCCGCTTCAATGACGAATGCCACTGGCGATGCAGCGACCGTACCGGCTTGGCAGAAATGGGAAAAGTATCCTAGGTTTGCAGGTGCCGCCGGGGCAGTCGCTGCTGGAGGGGCGGCGGCGTATTTGAAGAGGGATACAATTATTGAAGGCTGGTCCTTCATTGGGTCTCATCTTGAGTTCGTGGGACGTCTGGCTAAGGGGAAAGAACTGAAAAGCCGGCTGGAGAGTATAGCCAAGCTGAATAAGGAGCGAGGCATCGGCTTCGCAGACCTCATCACCGGCCTCGGAAAGGGTGCTTCTCAGCAAAAGAAATCAGGCACCCCACTCGCCGGCGGTTTCGTCGAAATCGGCGCTGTCGAAGGCATGGCTCCGAACGGCAGGACTTTTTGCACCAGCCCCAAAAGCGAAAGAAATAGGAAGTTCTTCGAGGAAGCAAAGAACGACAAGGCGAGCGATGAGATGCAGGCTCGTATGAATATGTTCGGCGCGAGTGGGAATAGTGGATATTTTGCGCTGTGTGAGAGGGCGAAGGTGTTGGTTGCGAATTGGGTGGGGCCCGAAAAGAGTGCGTGGTATGAGGAGAGTACGCCTCTGAAGGCGACGGCGAGCAAGGGGTTGGAAGACGTGGAATTAGGCGATGGGCAGAAGGCTGGGGAGAAGCCTGTTGTTGTTGAGAAGTGACGCTTAGTATGAGGTTTGAACTGATGAGGTGGGTCCCACGATAGTGGAAGACATGCGTCTCTGGCCAGGAGTTCTTGGACTTTACGAGAAAGATGATAGAAGGAGTGGCGTAGATGGATGATACCCGTGCGATGGTTTTGGAAATACTCGTCCCTAAACGAGTAAACCCAAGCTCACTCACTGTCGGGATTCAGGATTACCACTCGCCGAACCGTGCAGAGGGACTCAATGGACGGAGAGAACTATTGGCTACGCTGTGAGAGGTCTCTTCTGGCATCTCGATGCCGGAACTTTCGAGCGAGACAGAAGAGGCCGTCTTAGGGGCCTCAAACGCTAGAGCAATTATGCTCACAAGTGCGTTTCTTGAATCCCGAATTGGCCTTCCCCCTTAGCCTTGAATGCTCATTACATGCAATCGTCTCCCATGTTTTTAACCTGCCATACTATCGCCGTAGACTATCCAATCGAGCTTGGAGATCATCATCGTCTGTTCCACCTCCACCGCCACCTGGTCCTCCTCCTCCTCCTCCTCCTCCACCGCCTATAGCTTCTGCGACTCGGCCGTCTGAGACTGCGGTCTTCCGGAGGCCGGAGGGTGTTTCGCCCATCTGCATTAAAAAAGTAAATCAGCCATCGGCCCTGTCTCAAAGCCCAGATACCTGCTCCCTGGATCCCATTCTAGGAGTACGCATACCGCCTGGCCCAAATCCACCCCAATCTCATCAAGTAGCTCCTTCACCACCTCCTCTCCTTCCTCCTCATCCTCTAACCCGGTCACGTCGTCTATCGCATCGTCCATCATCTCTTGTCTCTGATCCATGATGTCGTTTTCCTTTTCGAATTCCATGGCTATACGTTGTAGAGCAGGGAGGTTCATTTGCCGGTTCATGGATCCGAGGAGGGAGGTGGCGCCTTTCATGCTTTGCATCATTTGTTCGTTGGAGCGCACGGTCTGGATGCGGAGGGATATAGCTTGTAGTTGGGTGCGCATGGAGTAGAATTTTTGTATGTATCTAGGATGGGAGGGAGAAGGTTAACTTCCGACGGCGTCTCGAAAACCGTCTGAACCATTACAGGCAGAGATATCAGAGGGAACGTTGAGGTACATACCTCCTCGTCCTGACCAGATCTTTTGCTTGGATTTTACAGGCTCCCATTTGCCCATTCTTTGCGCTCTTCTTTATGTCTTGAACGAGCTTCTTCTCTTGATTCTCGAGCTTTACTCTCTCACGGTCGAGCTCTCTTTGTGTCTTCTCTAGAGCTCTCTGGTGTTTGCGTAGTCTTTCTGCCGGCGTCATACGCTTCCCGAAGGCCCATTCGACGATCTGGCAGAGAGATTAGCTGTGAGCTTTAGAGTTGAGCGGGGGGTTAGGAGGGGGGCTACTTACATTCATGTTGGCGGACAAAAACTGTTGCTGGGAGGAGACGGACGGGGAGGATTGAAGAGGAATAAGGGAAAAAAAGAAGTAGTTCAATTGAACAGAAGTACACTATGAGCTTGCTGCCTTACGAAGCTGTTGAAGCTTGATAGACCGCGGCCGGATGACGCTGCTTTCTAAAAAGGCGCTAGCGGCGGAACATGCCATTCGAAGGACGGCGGCGAATCATTTTCGCAAGCAATTACCAACAATGAACTCTTTCCATCACCACCTACCGATTTTTTTGAGCCTCACGTCTTCCTTACCGCTTTGATATATTCCTGATCATGAGTCAGGACCACCATCCTCGCGATGGCTCCGCTGGCTCTTCCTCCAGTCGCTCCTCACCTACTCCCTCATCTCCTCATCCACGGACGCCGCGTTATATGACAGTGGGCAATGGGTCGACTTCAGCCAGCGCGGCAGCATTAATGTCGACACTCGACCACGACTCAGGCTATGGATCAAGTATTGCTGGCGACAGCTATACTAATGATGGTAGCAAAGGGTGGCATCCAGGACTAACATCAGATCAACCCACACCAGAATTTACTTCGAGAATACCTGACGAGACGAATCCAGATGCAGACAAAGATAGGAGGATAATGGCCAGTCATGTCCACCAGCTATACTACAACCAAAATCGCGCTGCGCTCGGTCGCCAGATTACGAAGACGGTGGAGACCCTTACGGGTCTACAGCAGATGAACTCGAAATGGCCTGCGCAATACCCTTCTGTACGAGAGCCCCAAAAGCCAAAGTCAGATCCTAGACCCGGCTTCGCACATACTCAATCAACCGTCGCTGGTGGAGACATCCACAAAGGAAAAGACAATGTCCCTCTACGACCTGGTGCTCCACGCAGGGCTGCCACTTCCCTTGGCGAAGAATCGACCGCAGAGTCGAGTTCTGCAGCTGAAGCCCGGAAGCCTCAAGAGCCAGAAAGACTTATCACACCTCAATCAGCACAGGACTTCTCGGTACTGAAGTTGAACATGAATGTCCAAGGATTCACGCAGGCGGAGATTGCACATTCCATGAAGAAAGAGTCAATAGCATCTTTATTGGATGGGAGAATAAATCAGAGTATAAGGCATTTGTTACGGCTGCGGGATCGGATCGAGGATACCTCCAGCAAAGTCCTAGTCACAGGTGACTTGAATGCCGGTAAATCGACATTCTGTAACGCGCTGCTGAGAAGGAAGATCCTACCGGAAGATCAGCAACCGTGTACGAGCATTTTCTGCGAGGTCTTGGACGCGAAGGAGAATGGCAATCTAGAGGAGGCGCATGCAGTGCACAAGGACGCCACGTACAATCGGAATGACGAAAGCACCTATGATGTGTACCCTCTGCAAGACCTAGAGAAAATCGTCACAGACAATCAAACGTATACACAATGTAAGGTTTACGTTAAGGACATCCGGACGATTGACGAATCGTTACTCAACAACGGTGTTGTGGACATTTCGATAATAGACGCACCTGGTCTTAATTCAGATTCTCTGAAAACGACTGCGGTTTTCGCGAGACAAGAAGAAATTGACGTGGTCGTATTTGTCGTCTCCGCCGCCAACCATTTCACTCTCTCTGCCAAGGAGTTCATCTGGAACGCCGCACACGAGAAGGCGTATATCTTCATTGTGGTCAATGGATTCGACAATATCAGGGACAAAGACAGATGTGAGCGCATGGTCCTGGAGCAAGTTGCAAACTTGAGTCCAAGGACGTTCAAAGAGTCTTCCGAATTGGTACACTTTGTCTCAAGTAACGCAATTCCAGTCGCGCCTGCAATTGGTCCAGGTCCTCCCGGTGGTGACGGCGGCGGAGGTGGCAGCGGTAGCAGTTCTGGCCCTTCGAACGATTTCCCATCCCCGGCTGACGATGACGAGATGCTGGGTAAGCATGGCGAGCCTGGATCGCCTCCGAGGAAGGACAAAGGAAAGGAAAAGGAGAAGCTGCAGGATTTTGAGAAGTTGGAAGGCTCACTCCGACGATTTGTGCTCGAAAAGCGTGCTAAGTCGAAGCTCGCCCCTGCCAAAACCTATCTCCTCAATGTTCTCACCGATCTCAATTTGCTAGCCACCGTTAATCGCGATGTTGCCCAATCAGAGCTCGACCGCGTGTGGCAAGAACTTCAAGAGATCGAGCCAGCCTTCGAGAAATCGAAGAAAGCTCGCGCAGAAGTCAGCGATGATGTCGACAAGACAATCGAAGAGACATGCTCAGACATCTACAACAACACCCGCACCATCATCAACAACGCCATTTCCCAGGTTGCCGCCACTGATCTCGGTGTCCCATACCCTGGCCTTATGAGCGCCTTTCAATACGCCGAAGATGTTAAACAGGCTATGCTCGACCAGATTTCCCAAGCGGTCTCAATTTGCGAAGAAAAGGCCAAGCATCAGACAATTGGCAGCGTCAACACCATCAAATCTCTAGGCGTACTACATCTTGGTGACGAGTACAATGACTTGAATTTCAACTCGGATCGGATGTTCACAAAGAGACGAGACCTACTAGCCAGACAAGTCGATTTCGAAATCGAGTTTGCAGATTTCTTCGACATTAGCAGTCTCTGGGAACAAAATGAAAAAGTCGCAGGTACAGGCATGGCTTTGACGGTAGCAAGCGTGCTGGGTGGACGCATGATGGGCGGGTTTGGCTGGGTAGACGGAGCTGTCGGCGCCGCTAGGGTTATGGGAACGCAGAATATGCGGAGACTCATCGTTCCGGGTCTCATTGCAGCAGGTACGTCCCCTTTCCCCCTCCCATCTCCTCCTTTCCCAGAAGCTCGCGCTGACTGACTTGTGATACAGTGGTTCTAGCAACGACCTACACCCTCCGCACCATTCCCACCACACTCCCTCCTCGCCTCTCCCGCCGCATCTCCTCCACCCTGTCCGCTTTGGACTATACCCACACCAACGCCTCCCGCGTCTCCACCGAAACCCGCAAAATCCTCCGTTACCCTGCCGAAAACTTGCACGCTGGGCTTCAGCAAAGTGTTAGAGCGCTGGGGGAGAAAAGGGAGGAGAGGGTCAAGGTTAAAAAAGAGTCGGAAGTTGCGAGGAAGTATTTCGGGAATTTGGTTAGGGAGACGGGGGAGGGTCGGGGGAGGGTCGAGGATGTGGATCTGGAAGGCGCGCAGGTCCCGGGGTTGGCGGGGGGGTATGAGGAAGGTATGATGGTGTGAGAGATGAGAGAGATGGTCCACCTGATGAAGGGTCTCTTGCCTGGCGTTAGCGGGAAATGAACGCTGTATCCTTACCGAGGCAGGCGTTGTCAATTGATCACAGCGACGACCGGTGGCCGGCTTTTTAACTCCACACACTTTTTTTTGACCGTCATGAAGATGATGGCGCTCTTATGGAAGTGCGACGCGTGTTGACCAATAGAATCTTAGCTAGGAGCATTGACCAGGGATGAATATGTGACATGTATCGGACTATTTACCCCAAAACCAATCAAAGACGCAACATCATAACTCATGTCTCCGTAAAGGGTCTTTCGGACATCAACTCATTCGATCACAGACCTCCCATCCCTTATGTATATAGACATACCGCAAGCGACAAAGTCTTGGATGTGATTCAAAACTCCATCGCGCCTTCCCCAAACCCATCGCCTTTGTACCCACTATCGTTAACCAGCTTACCCAACACTTCAAGGTTGTTATGCGTTTCGGGCCCGAAGGCGCCAAACCACGGGTTATCCCCACCTTCCATACCGTCATTCCCAAGCAGTGGTTGAAGATCAAGTGTGAGCCAGTCCGAAGGGAAAGCCATGGGGTCATCACCGTTTGAATAGAAGGGTTGCTGTGGCTGGTTATGGTGTTGGTTTTGGTTAGGGGACTGCGTGAAAGTGTTGACGAAATTGTTGTTGGGATTGAAGGAAGCATAGTTGTTCCCAATGGGCGGCATAATGGATATATTGCTGTCGTGAGGGGAATTGTAGGTGCGAGATATACCTGCAAGCGGACCTTGTCTATCATCGTATTGGAATCGATCAGAAGGGTTAAAGTTCTTTGTGCCGGTTTGATACCCATCGGAAGCAAAGTGGGCTTGCTGCTCACTGAGATGGGTGGTACGCTTTGCTTGCTCTGGGGTAGATAGAGACCCCGGAGGTAGTCTGACAAATTGGGTGTTAATTGCTTTTATCAAGCTCTCGAGAACATCGGCAATGCGTAGGCAGAGATGAACGTCGTCGACTACGCTGGTACGCAAGGCTTTGACCGTATCTTTCAAAAGGCGCAGCGATACTGCTACTTCGTCCTCTTTCCCGCCGAGGGCGAAAGTCTGAAGGAATTGTGAGACGAAGGCAAATCGAATGGGCGAAAGGGCTCCTTTACCTTTAGAAGAAACATAGCAGCGGAAATGATTCGGAAATAAGTCCGCACAGGAGCATGCTTGAGATGGTCATCTGGGAGAAGAACGTCCAACACATGCCGTAAGACTGTTCTCGAGGAATCAATTACCTCTCGAATGTAAGGCTCGTTCCGATTGTAGACGCTTGCATAGGATGAGGACATGGTGGAAACGGGTGACTGCGGGCTTTCGCCTTGGGGAAGTGGATTGGCCTTCGCAGCCCAATGCTCCATCACAGCTTGAAGCGCCAGGGAATTGATGTAGAGAGCTGTAAGAGGTCAATGAGAGGAATTGATTATAATCGGCGTTTAAACACTTACTGATGTAATGATACTCGATCGAAAGGATGACTCTGGGGTATACTGGGACTGTGCTCCGTTAGTCAGGTCTAAGGTGTCTACGTAGATATGTAACTCACGATCCAGAGCGTTGAACCTTTTTTGCCATGAATAAAGGAGAGGCTGAAGTTGGTGAAGTTCTACGATGTAGGCTTCAGTCTGGACCAGCTTTGTGGTTTGATCTTTAGACGAGAATAGCCGGTCGTTGCAGTCTTTCATTATGATCATCAGCTCAAGCCAGCTTTGCTGAGTCCTGTCTACAGGATCCTTGAGCATGGTCGAGTCCACTGACATCATATCAGCGCAGCTGTAAAGCCCACCAACAGGACACATACCTGAGACAAAGCCTTCTTTCACACTCTCGATTGCGAACTGGTTGATCTGGTCTGAATACATGCTCGGAATCCCAAATCTGCCACTTGCTTGCGTAACAAAAACGTAGAGCATTCGCTCAATTCTGTCCGCTCGTTTATTGTACTCAGTCGCTCCACCTTTCCGTTTCACTATTCCATCAACAGAAAGAACCCCGTCGGAGTAAGTACCGAAGATGCCGAGCTCATATGCTAGGACGTATGACGTTCCAATAAGGCTCCAGCACATTCGGTCTGATCGTACAGCTGGCTCGCTCCACGTGGAGCCCAAATATAGGGCTTTTTCATCCGCAGGAGTATCAGCCTCATCTGCAGGAGCTAAGATGTCATCGTCATCGTCCCTGGGCGGAAAATGCATGGACCTAGGATGGAATTCGTTCAACAGAAGGAGGCTAAAGAATTAGTTAACCTGGTAAAGGAAGAACGAGACTGAGAACGAATACCTCTCAATAGTGCCAAGCGTTCGCAGTCCTCCCTTTCCAGAATTGGGCTGACCTGGTCTTCGGGTACCTGCGCCACAAAAGCCTCCTCCGAACTGCTCCTGTCCCCAGAACATGCGCGTGATCATATTTTGCAGGTACGACCATAGCCTCTCGTGGATCATGAATGATCGAGTCTTGCCCCCTGGGCCTGAGAGTTCCATGTATCGAGAAGCAATTGTAAGCACGGTGACTGTAAGCATTGGCTCATCATTGACAAGGTTTGAATAGGCTGCATGTGAATCGAACGCCGGCAGACTAATTGGGGTAAGAGGCGAATGGCATTTGTAGAAGCTGGGAATGTCAGCCTAGCCTATTTGAGCCAAATAAGGGACGTGCGTACTAATCGATGTACGATATTGCTTCTTTGGCGGTGAACCATCCAGCACGGACGAACCTCAGCCGCGACCACAGTCTGAGCGCTTCTATTGGGATAGGAGTGTCGTCAACATCTGCGTTGCTTCCTGAAATTGCTGGGTCTATATTCAAAGGATAATTCTGCCCTGCTTGGCCGTGTGACGAAGGCCCGGAATTGTATCTGCCATGCATGATGTTCGAAGTTCGCACGGACTGGTTTGTCGACCGTTCTCCTAGGCTTGCTGTATCTTTACGCTGCATATGCTCGCTTTCATCGGAAGCTTTAAGGAGCAGATGCAACGCATCGCCGGGTACGTTGATAGGGCTCTGAAATAGTGCGGCAGCAGTTTCATTGGAGACTTCCTGATCCTGGCCATCTGCGGCCTTACCCAGCTGTATTTTCGTAGCGTAAGGGCTGTCTTGCTGGAGAGGTCTCTGCCTGGGTAGATCGTATCCATCCAGAGGTGAGGTAGCAGGTAGAGGTCCCGAGGTCAACGACTGTTGGCCATTTGGTAATGATTGTTGATCGAAAGAGCCAGAAGTCCTAACACTCTTTTTTCTGGCAAGGTGTGCCGCAAACTCCTCGTCTGGTGGCCCGTCTCCCGCAGATTGGCCATCCTCGCTGTCGGCCTTCCGTTTTCTCCTGGTGGCGGAGAAGTAGCATTCCTTGGCTTCGCGACGACATCTGACACACGGAGGGTCGTGAGGTTCATCAACAGGTCCTAGGTCGCAGCGAACTTTTCTCTTCCTGCAAGGAATCTGCGGAAGCCTACATTAGCAAGCGTGGGGGATGTGGACAAGGTCGGCTATACGCAGGCTTGATAGGTCCTCTTATGCAGTGGTGATGCAGATATATCTCCAGCATGTGAGGCGTTTTGTGAGTTTCCGGAGATTGGATCTGCAAGCTGTTGCGGATCTGCATTTGCCATTGTCGTGGCTTGAGAAGCAGAGAAGGCAAGAGACGGCTAGCTGCGGAGTAGGATATCGAGGATGCGCCGTTAGATAAACCCTTGGCAGCTCGAGCTACTGAAACAAAGCTTTACAGCGACGACACTCGTTAGATATGGATAGCTGATGGAAGGGTTTCGCCGAGGAATCTGATGCCTTGTGCCGGTTGATGAAGTAAAGTAGTGAGATACTACTACAAAATTTTCTCGCTCTGCGGTAACTTGTCCCCCTCTCGGATCCAATCAAACCTCATTGAACAAGTAGTTCTTCTTCTACTGCTTATATCTACATAGTCCAGAACCTCAAATCTAAGGACTAGACCCGTTGTATTTGCGAAAATTAGGATTTGCCAATCGTCGCTCTTTCCATTGCCACATGGGCCATTACCAAGACGCCAACCCATGCCCCAGCTATCCGAAATAACTCCGTCGCCATGCTCGAACATTTTTCAAAGGAACATCCACGAGGTTTCTTCGGACTAGCCGCCATAGTTCGAATCGCGGAGGGGGTACGTGCTGCTTGCATACTCCGAAGTGCCGTCGTGATAGATGGTTCCCCGTCGGTCATCCTCAGGAAGGAGCTCCTTGACTTCCCAATTGCCTTGCTTCGTGCCGACGCTGAATTCAAGATCTTCCTTGGTAATGGAGTCCCAGTACTAGAAGTTTTGTAAGCGGTACTTCTACGCGAGGTTTTCTCTCCTCGTAAGCTTACCTTGTAGACCATCATGACTGCTAGGAGGTTGCATATTGTAGCGAAAAATAATCCGTCGAGGTAATGCGATACGGCGTTGCAGATAGTATCACTGAACACGTAGAGGATCACCTGGCCAATGACGAAGAAGAAAACCCCAAAGGAAATATCTCCGAGCGGCCAGCGATCTTGCAGGGTATTCGTAACGAGTATGATCTGCATGGCCAAGTAGATCAACAAGCATATGCCATTAATCAGGTACAGCACCACGAATAGGCCAACAGTGTTGGTTGGACCCAACCCAGCTCTCCCTTTGAACGTCAAGATGGATACTGCGCCTGAGATAACGAACATGCCGATCGAAGAGCCCCGGAGTAACCACACGGATTGCCTTGTTCCGTCTTCATACAGCTGAAAACCGACGAAGCCATTGATCAGGAGGCAAGTGCACAGGGCGGAAGTGAAGCCATTCTGCACGGCCACGAAGTAAGGGAAAGTGCTCGATCCCGGAGGTATGACTCCAGCGTCCAGTATCAATGAGGTCATGGTCAAAGCCATGTAAATGTAAAAGAAGGTGGTGATCTCTTTCCGACCTATATTTAGAAAGACCACTGGTCAGAAGGCATTCAGAAGGACGGGCAGGATCCAGGCCCGACTTCCTCACCGACAGCTGTAAATTTCGAGCGCACATGCAGCACCATGATAGCCGCCATGCCTAACGCCAATATGTGTATGAAATCGGTTGCAGCCTCGAAGATGATGGTGTTGGCCAGTTCAATGTTTCGGGCGTAGCAGGTTGCTTGGATGCCTGTCGTGCTGTTCGAAATAGGATTCGTAGGACCCACAACGGAGCACACTGGCAATGCACTCTTGCGACATATCGTCTCGAAATCTCCAAAGCCCATGGCTTCTTGGCCGCTTGGGGTGCGAAGGGCGGTGGTGACGAGGTGTCGTTGCCTCGAAAAGGTGTGGGGGTAGGGTAGGTTAGGTTGACGGCAAAGGCGGTGTGCTACTACGTAATGTGTAGCAAGGCGCAGACAGGGAGCGAGAGCAAGTGAGTAGTGTATGGAGTGTATGAAGAATGAAGGCAATGCGCCGTTGTAACGTCAAAAGTCAAAGAAAAGTTTGTTTATTGTTCAGGAGTCTGAGGAGTCTTGAGAGTTGGGGCCAACTCGGCCGAGAATCGTATTTGCGCTTACTAATCATATATTTTTAGCGTCAATCAAAACAAGCCCCGGGCTGCAGGCGCCAAGCACTCTTCCCAAAACCAAGTATTCCCCATAATCCCACTCAATCGCATGAACGTTACTTCCATATCCGACAAGCGACCCATCAGAACCCTTCCAAATTTGTTCTGAGCACGAGGCAACGTCCCGGCCAGCTTCAAAACTGGTCGTTGGGCATCCATCTGATCACGGTATGAGAGACGAGGTCCACAAATGGAGCCTGCTGCCAGCGGTCTGTGCATGCAACGTTCAACCTGGGCGCGCGCGAGGCTCAAGCACCTCGCCTTCGTGCATGCACCATTCGGCATTGACAGGCCCATATCATTTCACTGACGCCTTCTGCATGTCGACCAGAGGCTCGGATAGATCTATCCTCCTTTTGGACATTCTCATACGGAGCTATGAGGTCACTTGGCCTCTCTAGCTGGCTAACAGAGGGGGGAGAGAGGTCTATCAAGCAAAAGCTACGGTAGCAAGCCTGTTTCAGCTGATATGAGAATAGGTTGCTGAATGTGAGAATTTCAACACGTTGCGGATATCAGACATGCTTTACTATGACTTGCCGCCTCCGAATCTTGACCAAGACTCCCCCCCCCCACACTGAGTCACCTCGCCAGGTCCCGAAACGTTCAACCCGGCTGTACCCCAGTTTCCTTCAGCTGTTTGACAGCTGCGATGATCCTACTACCACTTTTAGCCTTGTGCTTTGATGCGCTTCAATTCAATAGGTCAAAGATGCTCATGAGGATCTCAATCAAGCTGTCCGGCGTATTTTAGGTTACGAGGTTTAGGTTTGATCACGATTTCTTTTTCGAATTGCAGGCCCAAGCTTCAAGGAGGTTCTTAGTCGCTTTGACCGCCTATGAGCGTTAATGCTCCATAACTCTCGTTTCTGATACTTTGCGCGAGCTACTGGCCATTATACTCCACGCCAACGATAGATTACCCTTCGTTGCTCGGGTGGTACTCGGATGATGCTGGAGCGCAAATACATGCATGCTTGTTTTTTCCCCTTGCGACATAAACGGCGAAAAATTTCATGGCGCCGCGATCTGTTCAAAGCTCATACTTAATCATGTCATCTTCTACCAAATCTATATTCAAAAGCATCGTCTCCCGGGAAAGTCAGAAAGATGTCGCCATTCTTCCCAACACGGCCTGTATCCTGATCACCAGAAGTGAACCGCGACTCCGACATACAATTCTCTTAGAAGCTAGTGCGCCAACAGATACAGTGGTCAACCTGCCCATTTGGTCTTCAACAGAAATCGAACTTTTAGCTCCCCAAAGTGCAGGAGGACTACGGTGCGTTTGTCCGCCCAGTTCTCACAGTAGGAGCACTGCAGCGCTATGAATTCATAGTCTCTGTGCTAATACCATTCCAGATCACGGTTTCGATTCAGATCCCTGCTCCCCCGTCCGCAAGCCCTCGTCAACATGTGCGAATACACACGCAACTACTACGTCTACTCGAACTGTACGGACCCAGCCATGCACTTCACTAGAACCTCGACGGAAGGGAATGCAAAGAAGAAATGCGCCAAAGCACCTCACGAGCGTTTCATTGTGGTCTCGGGTACCTGCAATATATGTCGGTAGCAGGTACACTCGTCACGCCATGCACGAATCAAGGGGTAGAGAGCCTTCTGGGAGCGCTTGCTCGTCTACTCAGGACCTCCAGGGTCGCAATCACCACCATTCAGGAAAGAGGGTGCCGGCGACGTCGAGGCCTAGATGCTGGGCAATTTCATCATTTCCCAGGCTCACATGAGGCATGGAGGCCGCGAGCCTTAGACTTTGGACATGACGGAGGAACGTCCGTGCTCGGCTTGCTTGCCACCAACTCTAACGAGGCGGACGATCGAGATTGGAGAATGGAGAGCGCGGGTGGTTGGATTTCTTCGGCAATTGTCTGTCGGCCTCGTGGGCTTGCAAGGTTTACCCCGGTGCTTGATTATGTTCGCTTCTTTTTCACAATGTCACACATTCCGATGATCACTCTTTATTAGTATTACGCGCTGTACGGTTTGTCGGTCGGCAAAAGTGAAGTCAGGCATATACCCTCGGAATCTTTACGTCGTTTAGAGCTTGATACCTACCTCCCTATTCTCTTGACCGAGCGTCTTTTCAAGAATTTTGACGCCGAGGCCTTTTACAGCGTCATGTCGCGTGGAATTTAGGCTAATTGTGTATTTTATCATGTGCATCGTCCCGCTTCTAGCACGTGCGTTTTTTGTTCCCTCCCACTTTTTGGATCGTCCTTGGATCCCGCCTCGCTGGGACGCGTTCTACCGTCAGACAGGAGAGAACCCTGCCTAAGAGTCCCTGCATATCTCTTAACTCCGAAACTTGAGCTCCGACTCCAAGGTCTTTAGGACATGACAAAATGATGAGATAGGTACTTGAACCTTGTCACCTAATTAAGTACCTCGGCTTTTTGAGTCCCATCTCTCCTTTCACAATCGTAAAGTCATCTTTCTCTATAAGCATCATATGTGTTCCATGTAAGATTTATAGCGTCAGAGCCCCGTTGCACTTGAGTTACAGTATCCATACCACTGCCACCCAAATCTCGGAGATTAAAGCAATGCATAGCGTTGGGTCTGGCCTATCTATCCTAAAGCTTTCCCAACTCTCGCCTCACCGCTCTCCGATCAAGGACACGAGAGATGCGAACCATGTCGCTGGGTCTGCTGCCCTTTTACATTGCCGGGTACCTTTTTCCTCGCTAACCTATGAACCGGCGGTCACATGCATCCGGTACCATGACCCACGCATCCTTGAAACTGACCCGACCCTTCCCATCCTCTTCCCAGACCTTTTCCACACCAAATTCATTCACGACGGTATAACTTTCATTCTTCCATTCGGTAAAAGTGAAGACCCGACCTTCCATCACGCTGTCCGCCACATCCCTTCCACACCGCTTCTTCCGTATCATCCTCGCTTCTCGCTTTCACTTTCCGCTCCCTTTGCCCGTTGCCCAAAATAGTCCGTCCGGCAGGACCCTTTCGACTCTTCCTCCTCCTCCTGCTCACGTCAAGCGCTGCCCGTACCGTGGTTCTGCTTCCGATTAGCATGGAATCTAGGAGCGTCGATCATACCTCATCGGTTGGCGCTCGATCCATGAAGCCACGAGCTCCAAGTCCGAGCAGTGTACTTTTCAAAACGTGAGCTTTTACAAGGCGGCCGTGCCTGCAACTTGACGCTACCGGTTCCCCCCCCCCCGACTCATATTCCCCAAGTCTGAAAAAAGTGGCCATCAGGCCCCAGCATCAAACACCCTCCCTCGCCTCTTCCGCACGAGCCAGCCGGCGCATTCGCGAAACGATGCCAAAGCTGCTCGGGTGGAAGACCGGAACGACGAATGCCCATCGTTTTCGCAATCCATCGAATACCCGTCTAAAATCTCCGCCAGCGCAAAACCACCCTCACCGTAGACCCTCCCCGGATTGCCCGTGAGGGCGGAATGAGCTACAGCTTCATCGCCCATCTCCTTCCTTCCCATCTATGCATCCCCTAAGCGGGCACAGTCTCGCTTCCTCGCCTCCGTTGAATCATTCCCTATCATCAAGAAAGTAGAGAGAGCGCTGCGTATACCACTCCGAAGTGTTCGGCAGCGCCACGGTTCGTGGAAAGGGTGACGGCCAAGTGCCGCGGGCGTGATGGGACGGAGGTACGGGCAAGGGAAATCCACGATGGAAATCCAAGGTGAAGAAAGTGCCAAGGGGAGAAGGAGTACGGGTTACCGGGTGGGTACATGTTCTCGGTGGCGGGGTAAGCAGCCGTTTTCGACTCAACTAAACTAATACACTCGACGGTGCGTGAGACACAAATTGGATTTCGAAAACGAAACCTTGGGTGGTCTGCAACATGCCATGTGGATCCCTGAGTGGCTGCTGGTATCTTTGTTTATGCGATAGCTGTGGATGTTTTGCGAAAGCTGTGGAAGTGATGCAGGAAGAGTCCAGAGACGTGCCGGGTGCGGGGGAAGCCAGGTGCTCGTGAGGTTTTCGACAAAGGTGATAGCGTGCTTGGAAAGGTGGAGGCGCACTGAGATGTGTAGTGTTCTGTGACCAATAGGCGATGAACAGCGGCGAAGTCCTTCCTTGTCCTCAAGCCCATGCTTTGAGAAATGAAAGGGTGACGTGTTCTGCCTTGTCCTCAAGCCCATGCTTAGAGAAGAAAGGGTGAAGTGTTCTGCCTTGTCCTCAAGCCCATGCTTAGAGAAGAAAGGGTGAAGTGTTCTGGGTTGGTGGAGACGGCGACGTGAACCGTCCAGAACTGCGACTCTCGGTGTCATGGCTAGCCAGAAAGTGCAACATTTGGCAAGATGCCAGGAACACTTCAATGTATTGTTCAAGTACAATCTATACTAGCTATCTGAAGTTGAAGCTATCTCTGTAAGCAGTACGCGATGGCTGACAATAGCAAGTGCAAGGTGCAACGAGAGGCACAAACCACAGACACTGGAATTACCGTCCGCAAAAGCAGGATCGCTACTCCATCTGATCACCTCTACAAGGATATTTGGTCAGGAGAACACTGCCTTCGGCCAATGGAGACCATGACTCAAATCCATCCCATTGAACATCCATCGCTGCAGTCAAAGTTAGCATCCCGGTCTTGACTTTGCGAAAACTGAACTTACTAGTGGGGAAAGGCCACCAATCGCTCCAGTCCTTCGTCATAAACACCTTAAACGGCCCGTTGACAGTCTTACTCTTCAGCTCCCCTCCGGCTCCGGGTGCGCGGCGCAGATTCTTCAACTGGGCGAAGACGCGAAGCTGGGCTGCCATGGCTGTCTCAACGATCGGACGACCGATACAGCCATGTGGGCCCCATCCATGGTGGATGTACTTGTCCAACGGCCGGGTGAGGTCGATAACCTGCGGATTAGGAAACACCGTCGGGTCTAGGCTGGCTGTCGCGAGGTTGACGAAGATTCGGTCGCCCTTCTTTACCCGGACAGAGCGGTTGCCATCTTCAATCGTGGTGTCAGCGTCTGCAATACGTGTGAGACCGAAGGCCGGTGTATTCAAACGGTAGCCTTCAAGAGCGTATCGTTTGAGCTGTTCGAATGCCTCGGAGCTGTCGGATGCCGCGAGCTTTTGGATGGCTGGCCAGTGACTTTTGTAGGGGTCAGAGAGATAGAGGTCCAGCATCTGGGCAAAGCCCTGAGCTTGAGTGGCGACAGCTGCGGCAGCCGTAGGGATAATAGTCCAGGTGACCTCGTCTACACTCTTCCCACCGGCTTCAAGTCTTTCGAGGAGACGGACACCATAATGGATCAGAAAACTCGCTGCGGGGCCTTTTCCGGCCTTGTACTCGAAGAGATCAAGAGCATCCAAAGCCTCACTGGTAACATTTTTTGGTAACGCTGTTTCACATACCAATCGAACGACACGGCCTAGTTCTTTCGCGGCATCTACAGCCGCAACCTTGAGCGCAAATGAACTCGGAGAATCGAGGTCCACGAATATATAAGCAAAAACGAAGGCCAAGTGATTGTAAAAATCCAGGTCGATGTAGGTGCCTTTTCCGTAGCTCGAGTCAAGCATGGGTATCTTGAACATGTAAGCAATAAAATTTGCGTGCGAAGCGTTCCCGACGAGTCGAACGGCATCAAGTTGGTAGATCTTCCCAAGCTTAGCGCTATTCTGGCGTACCAGTTGCATGGTCAGAGTCTCGTAGAACTGCCGGATCTCCTCCAAACCGTCAGGAGGTTCGTAAAAGGCATTGTGCACAAACCCCTTTTGTCTTGCACTGGCTCCAGAGTCATCACCCAGCATATAGTCGCGACCGGTCAAACATCGGATGCGAGGACCCCATGGGACTTTGAACTTTGCCTGATCATCGAGCACGCTCGTGACTCCGGTCCATGACGCAATGGGGATAGGAGGGTCGACGGAAGATGGCGGACTGAAGTCATAATCGTCATCTTTTCCTAAGGTCTGAAGTATTTTGCGAGTCTCGCTTGGAATGGTGAAAGGGAACATCGCATAGACTGAGTTGTCGACGTAAAAGCCAGGATATGCCCTCATTAGCAGCTTGTAGATCACGCCTCCGCCAGCAACTTGAGGGTCAGCAGAGGCTTGTTTGTAGCCCCAGTGGGTCAGAGACCCGGGAGTGTAATCCTGCATAAGGTCAGTTGGTGGGCGTTCGATGCTTGCTGACCAACATATGCGAGGGAATTATACCATAGTGTAGTATCGATCACCCCGAATCAGAGCCACGGTATTCAAGAGAATTGCCTTCGACACAGTGGAGCCAGGGCACAATCCTTGACCTATTGTATCTGGAAGTGTCGCTTGTTCGGCGACAATTCCGGGGTAGAGTTCCACTAATTCGACTTTGTCATAAAGTTTCTCCAATGTTGCCGCAACATCTGGATCTGAGTTGATCTCGATCCAAGTCTCATGCGGTTTAAGTTGGAAGAACTCTCGAAGCTCATTGAGCGTGGCCACTTTCCAACTTCTCGCTTGCTCCATGCCGAGTATCTCGACAGCCTTCATGATTGCTGGGACATTGCAGGCACCGAAAGCCCCTAAAAAATACCTCCAGTTAACGGTAAGAACCCCGTCATTTGATATGTGAAAGTACCTGCAACGTCTTCTGTGCTCTCTTGAAGAAGCTTCACGAGCTCAGCATCTTCGAAGCTCCCGTTTGCTTGCCTCTCCAAATTCCCAAAAGCCCTCTTCCCTGGATCTGGATTCACGCCGTGTTCCCATCTTCGGAGGCCTTCAATAAAGGCTGGCAGTGACAATGTTGCCGGATCGTCATTAGGAAAGACATCTTTGTAGAGATCATGGGCCCATACTTCGTCCTTGGCACTCATGGCGGTGTGCCATCTGTAAAACATATTGAACTCGACGCTGACTTGGTTTCCAGTGGCGGATGGGACTGTTGTCTTCCCAAAGTCAGCCAGTGGGTCAAGGTTCCAGGTCGATTTGCAACGATTCAAATTCAGGATCGTCTTGAAATAGTCGCCGATGATGATATGTACGTAGAGTCCGCAAGTTATGCTGGGGCCTCAGTCAGTAACGGTGCAGTTTGGGTAGGATGATGAAAGACGGAGGAGTCCACCGTCATGGTGACCTTCACGTAACTTCAGGAATGACATGGCACTCCCCCCTGGTTTGTATACGACACAAGGGGAAAGGATACTCACAGTCTCCCGACTTGGAACAGATCATTTTCACGCTTCTTCATCGCAGCCTTGTAGAGTTCATCTTGAGCAGACTCGACGGGAAGACTGAATCTGCCGCCCTCGTTGATGTCTGCTAGTTCCTCGACCACATAGTTGTGGAAGCGGTTGAACGAGACCAAAAGAGCACAGACCCCCGGTGGAAATCCGAGGACTCTGACCTCCGAAAATGCGTCAGGCTTCAGCTTTCCATCCACGAAGGTGCGGACAGCAGCTTGTTGCTCTTCGTCGTGGCCATACAGAGGCCCAAGGTCCAGGTAAGAAGAGCTGTCAACCTTGTTGTAGTCATGCTCATTCGTACGAAAGACATCTGATGTATGGTAAGCATCCATTAGCTGAAGGGTAGGAAGCATTTGATCCCTGAAAGAGGGGTGGGTCTTACCATGGATAATGATTGTAGTGAGGTAGAATAGCATACTGGAGATCTTGCTAGGATGCTCTTTCGGAGGCCCATCTCGAGCAAACAGAGCTGTTTGGAATTAGCCCAGCACTCAAGCCTGCCTTTGGTAAGGGGAGCAGCTATACCGTCAAAGATCAAAGACGGGTCAGGAAGAACAGCAGGAAGCACCGTCATGGGTGTGACACTGCGTGCATAGGCGGACCCAGCTTTCCCAAGATTGGGGTAGATGACACTCTACACCTTGTCAGGATCTCTTTTCTGGTGGAGAGGAACTGGGATACTTGCATTGTTTGACCCATCAGCGGCACGGTACTTGTACTGGTCTCCCAAACGTGTGAGTGGTGGATGGTCGAGGGTTTCCCATAGATTCTTGACCAATGCCCCAGCGATAACGTTACCACCTTTCGATTCTTCAGGTATGGATGCAGCCAGTTGAACAATACGCTCAACCTATTGTTCACTTAGTAACCTTGTAAAGATTTATACTAGACAGAATCGTTGTCAACATACTAGGGGGTTCTTGTGATCGATTGAGCCGCTATGCAAATATGCCTGGATGGCAGAGATGACCACACCGACGTCTTCTGGTAATTTCATGTCTTGGGCGTGTAGCTCAATGAGTACACCTCGTAGGAGGCCGTGATCGATGGGTGCATCGAGATCGCTGGTAGAGGTGAGGTGATCTGCTCCGAGCGTCTGTCGAATTATCTCAGTGAGCTTTTCCATAATGGTCCGAAGGTCATTTGGGACTGTGGGAATTGAAGCAACGCTTGGACGATGACTCTGGTCAGGCGAAGAAAGAAGGTCAATTTCCATGCCATCGTGTGCAGCATCGTCGATTGCCATGTCGTGGGTAACCCCGTTGGGGGCTGATGCAAGGAATGATGGCATGGTGGGAGGATGTGAATGAGATGAATGAAGAGAGGAAGAAAAGGAAGTACGAGATCCGCAAGCAGTGGTCGGAGAAGAAGGTTTTGCGTGGATGAAGGGGAGAGATAATACAGGATGGTATAGACAAGGCGAGACTCAGCAGGGACGCTTGGAGAGGGAAGGTAGGAGGCGAGATTTGATGATGTAAACCTCGCTTGTGGAGGTATTTAGGAAGGTACGAGGAAGAGGTATCCCTCAACCCCCAGTATGAGAGACAAAGCAGAGCCATTCACCCAAGGAGACTCGGAGATGTCTTCCTTTGCTTTCAGCATAGCATTACGAGGAGACACAGAAGCCAGCCCTATCACTTCGAAGCGTAACCGCCTCTCCCTCATTCACTGAGAGCAGTTCGTACTCCAACCTCTATCAGAAGATGAAACAGTGTTGGTGCCTTCCTTTGCTAAACGCTTGCTTTCCTTTCCTGCTCAGTGCTCAATTGCAGATCTTTGCATGACCTCCCATCGAAGAGATTCTGACAAGATCAGGGTTGGCTCGTAAACAATGCCAGGCTGATCGTCTTCGACAACGCATCTTGGACTATCTGAAGGCATCTGAAGGCGACTGCTTTCTTTCGTTGACCTCGCATTGCACTTGTATGAGATGGCGCTAAGGAACGTTAGCAGCGGACCCTTGCTCTCACCCGTGAAACATATTTGTTTGCCATTCGACTCCAGACATGACCATACTGGCAGATCTGTCTTCCAATGCCATCTCTGCTTCACTAACATCCCCCAGCTACTGCGTGGTGGTTAGGATAGACGGTATACCCAAAAAGAACCTTTTGAAATTGGGGCCGCAGGGTTCATTGAAAATGACCGGCGCGTCACCTTAAAAAAAGGCGATGTCATCATTAACATCCAATTTGGAACTCGCGTGCCTGCCTCTAATGCACCCCTTCTCTCTCTCACACACAACATAATTCCTCTTATAACTTTTCAGTTGATCTATGGCCTCTAGAATCTTGAAGGCACACCGTTTACTGTCAAGCTCCGCTCAATCATATCTCACATCACGCACCATCAGTCCAGCACCTCGAACACTCTCCCGCATCAACGTATTTCACTTTCACACCAGTACTAGAACCATGGCTGAACATACATCTTCATACCGCGCCAACGGCGACAATGGCGATGAGGGAAATACTGAAGGCGACCTCAACGCATGGAAGCATAGAGCACCCTACAAGGTCCACGACAGCGACCCAAACTTTCACGCTCGCTATGAAGCCAGCTGTCATTGCGGTAAGATCCGGTACCAACTGAGTAGGGAGAAGCCGCTGGATTCCAAATACTGCCATTGTACGACGTGTCAGAAGCTTCATGGTACGAAATATCCTCTCTGCCCTTGTTCAGAAAGTATATGCTGACCCCATATCTTTTAGGAGCACCATTCCAGTGGGCAGCCATCTTTCATAAGGAAGACATCAACTTCACCCACGGTCACAGCGACCTGGGCTGGTACGAGAGCTCAGAAAAGACTACCGTGCACAAGCTGCCATGCAAAGTCAGCTGTGCTTACTGCCGTACACCTATCATGGACGAGGGAAGGAATATGATCCTGCTGTTTCCGACCCTGATCAACTTCAAGTCTCCTGAGGACAGGAAGAACTTTGACCCTAGGTGAGCATTGTCAGGTGTTTTTCAAACCCCTCAAGGAAACCTGCTGATGGTCACTACCTAGCTGCCACATGTTCTACACTCGTCGGATCCTCGACATCAATGACGGCAAGCCGAAGTGGTCAGGCATCAGTAACGACAGCGAGCTGATTGAGGATTCACCCGAACAAGACAAGAAGAGGAAGCGTGAGGAAGACGCGGCGGAAGGGAATGATAAAAAATCATGATGGGTTTGTTGAGCATGGCGCATGCGTGTTCCACTAAGAGCACGCATTCTCGGTCCACAGAAATTGTTGGGTGAAGCACTGGCTTTATCCAGCTTTGCTGCTCTTGGGTCCAGCAGTGTTGTGCCAGTGATGTTGCTTCGAATGCACAGCTTGGAGCTCATGACTGGCTTTACAGTGGAACATCAATAAGAGATCAGGTCACCTTGATTTTAGACTGTCCCCAGCGTCCGTGCTAGTGCTCTATCGCCTTTCAATTGCACCAGACGACTTGCAAGCGGTATTCAAATCTACAAAAAAGTTCGTGCACATATGGAACTCGATTTACTGAATTCTTTTCTCGATTCCATGCTACCCTCTTTCCTTTGCTGCCTTCAAAGAACAAAAGCTTTTCGAGTATCCGTGTCAGAAGCTTGAATTCATTGTTTGATTGTGAACGACATGTAACATACGCGGTTTACTCCGGGGAGTCGTACGTATTGCCGCTTACTGTTAAAGAATCAAGTCATCGAAACACTGAATCATCAGTCCCATGTCTATTCCTTAATGATAATATATGAGGCGCTTATTGAAAACCTTCCTATTCGATGTTTTCCCCGCAAGAAGTCGCGCATGCCTTTACGTACATGCGCATCAAGAATTTCATGCGCTCAACGAGATGGCGAAGTTTTGCTCAAGCCCCCAGATCTTGTTTATGGAAGAAGACTCCGTAAAAGCTCGGACGTGGTCAACAATGTTTTATGATCCTTAATTCAACGTCATTGAACTCTTCTCAGTACACAAAATGCATGCCGTCACGACTCTGTTTCTCTTGTACCTCACAAAATGCATCACCGCCAACACCACAACCGCCGCTCAACGAGCTCAGCAGAAAGCCGTTGCCGCCTGCCAAAACCTCACCCCCTCAACCACTAATGACGGCACTACCACTACCATCCTACCCTTTCCCGATCCATCATGCTGGGTCACTTTGGGCATGACAGACTGGATGAAGAACTGGAACACCAGCACCACAATCTGCACAGCTACACAAAGCGTACTCACGCCATGCCAATGCCGAATAGATGAGCCGTGGGCAACGTGCTTCATGCGGCTGACATATGAGAGAAACCGAACGGCTAGCTACGTTTGTACGAATCTGACCAAGCCGGAGGAATGCACGGAGCCGGTACCTGGGCTTATGGTGCCGGGGCCGGCAGAAATATTCTATGGCGCTTATAGTGTAGGTCAATACAATTTGGTTCTAGAAGCAAGACATGTGACGGTTACTGACAGTGAGATAGATCTGGTGTAGGTCAAGCAAGAAACTCTGGTAACTCAGACTTCTAAGCTAATCATGCTCTCCTCAGCACTTTTCAGCTACCTAATAACCTGGCACACCTCCCTGACCTCCCCCAGCGCCCTACCCGCCATAACAACCCAACTTTCCAAAACCAAAACCAGTGCTCTCTCTGCCAACAACCTCCTCGTAGCCCTCGTCCAAGACTATGCCGTCGATACATCCCGTGGCCAAGCTTTTATCTCCGTCATGACAAACGGGCCACTTCTCAGCAAGAATGACGGCCCCACGAGGCCAACGCTGTCGAACGCGCAGGAACTGCTTGGTCAGCTATTGCAGCAAGCCTTAGAGGTCCTTACGAGCGATTGGTCTTGCGGGGACTTTCAGACGATGGTGAATGGGGGGATGTTGTTGAATGGAACGCTGGAGACAACTGAGATTTTGGACACGAGGTTGGGGCAGCAGGAAAAGATGTAAAGGGGTCATCAGGCGTTAGAGGCTTTAAGAGGGCATTTGATCTTTTCGGGTACTCGAGAGGAAAAGATTGTCCTTGTTTGATTCTATATCCCTACCATCAAAATCAACTCCCTGGAGGAGGAAGACCTTTAGCCTGGATGGCTTTAGAGGCTTCAACTGCATGGGACCGACCGAATGTCTCCGGGTTGAGCTTCAGATATAATGACCCTGACGGCCTGGACAGCATGCAACCAGGCAATGATTCGCGTTCAGATTTGTGCGTGCTGTTCTGATGACTTGTGCAGTAGGTAGTTGCGTAATCAAGCAGTCCATTCGGGGTTCGATTAATGATTTACGGCCTTCAATTCTTCAGCAACCTGCGAATGGCATAACAATGGGGTTCGCAGCCCACGACTCCGTTCCAAGAACATAATGAAAGTTGTGAAAGCGTAAGATGCCGCTCGTATCGTCCGTTTTTATATAAGATCTCGATGCCTTTCACAATTTGCTCCTCGGCAGCAGGTGCAGCAACCCAGGGTCGCGACTGGCCATGCGACGCCAGATCCCTGTCAGTCTCGACGTGGACTAGCGGCAACTCCAAGTTCGCATGCCTTTCATCGTCTGTCGGCTCCACCTCTTTCACACTCCATTCGAGACGACGCCTCGAGCATATTTGCTGGATTCTGGTTTCGAATTTGGGTTGAGAATAACGCGTATCTTGCTTCTCTGTTTTTGTTGCAACCAGACCGTCGAAGCTTTCCCCACCTTGCCAGCAACACCTCGGCTTATCTCACCCGAAAACAAAACAATCCCTCGCGGACCTCAAACCATCCATAGTGTGTGCACCATTGTTTTTGACCCCTAGCAGCTAACTGGCTGACTGACTGATATCCAGATATCTTGACAACGCCCGTGGCCTCGCCCTCTGTCCTCGCGACCAGCCAATCATGTCCGTCAAATTCGAGAAAGAGACTGTCAAGGACACTCCGATTCCTGGATTGGGAGGACGGAAACATGAGATCGTGCACGAGATCGGCGAGAGGTTGACGGGAGGCGAAACGGCACGAGGCTACCTCGCTGTAAGCAGTGGAGTGTCTCATGTTCCAGTGCCGGAGGACTGACAATCTCCACGAGCCAGGCCTACCTCCAGCAGCTCCAAACCAATCCCTTGCGCACGAAAATGCTCACTTCTGGCTCCCTCGCAGCTCTACAAGAGGTTCTCGCCTCTTGGATCGCAAAAGATGTTGGTCCATCCGGCCATTACGTCAACTCTCGAGTGCCAAAGATGGCAGTGTATGGCGCTTTCATCAGCGCGCCGTTGGGCCACTTCTTGATCAGTATACTGCAGAGAATGTTTTCCGGGAGGACGGGTTTGACGGCGAAGATTATGCAGATTCTCGTTAGCAATTTGGTCGTATGTCTGCACCATCCTTAGGCGCAAAGCAGGGCTGATATTTCGCAATTTGCAGGTCGCACCCATCCAGAACACAGTCTACCTCGCCTCCATGGCCGTCATCGCCGGCGCCAGGACCTTCCACCAGATCAGAGCGACCATCAGAGCCGGCTTCATGCCTGTGATGAAAGTCAGCTGGGTCGTCTCGCCGTTGGCATTGGCCTTTGCCCAGAAGTTCTTGCCTGAGCAGACTTGGGTGCCTTTCTTCAATATTGTTGCCTTTGTCATTGGTACCTGGATTAACTCTCAGACTAAGAAGAAGAGGCTTCAGGCTTTGAGGAGGAAGGTAGGCTGACTCTATAACCCTGTGATGATGATGGCTGACGGCATTTCAAGCACTATGGCGACGATGGACGAGGTGATGGACGAGGTGATGGGCGAGGTGATGGGCGAGGTGATGGGCGCAGCCAGTCGGGCAGAACCGACTATTCGAAGCCTGGATACTAGGAGCGTTATGAACGGATGGCGTATTTAGGATCGAGGTCGTATGAAAGCAGTTTTGGGGTAATGGTCGAGCATTGACAGCCGCATTTTGCCCATCTCTACCGTTCGAACACACCAACTTCGTCTTGGCGACTTCTTACTGTCTTGCTATGTATAGGACAAGATTCTTCAAGAGCGAGCAATACCCGTTACTTAGCTTCCGACTTGATTCTTACTTCTTGCGCGAGATAGTTATCTGCATACGTTTTATCACCTCCCGTGCAATTACCCTCCTTGTCGCCCATCCATCCTACTATCCTCCTTGCGTACACATCGCCCAAGACCTATCTCCGCGCTTTTCAGCACCCGTGTGCTGCTTTCCCACCTTCCTCTTCCGTACTCCGGCAAATCCTACCGATTCCAGACCACGCACTCGTCGGCTTACCAGCACCTTGGTTTCCCGACCTCTGGCAGCTCCCGTCGACACCGCTCCGGGTCAAGCAGTTCCACACTGATGTATGCGAGCACTACCTACATCGGATCGCGGTCGCTGCCCGCGTCTTTCCAATATTCGCTCCGGCGCAAACCCAGACGACGCCAATCTCATGACCGCGGCGCGGCCAGCGGCCCGGAGCCTGCGGCGGTCAGTTTACAATCATCGTTTCAAACCATGTGCCAGAATTAGTAATGATTCCATATCCGATGATCCAGACTCTTGCTTTTCCACCTCCTTCCGCAATACAAATACATAGGTAGTCTAGATGATCTGTCCCCCTCTTCCCTTCGCTGTGGCAACCGAGCTTTTCCCTGCGTTACTGGGGTCACCGAGAAGGACGCTAGGCATGCAGGTACGCCTTGCTGAACTGTCTCTTCGATTATGCATTACAGGTATGCTCGGACGCCTGTTAGGGATTTGCAAGGGCAGGCCTGCGAGGGGATGCTTGTTTGTGGCTTGCTTGTCGTCCTCCAATTGTTGTCGCCGGTAAATCAGTCGTGGCTTCTTCTTCTTCTTCTTCTTCTTCTTCATCCTCACGCAGTTTACCGAGCATGTTCCTTCCGATCCCCGTGACCGGGCCGTATCATGTCACACTGGTGTGATGAGCTCTCTTTTTTTTTCTTTTTTTTCTTCTTCTGAAATCCAATTCAATTCAAATATCAAAATCGCATTCCCATAGTCACTGTTTCTATCCTGTACTTGATAAAAACAAAAAGTGCCTTCCGCAATGCGCGTTCCTCGGCTCCACCTCATCCCCAGACTCGCCCTTCTCGCCATCATCGCCACCGCCGCCGCCGTCACGTTCATCGTTTGGTCGAGACGACACATGCAAGCTGGCAGCCAAGAAAAGGTCCATGGTGGTAGTAGTTCAAGGGCTGGAGAGTGCCTTACGCGTGAGTCGCTCGCCACATAATCATTTACATACAGTCACCGCTGGGGGTGGTGCTGGCGAATAATAACGTTCCACAGTCAACGCAAGATGCAATGTCTACAACGGGGATTTCTGCTGCGGCAAGCTCTACTGTCACGAGCTGCCGAGTATGGGCGCGACTTGTGTGTCGCCTGGTGGGTCAGAGTACTACCAGGAACTGCTTGCGGATGGTTGGTTGGAAGAGGAAGATTCCAAACGGTGCGTTGACATGTGAGGGGAATGGTTCGCACATAACACTGATGTGGGTGCTATAGGTGATGATAATACATCAAGAAGAACGAAAAGGATGACAGGTTAAACTCCCAACTCTCGGTCCGGTAACGACGGTTTGAAGGGTAGAGGACCGTGAAATATCGTGACGAAGGGATGGAAACACAACGCCCAGAAGCTCCGTAATCTCGGCTCGGTAACAAGGGCATGAAGAATCATAGTGACACGTTACCCTCACTGTCTCGCCATCAGCAGCAGCTTCTCAACAATACCAGCGCGCTTCGACCTCCGCAGAAGCAGCCCCCCTACCCTTAACCTGTCTCTTATCAATCTCGCCAGCCGCTCACTTGCTATTCGCCACCGCAGTGCCATCACCGGAAATACAATCCCCATCGCAGAATGGATCCTCTACATAGTTGAACGTCAAATACCCATCCTTAGGACTATTGCCCCAATCGACCGTCGCACTCCCACACGTCTTACACTTATGCTCCAGCACCTGATCCGCCAGCGGCTGTATCTGCGCGAGTGTCAAGCTGGCGCCAGCCTTCAGGTAATTTGGAAACGCGCAAATGCCTCCGGTGCCGATTGCGACGTCGAGTTTGTAATTCCCGCCGGTGGACTCGCTAGCGCCGGATGCATCAATACCCTTGCTGATGTCGGAGCCGATGGTGACGGATTCGGACGAGGAGATGCAGACTACGTGCTGGCCCTCGGTGTACGTGGTCGTCAAGGGTTTGGAGGTGGCGTAGATGGCGTCGCGGAGGATCTGGACGATGGATTCGGGGTCCTTGTTTTCGAATCTGGCGAGGGGACAGAGGCCGGAGCCGCGGCAGTTGAGTCCGAGGGCGGCGACGGTGGAGATGACGCTGGTGATACTGGTGACGGCGAGGAGAGAAGCGAAGGTTGTGGAGGGATGCATAGTAACGTGATGAAGAAGGGGCTGAGCCGGGGGAGGGAGTTTAGGCCAGGGGTTCGGGCAGCCGTGGCGTGTAGTTGCTTGAATGTGATATTGTCCGTAGCTACCGTAACCCGCTGTTGTGGATCGGTGTTTGAATAATCCGAAGAACTTGCGTGAGGGAAGGACGCCTTATACACGTTCTGCTGGTCCATGGTTTCTTCGAAGGAATCGATCTGCTTGATACAGGTCGTAGCCTCGACTGAGAAAGATTCCATGTCCATCTCTGTTCAAACCGTTCATCGAGAATCAAGCCGATCAATGCCAGTTGAGCCGTGCCATGTCGTATCCGATCTCCTGTGCAACTTCCCGTCAACGGTTGACTATCTTTCCCTGCACGAGTGCCGTCAGCTATTGGTAATTATTCTTAGATCAACCACGACCGCTATGCATCTGCAAAATATCAAAGACGACGACCTGCTTGTGTCCAAAGGATTCCTCGTTCCTTATCTGTGGCGGTGTGGGGGTGTCGCTCGGAATATCAGCATGGAGGTACGCTCAGCTGGCAAGGACTCAGGCGCGTGGGCTACCGTGATTTTGTCTGTTGCTGGTCTACTCTCTCTCCCGTTCATCGACGTTTTGAGGGGAAGTTCTGTGTCAGGTCGTTGTACATGAACAATGGCCAGCCATTACCGCACAAACCATATCCATCTCGATGTTCGTTGCAGATCGTCCGCTGCAACACTCGATGATCTTCTAGGACTGCTTGGCAGGGTTCCCCCAGAATCTGGACCATGATGTATTCCAGTCTCTTTCACTTTAGTGCTGAAAAGGAGGTTGATAGGCTGGGATAGACAAAGTCGACAGCTTTAGCGGCTTTCTAGGCCTAGGATGAGGATTCCACAGAGATCGACCACGATCGTCTGCTGGTTGTTCCCACGACAATCTTCCTAAAGTCCCGTAGCATAACGGGGTTGCTACAGCCGAGGGAAAGAACAACATGATCAGGTTACGTTGCAACGCTGTTGCTATCGCTGTGGGATGGTTCGCCCAATTGGGGTTGGGTATGTACAAACTACCTCTCCTTCCCCACATCTCGTAATCCTCTGATAGGATGCTCCTGCTGATGGAGTTGAAGCGGCACGTTGAAGGATCAGACCGTCCGAGGTGGTGCTTGTGGGGCCGACATCGATTGGATGGGCCTTGCGCATGGTCAAGCCGTAACGTTGAGACGGAGCGATAGTGTGGGAGGCTTACATCATGTAAGCATCATTACTTGCATGAATCGATAGTGAGATGCCCCGTACGTATGCTGTTTGTAGCCAAAGCCGGCGGGGTTTGTTCCAGAAGACTGTGTGTCTAGGAGGATTTTATAGGCACGACCCGTGTCTAGGAAAATTGTTTCGTGGATCGGGACGTACAATTGGAGCGTTTCGAAACACTCGTGCTAGTCTGCGAGGCTTGAAATGATGGACACCGCGCAGGGATATCTGGTCGCTGATGCTCCAGTCGATTCGATGGTTCAAGTGCCGTTGTTTCAGCCATCCATATGCGCTCAAGTGAATATGTACTCCCAACGTCAAGCGGGGTTCTTCATCCGTAATGTGTGTCCTTGAATTCCACTCGCGTCTCACCAATGTTGGAGGATGGAAGCAGGACATTGACAATGTAGTAGGTCGTCATGGTCATGGAGCGGGTCCTGAAGCGTTCAACACGCAAAGAAAGGATGACCCCCGCACCATGGTGGGCTCTGCATGACGCAGGGAGGCCTCGAAATGAATGGTTGCGCAAGGACTTGTTGATATTCTTAGCCTGGGACCATCCATCCTGTTCCAACGTGCGTATCTTGCTTCTCCAGAAGCCTTTCCTTCTCTGTCTGGGACATCTTCGCACAAATGTCCCCCTTCATGTCCAGCAACACGTGTGAACAACAGCAATTGCTTTATCCCAACCACAAAGACCAGCAACCTCCAGCCATGGGCTGCACCTACTCCCAGCCAACAGCCCATAACCCACATCGCCGGGCAATGTCAGAGCCCATGAATGATTCCTACCGGCACAAAGCCCTTCCCCGTCTTCCCCATGACCATGAAACATACCGCAGCCGGTCCTTGCCCGAAATACCTTCAGAGACCAGCAGACACAATATTAGGCCGCTGTAGATACAAGACTGTTGGACGAAGAGGAAACTCTTTGCACACGAGGTGCAAGATTGTGCTTATGACTGTGCATGTGGAACGGTTTGAGGTCCTTGGTGGTAATGGCGTAATAAAGGGATGACTGCGACGTACCGGGGTTTCATGATGATGGTATCTGCGATCGAACTCTAAATACAGGAGACACGGCAGCAATGATCAGCCAAGCCTTGCATGTGTTTAACAGAATCAAGAACCGTAGACGTTTTCACTTGCACGGAAGATGACCCATGCACAATTGACATTCTTTCCCTTAGGCCATGTAGAAGCATCAGTGAAGCGTCAATTTAGTAAGGTCTTTCCACCCGCGCTTCTTTAGCCTCGGTGCCTCGCCAAGAGTCGTAGATAGCAGCCATAGAGCTTCAGAATACTATTGCTCACACACGTCCGTCATTCTGTTTGTTCATATTTTGGTATGGTCCGAGCTCGATGCTTTGTCCGTATCGTTCCCGGAAAGCTAGACCCTAGTCTGACAGAGATGTAATCCAAATTGCCACACCAAAGTGATAACCTAGAGTCTGATTGCATGATTGCGGGTACAAACCATTGTTTGCTGGCCTACTCCCTGCGGTAAGGTTCGCCAAACCAGACCGAGGGGGATCCAGATTTGGATGAGCTGGAGTCTCGCAATTGGGAACCCGAAAAGAGGATGTAAATAGCGCCAAAACCCTTGTTTTTGATCCAGTAGAAAAGAGATGAGATCATCCCCCACAAGATGGTCCTTGCCATCCAAGGACCTTTCACGAGAGGTTGTTCATCTGCAAAGTTCTTAGCGTCGTGCGGTCGAACAGTCGGCTTTCAGGTCCCTTACCTGGTTTGTCAAGAAATAGGATGAGACGGTCCACTTCGTCATCATTGTTCATCCACTCGTCCCTGGCCTTACGCCAGTAGGGATATTCGAACTCGGGTGGGTAATACCCAGAACATTCCCAGTTCTGGAGAAGAACGACCTGCAATGTTTTCGGATCGACCCATATATATTCTTGCGATATTTCATTGTGGCAGAATACATATCGGTTCGTGTTTGATGTTCTTGCAGGCCAGGAAAGTCTCTTGTCACGCTTCCAGACTCGAATAGGAGGAATGGTCATTCCAATTATTCCGCCAAGCTTACTCGACTGCAAGGTATTGAGTTGGGGTAGGACGGTCTGATTGACAAAAGTGTTGACGTGCGTAAGAAGAATTGCCTTATCACGGTTGCTGAGTCTTCTAGCCAAGATGTCCATCCTTGCCCCAGGAACAGGGATCTTTGTAGTAAGGCTGCTGATTCCGGCTTCTTCATTGAAGGCATGAACGCGAGCCACGGGTATTGAAGTGTGCTCAGCAATAAACTCCAGTGCTTTCTTCTCGTTTTCTAGCCGCTCTCGAGACCACGGAAATGGGGTGATTGTCCCCTGCACACCGAGACTTTTCTCGTAAGAGCGCAGTTGGCGTTTTGTGAACGTGGATGGAGTGAGGGTACAATGTCTATCACGATCTTCCGTCTGCCACATATAGATGACCCCGTCCGGAATGTCAATCATTGTGACCGGGAAGTTTTCTGCTGAGGGTTGGTCCAGAAGCCTGATCAGCCGGTCTGTAGAAGCTTCATCTGGCACATAATCCCGATACGATCTTAACCACATGTCAGCCTCGAACTCTGCAGGATAGAACCCTGATGACTCCCAGTCAATGATTGCTGTGACCTCTAGTGTTTTCGGGTTGACCATGATGTTGTGCCTTGCTAGATCATTGTGACAGAAGGTAAACTGGTTCTCGGAAAACGATCGAGACCTCCATTCGGGCCTCTGGTCTCGGAAGGTCACACGGTTTGGTGGTATGACGAGTCCACTCACACCACCCAGTCTGTTAGATGTAAATTTCCTCAGCTGTGGCAGAACGCTTTGCTCAACGAATGCTGTTACATTGTGGATGAGTCTTTTCCGGTCTTCTCCATCTAATTCATCGAGTACAATTTCCATGATGTTGCCCTCGACGCGTTCGACGATCAGGGTGCAGATGCCATCTTCCTCCAGGAAGTCCAAAACCTTGGGGACCGGAATCTTCGTGTACTCGGCGACGAATCTGTACGCATCTTTCTCATTCTCGAGCCGCTCACGTACTCGTTGCGGTACTATAGTTCCAAAATTACCGAACTGTCTCTTGTGATACTCGCTAGGTTTGAGCTCTCGCTTAATGAACCTTGTCCGGGTGACAGTATAGTCTCTTTCAGCAGTCTGGAAATGCTCGATGATCTCCTCCGCCATTCTTCGACAGAAATTGAAGGTTTGTGGAATTCGGTGGTTATGAAGGGTGTAAGTGACACACAGTCGGAAGGAGCAGGACGAGTGTTGCTGACTCAGCGCTCGCACGTGACATTAATCCGAAGGTACCTCGAAGTAAATGGCAATAAGTCGTTACTGATGTGCATAAGGTATGTGTCGCACGCTAATCCCCATCGCTAAAGCAGCCCGTATTTCTTCTCTCGCCCGGACCACCATACTATGTAATACCCCCATTTCTACGCGCATCGGCGTAGAGCTTCCCAATGCCCTTGCTCGTGTCTGCTGGGCTACCGACCTTTGCGAGAGCACCGCGCCCAGCTCCAACGGCGGCAGCGCTTTCAGCGGCCGTAGCCCTTCCCTCGGTGCCACCCACATTGGCAGTCTCCTCTCCCGTCGCCGCATTCATAGCTGCTATCGAGCTGTTGATGCTAGCATTAGCGTGGTCTATCGTATGTCAGTTAACCAATAATATCTGGGGATACACACAGTCTTACGCGTTGCGGACGAGGTTACCACCGCCTGATGGGTGACAGGAGGGATTTCACTGCAGCGTTCATCCTTGCAAGGGCGCCCGGGATAGCCGCTGCAATGGAAGCACTGAGCCTCCGAGAACGACATATGCTTCTGACAGTGCCTGCACGGTATCAAAGGCATCATAGAAAACCAGGATTTCTACCTAGCAAAAGCATTAGCATTGACAGCAGTATTTTTGCTTCATATACCACTTTGGGCGAATTCACCTTGAATTATGATGTTGGAAAAGGCCAAAAAGTTTTGGTATAGTATCAGATGGATAGCAACGATGGTGGTGGGCGTTTGCAAAAGCAAAAAAGATTCGCTGTTATCTTGCAACTCTTGTCGCACAAAGTGAGGGGAAGAGCTTGATCACGAGTATTCTAACCAGCCGAAAGGAAGTAATTTGCCATCCCGATACTCGGGCCATTACGTAGGGCCATGCCAAGGCGGCCTATCCGAGGATGACAATGCTCGCAGGTCTTTGGAGCAGCTCATGATTTGTCATGTATCCTGTAACGCCCAAGCCAGCTCCAAGCTGCCATTCGTGGTCACTCCCATCAAGGTGCCATTGGACACAGAACCACCGCCGGGAGGATGAATCGCCTGCGATGTGATCATGTAGTTGTTCAGGATAGTCTCGAATGGCGCTCCCACAGCGTAGATGTACAAAGCCATAGCTCCGTCACCAACAGGGTCTACCTCATCAGCTAATACTATACAGTTGAGGTGGATAGGCCGCCAGACCTGCTAAAAGGATAACACCCCCGCCTAACTTCCTAGCCAAACAATTCGTGGATAGCCTGAGGACGTTCCTCTCAACGAAAGACCACGTCGACACAGGCTCTGGATCGATGACCTTACGCGAACTAGCAGCGATGGGCATCAAGGCGAAGCGACAAGACTCTACTCAACGTACTCTCATCAGCATTGACCACTTCGTCTCTCGTAAAATCATCCACACTGACTGTATCTCCAGAATTTTGGTAGCTGCTACGCAGATTTCGAGTCAGCATTGCTATTACGAGGTAGGTAATGGAGTTGCGACACGGGTCTTGGGAGTAAAGTGGTCTGCTTGCTCTTGAAACTTGTCTTACGACTCAATCTCAATACCAGCTGGGAAGGATCAGTTCCGAAACGTACGTACCTCCATTGGCGCATCCAATTCGTTCTGACATGTACTGAAAGGTGGCTCTAGATATTGAGGTTCGACGAACTTGCGGACGGCCACGAGTTTGGTAGTCGGGCTCTTTGATGATGCGTCTGGCATTGATAGTAAGGCGCCCGCGCAATCGTCCAGCTCTGGTCGACCGTAGGTCCGGTAGTCGCATTTCCATTGGCTGAGAACAACTTGAGCAAAGGCAAACAGAACCAAGATTAAGGATGTTATGGACTTCATGGCCCGATGATCGTAGTTATATCGCACGAGAAAAGTTGCACGAGGGAAGCTCGAGGATGTGTCCGGCTCTAGACATGATCTCAGAGTCGCTTGTATCTGCGGTTCGTAAGAGACGAGCGGCTACTCTCAAACATCAAGATTACCCGCTGTGGATATTGGCCATAAAAGAGCTGCATCCGCCGGAACAACTGCATCTAGGCTCTGCAGGATTGTGGAACCCAAAAGCAAAAACCTGGTGGTGGTCTTCTAGTTGTCGAGGTTCCAGAATTGGAGACTCTTTTTGTTCCTCAGTATGATGCGCGGTCATGGGCCTCCTCCAACAAGGTTTTTCCCCTGTCCTCATGTTCTACTTGCTGTGTCCGTATACTGCAGCTGCTCAAGCCGCAAGTTGCGACGTATCCACCTACGGCAAACCGGAAAAGCGTGATTGCTTGACTCTCTTCGAGAAGTTCACCAGCTCTCAAAACCTCCAGACACGGTTTTTTGATGAGGAGCAACTGCGCGTGGACTCTGACAATACTTGGCCGGGAGTCGCAAATGTCTTTGAGCAGCCTATCGTGCAGTTGCCGAGGTTCTATGCAATGAGTATGTCCATTACGTGTACTGCGATGTTTCGTAATTCAAGAACTATGATGATGACACTCCATCGCATAGATACCTGCAACTTCGCGCTCATGCCATACACGAACCCTGCAACTCGTTTGGCCAATCCATTGGACATTAGCAGCTGGGGGATCATAAAGTCGTATGGGAATTCGCTCATGCAGGATTGTTTGGAGGAAAAGTCCGCCGGTGGTGAGATCTTCATCAAATCGAGTACGTATCCTCATACCTGTCATTGCAACCCGGAGATCAACATTCTCTGTTTTACCGCGCATGTCGAGGGCTGAACGTCCATCCTGGCAGGTACATCCATGAATCCAGTCCTGGTGATCTTCATGTGGGCTAGCGGTGCAAACTTTGAGACAAAATTGAATCAGTACGAGAATGACCCTAGCTTCTCTCCGCAGTTGTCACTCGCGGAAGGCGGTGTAAATGGGACGGACGGCGATGGCATCAGGGTGGCATAATAGGGGGGTAGGCGCCTGGCACTCGAGCAACCACTGCCGTGCTGATTGTTCGGAGAGGAATGGCGGCTCCAGATAGAGACACGTCACAATCTATTAAAGTGAGCAAAGGCCGCTTGTTAGCGACTTTGGAAGCTCCGACTGGGAATGAGCCAATCGACACTACTCGTGCAGAGTACGGCGTTAGATGCAGTTGGATATGCTTTGATATATACAATGCAAACCCTCAGACGCGGTCCTAGGCACCTTTTTACCAAATTCTGTTGTCCCCCGCCACTGCCCTTGATTTCGACGTCTTTCGCATAGCCATCTTCCCAGTGCCTGGCGTCTTGAAGAAAAGACTAGGCCCATGCCCTTCCGGGACCAGATGGCTTAGATATCCCCTATGCGCGGGATCCCGGTAGTACTCGATATCCTTCCTGCTCGTAGGATCTGGCAGACGGTTGTAGAAAGATTTTCTCGACATCTCTTCACCCTCTTTGATTTGTGATTGGAGTGAATTGATAGGGTCCATCTTCCCTTGCATGATCCTGCGCATGGCAAAGCGCGTGTAGTATCGAGTTGTTACGGAACCACCAGCAGCCTCGATAGCGGCTATTGCTTGGGCGGAAGCTCGTGATATGACGACGTTGAGCGGGGCTTTCAGCTCCTCTGAGCCTTTTGCGAGTAGTTTAACACCGTCTTTGACGTTCGTGATGCAGCGGGATTGCAGGAGCTCTTTGATTGTAATGGGCTTCGATGGGTCGAGGCGGCCTTGGTCTACCCAATCTTGCACCTTGTAGAGGTTGAGGGGCTTCATGTCCACGGAGAAGCTGGAGTAGTAGACATGGTCAGTAGGTGAAGCTTCTGGGCAGGTTTGAATGACTCACTTGCTGAAATTATGATCTCCCCGTTTGCCATGGACCACCTCGTCTTTCGTTTGCCCTCCATTGAAGCCTCGGGGTACCTTGCCATGCTGCTTTTGACCTTTGTGACCCCTTCCTGAGGTTTTACCCTTGCCTGACGATGGACCACGTCCTCTTCTTATCCTCTTATGGAGTGCACCGGGATTATCTGCCAAGCTCGCAAGAATGTGAGCACCACGTTGTTGAGTGTAGAGGAAGGGTACAAGGAATGGTGAGAGCTCTGTAGCTGGGCGAAATTTCGATTGAGAAACTCTAAGTAAATTGAACGGCCTGGGTGGCATTGTGACGACGATATTCTGGTTGACCAACGCCGGTAAGCATAACGGTGGTAGGAGTCGCGCAGTGAAAGGCTTGACTCGGCAGAATTGTGGCTTGGCACTGGTGGCACCAACAGAAATCTGCGCCCAGCCCAATCGGCGAGGCTGCCGCTTTAGGGTCAAACAAGCTACTACTGAATGAAGAGAGAGACAGCTATCTTGCTAGAGCAATATGTCTTGGCCGGAAGTGGACCAAAGGGTGTCGGCAAACATGAAGCCTACAAATGGCAGCTACGGGACCGTTAAGCCAGACAACCATCAGCGCTTGAGGCAGAGATAGGCAACATTGAAGGAGAGGACGTGGACGAAGTATCTCTCAAAAGGAACCCTGCCCGTTCAATGACACGATATCTAGACGGCCCTTGCCGCTGAGATTGGTGGCATACATGAATGAAAGCGTCTGCTTTGCTTTCACACGAATTGGGCACCTGCAAAGCATTGAAGGAGAAAATTTCATCCAGCATAGCTGAATGATTTTGCTAGCGTGCATGTCTTTGAAATGCTAAACCATCGCTTTGCATTCAGTGATCCCTTTCAATATGCCAGTGACGCCTCCCGCCTTGTCTTGGAGCACAATCATAATTAGTAGACGCTTTAACTCCACGACCTCCATCATATCTTCCTAGCCATCCAGTGATGTAGACTTTACGTTTGCGGCATGAGGGCCAAAGGAGACAGGTGCTGTAGCTTGGCACTTGGTAAAGGGTGGAGGGATCAGGAAAAGTCGTCTTCGTGGTCCGTAATCTTGTTCTTGATCCTGTGTAGAGTTTCTCAGTCGATCATCAAACACGCAACGCGAAGATAAAGGCATACCTGAGCAAGATAGTCGTGCACCAGGAGTTGAGGGGGCTGAGTTGGTCATAGCGAAATAATTTTTCCGCAAATACCTCGGCGTCACTATGCTCCACCGCTTCGCCCAAATCATTTAATAGCTGATATTCTTTCTGTGCAAGGAAACTTGGATCAAGGTCCCGGTAGCTTTCCAGAGCACGCTTAGCACCGACAATATCAAACGCCAGATGGCAGATACCAGCGCGTAGAAGGTAGTCTTTGACAGAGTATCGCATCAAGTTATTCGATATCGACTGGCGGGCCACCTGCTCAAAATACTGAATTGCGGGTAAATAGTCCTCGTCCAGCGCTGCGAGATCTCCAGCCTTGAGATAGAGCTTGTTGGCTAATGCAGAAGCATTGTCGTCGTCGTACCAGGTAGCAGCAGCCTCGTACGCCTCTCTTGCTCGCCGTCGGTCTGAGAGCTCTTCATATAGTTCAGCGAGGTTCTGTTTATGAACGGCTGCCCTCCTAAAGTTGCCTTTCGAGAGGTAATGGTCGATGGCTAGAGATAATACTCTTGCAGCCTCCTCAGGAGCTGTTTTCCGATATGCTTTGAATGCCTCTTGCAGGGTGTTCGCCATGTCGTCTGGCTCGTTCAGCTTAGTCTTCTGGATCATAGCTGCCTAGACATCGCATCGTTAACATCACTCATGAGAGCTTGTGGGAGGTCGTGCCTTCTCATATAATGAACCGGCTTCTCTGTAACTCTTCTGTAGCTTGTATGCGCTCGCAGCACTTGTATATAGTTCGACAGCGCTCTCGTACTTATCTGTACGAGCGCCGAAGAAGCTGAAGCCGGACTGGGCACTTTGTGCTGCTTTGTCGGCTTGAGACGCCAACGTAACAGGGTCTTGCGCCATCATCACCATACACCACGTAGAGGAACTTCGGCGAGTTGTAGTGCTCGAGAGCTGTGGGACAGGGAACGAGGCGAACAAGATGGAGACGAGGACCACATTACGAAGGGAGCTTTTTGCCGTGAAAATCGTAGAGCTAGCGGTTTTTGGCCTAGTGTACCCTGATCAGTCTAATGCAAGATTTGGGCCCAGAGTCCAGCATATCTCCTGGACTCAATCCCGTCAACACACCAGCCTTTTGCCTCTTGCGATGCATACTAAAAGCTCACCATGGCTACAACGGTAATATACAGATGCTCAGCAATTCTTTCGGCTGAGCTGCCTCCAATGCGCCGGAGGCTTGGCATCAGACTGTGAGGATGGTGTCTCTAATAGTCAAGCGACGACTGTCCTATTCCTTCGCTGCACTTGCGTTGTTGGCTCTAATATCTAATATCGTCGTATTTTCTGGGCTTTCAAGTGACTCCATCAAGGATCAGTTGGGCGATATCAAGGATCAATTGGGCGACATACAAATACCTGGGAGGCCAAAGAAACCATGGCACGCAGGCGAAAAGCCCGGCAGTCCACTGGAACCTGTCGATGCGCATCCCATCTCTCTGCTGATGCAAGAGGCCGATAAGAACTGGCGCAAGTACGAGGACGGCAGGTCTGTATCGTTCAAGCAGACTGTGAAGACATACAGGAGGAGGTACGGGCGACACCCTCCGCCAGGCTTCAAAGACTGGTACAAGTACGCTAGGAAAAGGAATGTCCACAACATCGACGACTTTGAACAAGTCATGGATGATATACGCCCATTCTGGGCTGTCGAGCCAAAGGTCATACGGAATCTAGCAGCCAATATGTGGAGGAACCCAGATGAAGGAGTCGCTTGCATCCATATTCGCAATCACAAGGTTGTTAAAGAGAGCAATGGATCTTGGAGGTCAGAAACGTTGATAACGCTGATCAACAAGTTTGTTAAGTATCTACCAGATATGGATATTGCTATCAACAGATTAGACCAACCTCGAGTCGTGGTGCCTTGGGAAGACATGCAAGACCTGCTCAAGAAGGAACAAGAAATACGCCGCACGCCTCCTGAGACCATCGATGAGTTTAGCACGACCATGGAAGGTTTCATGAATATGACAAACGAAGACAATGGCGGCAATTTTCAAGACCCGCAATGGTATTCTCACGCCGGCAAGCAATATATGGAAATCGCCAGCACCGCCTGCCCACCAGAATCGCCTGCACGCCGTGACAGTGTCAGTGCCCAAGAAGCTGAGCTCACGTACAAAGACCGTCTCGGAGGTCTCATTACCAACTTCAACAAGACATCAGATCTATGCGCCGTCGGCCCACAGATCCAGGACAAACACGGCCTTCTCTACTCAAGCTCCTCCCTGCTGGCCACGAAGCGACTTGTACCCATCTTCGGCGAATGCAAAGTCAATGTCAACAGCGACATCCTTTTTCCAGCAAATATGTACTACAAGCACGATGAGAGGTACGACTATGATGATAAATCAGATTTGAACTGGGAGGACAAGAAAGATGTAATGATCTGGCGAGGCGTTACGTCTGGAGGGACTCAGGTTGCGGACAACTGGCAACGAATGCATCGCCAACGTCTTGTAATGCAAATGAACAGTACTGAAATGGCAGGCAAGGAGGTCCGTATCCTGACCGAGCAACCGGAAAAGAAGGGCGAGTTCGAAAATTACAGGGACTTCCATCCTTCGCACTTTGCTGAACAGCACACTGATGTCGGGTTTACCGAGACCTGGGGCTGTATTCCGGATTGCAGCTTTTATGAGAACGTCTGGACGTTAAGGCCTATGGTACCTATGGCAGAGCAATTCGAAAACAAGGTTCTGGTTGATGTTGACGGCCACTCTTTCTCCGGTCGATGGATTGCGTTTCTTGAGAGTAGGTCTCTCCCTATCAAGGCCACTATCTTCCGTGAATGGCACGATTCGCGACTGTTCGCATGGCGGCACTTCGTTCCCATGGACAATCGATATGATGATGTCTACACGCTACTCACGTATTTTCTTGGAGTCGGCACGCCCCCGGATCAGCAAACATTAGGGAGCGAGGATGCAAATGGCAAGGCGTATGTGGCTAGACACGATACTGAAGGGAAGAGAATAGCAGATCAGGGACGGGAGTGGGCCAAGAAGGTCTTGCGGAGAGATGATATCGAGGTACGAGCTGTGGTTTTTTGAACCTGCGGAACGCAAGCTGATGAAGTGCAGATATACATGTTCAGGTTGCTTCTCGAATATGGCCGGATCATTGACGATAATCGCGATCGCATTGGCTATTCAGGAGATGGTAGCGAACTGGACAAGTATGATGGTGTCTCACCGTTCGATCAAGGCCCGCACCGTTGATTTATGAGGAAAAGGGGTCGGATCCCTTGTTGCTGGAAGCATGCATGGTTTTGGGATGTAAGGCATGTGGTTTTCATGGTCCATCCAATATACCCTAGAATATTGCTTTATATGAAGGATGGTGGGAAAGTGCTGCCGTCTTGGGTGGCATGTGTTTGTATTAGTGATACTGTAAGAGCCTCCAAACGCTTAACCATGCGGTTCCTGGCTCTCTGAGTACCTTAGCGTTCAAGCCCCTTTTCACGCTAAAGTATCTATTTCTTGGCGTGTCTAATGCCAAGGCTATCGCTAATCGGCAGATGAAACAATCAAGGTTCCTGAAACCCCTCGTTCAAGTTTGGCGTAGCACTTTTCTTGAAAGCTGAAAGCGACGACGACGATAGTAATCTTATGAACCCTCTTTTGCCTAGCAGTTGCAGGAGTTGATTTTACGGAGCTCTGACGACTCGCAATACGCAGTCTGCTCCCAATTCTGGCTACGCAAGAATCATCCCTGCCAGCCTCCTCTAGACGATACCAACATTTTTTGAATCGTGCATGACGGCTCGGCGCCTCGACTTCCTTTATAGAACCTATAAAATTCTTCTGTTGCATCCTTTCCGGATGTTTAAGAACTCGTGCGAGGGTCACTTCTTTGTCCGGCAACAGTCTAGCCCTAGAGCGCAGAGGTGACAAGAGGGGGAACAATGACACGACCGAACATTATCAGAGCTGGTGAGAAGAACCCCTGGCACTATGAGGCTACAAATGCGAAAGTTGCTGTGGAAGCGAATGGTCGAAGCATGGGAGCGTCACTGATTTGAGCGATGGCAGACACGATCGATCTTCAAAATCAGAGTGCTCCTTCTGCGAAAGATCATACACGTCAACCAGCTCGCCCAGGTCCACTAGGTGAAGGGCCGCCAGCTCCTCACCAAGCAGATGCGCTCAAACACGTTGAGCAAGAATTGTCGGAACAGCATGGTCGCAGCCCTCGAGCTTCCCAAGATCTTTCGGGTAAGGAGCTGCAACTGCTACATGAAGACGGTGATGGATACGGTAGCACCGATGGCATCGGCCAGGACTCAAACAACCTGTTGCGCAACGCAGGAGCAAATGGAACAGCGGAGGAGGACGTCGGAGACACAGACGGAGACGAGGGCATGGACGATGATTTAATGGACAAAATCTCCAGCTCTCCGTCAATTGGCGACGATGGTGGGTATCATTTACCTTTACCGTGGCCCAGCAGGGTCGCTTCCCTTCGTTCGAATTCTTCTCCCCCAGAGAATACACCATCGCCAAAACCCCCATTGGACGATTTCTCTTCTTCTCCCTTTTCCGAGACACCTACCCATTTTCCTCTTTCGTTCCCGCGAAAAGAGCACGATCAAACCCCGTCCAAGGATCATCATCAGAAAGGTGGGTATACCAAGGACCGAGAGACGCTTTTTGCCGTGGACAAGCTGGATGCCGAGAGTCATGACCGCCTAAGACCTCTAATCAGCGAACGGCGGGACACCCGGTTTCAAGAGGATTTTGAAGATATGGAAGACTCCTACGAAGTGGACTTCGACCCTAACGATTTTAACCACTTTCTGCTCCCGGCAAACGATCCTCTCCTGGACAACAGCTTTGATGATGCGCCATTGTCGCCTTCTTCGGCTGCCTCAAATGCCTCGACTCGCTCTTCGTCGCCAGAATCTGCCACCTCTTGGGACGACAAGACAACGGATACAAAAGATGATGATACCGAAGATATTTCCTTTCTCGATGACCCCCGTTTTATCGACTCAGGATGGGGCGGAGAGTGCTTACGAGAAACAGAGGACATTGATTTCGAGTTCGTGTACGCGCTACATACATTCGTCGCAACGGTCGAAGGCCAAGCGAACGCTACGAAGGGTGACACCATGGTGCTGCTCGATGACAGCAACAGCTACTGGTGGCTCGTACGGGTCGTTAAGGATAGTAGCATTGGTAAGCTTCGTTTGCTGCACTGACAGATTGTTGCTAACGGTCTCTAGGCTATCTACCTGCGGAGCACATCGAAACACCTTTGGAGCGTTTGGCGAGGCTAAACAAGCATAGAAATCTCGATGTAAGAATAAGTTCCAAGCCTAGGGTGGGTTCTCAATTGACCCTATATCACCTTTCTAGCTAGCTTCAACGATGCTTGGCGACGAGGAAGACAAAAGGGCAGGAAACCCTCTGAACCCTCTGAAAAAGGCCATGAAAAGGCGCAATGCAAAGACCGTTCAATTCACAGCACCATCTTACGTGGAGCCGTCTGATGTCGAATATTCCTCTGACGAGGAGGAGGGCAATCGAGAGTATGGAGCCCAGGAACAGGATAGCACCGCTGCCCAGAGCAATGACCAGTCACATCAAGTCGACGAAGGCGTGGTAGAGCCACTCAAACCTAGAAGTCAAGATCGAGATGTCAGGCAGAATGGAGATCCCTTGGTAGCTCAAAGTCTTAGCAGTGGCGGAATTGACCAAGGTAACCCTCCAGATGCAGCTCGAACGAGTGATGAGATATTCGACGGAGGTGAACCTAGCCAGTTGGAATCTCATCGTTACCTTTGGCTGACCACTACAGATAATGGTACTGCCGTTACATCAAGGAAAGGGACCGTGCGCAACACTGATTCTTTCTTCAAAGACGATGGGGTGGAAACCCGAAAGATCAATCTTACGCCCAGTCTCTTGCGGGATGATTCCAATGGGTCCGTGTTGAAATCAAACGAATCCAAAGACGTAAGTCCTCCTCGTCGCGATAACGAGGACTTTACTAAAGTTATCTCAATCAGCTCAAGACCAGAGCAAGCCTCGATTCTCTCGAGAAAGACCCCCCTCCCGAAAAAGGCAAGGAAGACAAGAAGCGGAAAGAGAAGAGAGGCATGCTGGGTGGCATGTTTAAACGAAGAGACAAGAAAGGCAAAACTGACGATAAGGAACTCGAAGACAGCAAGAAATCATCGAACGAACTGGCAAGGCAGGCATTGTCACCCCCGTCGAGGTTGTCGCCACAGCCAAAAGAATCGATGGAATCATTGACCCAGGACCCACAAGCTGCCAAAGCTACTTCACCACAGCAGAGGCAAACCGGCAAGTTACAGAAGACTCCGCCCGCGAAATTGTCTCCCAAATCATCGTACTCCCAAAGAGAAGCAACCAACCAGAGACCGACTATCACAGAACAGCAGAACACTTTCACTCCAGAACCGAGCCGGGCGCCGCCCGCTTTCTCCGAGCCGAATGGATCTATGCGCATGGTCCAGACGGAGCCAGAATTGGTACCAGAGGACAGGGGTCCAGCTTTGGATTTCAACCCTCCAGTGACCACACGTGAAGAACCTATGCATTTAGGGTCACCAAGAGATGCGAGGCGTGGCATGTTTTCGCCCGTCAGAGATGAGGAACCAGTGCAGTCAGGATCCCCAAGAGATGCTTCGCGTGGGATGTTCTTGCCTGGCAGGAACGAGGAACCATTTCAATCAGGGTCACCAAGAGATGCCTCGCGTGGGATGTTCTCGCCTGTTAGAGACGAGGAACTAATCCAACCAGGTTCACCAAAAGACATCAGACGTGGGATGTTCTCGCTTGTCCGAGACGAAGAATCTATGCAATCGGATTCGCCAAAGGACGCCAGACGCGGAATGTTCTCACCTATCAAGGACGTCCTCAAATCCGCCCCTACGGACCAAAAACCCGAGAAAGTCAGGAAAGCCAAGCACCGCATGCACATGGACGACTTCGACTCTTCCTCCGAAGACGAAGAGGCTGAAACCTTCTCCGAACGTCCGTCGTATGAGGAACCAGACTCTCACCTTGCTATCGCCCAAGACGCTCAACATGGAAACCACGAACCCCGAGCTCCTACAATTCCCCACGCCGAACCACCCCGGGAAGCAGCCCGAGAACGGCTGTCCGAATCTCCCATTGAAGTTTTACCTCCTCAAGAACACGACCGCAACCCTCAGCCTCCTCAACTCATGGTGGACACTTCCTCGCAAGAGGACCCATCCACCTCTCCCGTATCTCCTCTCTCGTCACCCGAACTCATCGAAGCACCTAACGAGAATGCCGCCCGTGAAGAGACCCCAGCGTCCACTGCGCAGTCATCGACACCTACCTGGAGCGATGCTAGTCTGAGAGCCTATCTGGAGGATGATAGCGACATCAGAGACTTACTTGTCGTGGTTCACGATAAAAGCCAGATTAAGCCAGTTGGCCGGGATCATCCCGTGGTGAAGAAGCTCTTCAAAGAAGAAAATAGGAAGCTGGGAGAAATTTCAAACCGACTTGACGGATTGCTGGGCGACTATTTGGCGCGAAAACAGCAACGGACGGCGGTACGGTGACCTTGCGGATTCGCCCAGCATATGTATTTGCAATGTGTGATTTTCTGCTTTCTGAGGAAATAGCCATCAAAGGTGCAATAGGTTATGACCATGATGGACGGACTGGAGTATACCTTCTTGCTTGAATGGCTGAAGCGTCGCCTTGCGTGAGCTGTACAATCTACGCTCTACTGTACTAGCAAAGGTTTGGCTTTCTCTCTCTGTTGTTTTGGGACATACGATATCGGGAATATCTAGCTTCTGGCGATGACGTGTATATAGCCAAGACAAGCATCCGCAAATCACGACGAGCAATATATATTAGCCCATTGTCTATCAGCCGCACTGCCAGAAAATGGGCAGTCGTAGCGGTACAAGCCTTCTGAATCTCGAACCGTATCAGCGTCAAGGGAAAGGCTCTTCGTTCATGAGACTGCCTTCGGCTTGGCATATCTTACTCGGGGGTGGTGGGTATCGACACACAATGACGCTGCTGCCAACAGTCATATCCACGAGCAGATAGTTTCTTTTTTGCTGTACTCAGACAACTTCTAACCACCGAAGCCTGAAATTCGATATCAATGTCTACTCGGTTGACATGCTTGTACTATCCACCTCACCCAAATAGAGGTCAATGAGCAGGACCAAACGACCATTCGAAGAACAACTCTTATGTTTCGGTATTTGGCAACTACCTACTCGAGCGACGCAAATAATGTCGCTTCAGATCTAGAGCCCACCATCCCGCACCAACTACCCTTCTCCCACCGCTCCGCCGGCTCTCACAGCATCCCGACAATCAACCCTGCAGCTCCCATAGCCAAAGCTCTCGCATTGACCTCGCCCGTGGGCTTCGGCGCAGCGCCGGCCTTACTCGAAGCCGACGTGACTCCCATGCTGCCCGCTGCAATGACCGGGTTGGAGCCGCCACCTGATGCGCCGCCTTCACCACCGCCTTGGCCACCGCCTGCGCCGTTGTTCTCTCCACCGCCTTGGGCTACCCCGGATGCGGATGCGGCTGCGGTGAAGGCGGCGCTGGCCGCGGCGCTGGCCACGGCGGTAGCTGAAGGGCTGAAGCTGGCGCTGGCTTGGCGGGGGATGAGGTCAAGGTTGCGAGGGATGAGCTAGGAAGAGGGATGGTTAGTCAATTGACTGGATCGGAGACAGGAAGGTGGACAGAAGACGAAAGAGGACAGGCCTACTTCAGCGCTTGCCCCTGCGAATAGGGAGAGCAGACAGCAGAGGAGGATGGCGGAGGTTGATGTGCGGAGATGCATATTGTTTTTGCTGCGGACGCTGAGATGGAGACTCGAGACTGTTTTGGAGGAATTCAGTCGACCTCAGAGGACAGGTTCGCGGACAATTGAACGAAATGCTGGCGGAGGGGGTCTATGTACTCGAGGAAAGGAAGATAAAAAGCAAAACGCGGACATCTTAATCTCGATCTCAAAAAGCAATGACATCTTCATCGTTCCCATCCGTCAATCACATCCTTCCCATTCAGCAGCACTAGGGCGACGTGTCACACTGCATATTTCCCAGAAAGGCAGCTCATAGATCATGATCGATGGCTATTCTTTCCACCGCGACCCTTAGCTCATTCTTAGGCTGTGGGACGATGCTTGTGCTTATCTCTGCTGTGAGAAGTGAGAACGCAGGACGATGGAATTGACCGTCGCGCTTAAAAAGCCACTTCGAAGGTGCCCGAAGGCCGGCCCTAGAGTAGCCCCGAAACGTCCCCAGAGGCTTCATTTTAGCGTGAGGGAGGCCCCGCACCGCCCGAGACCCACCGCTTAAGGAAAAGTCAACTTTTTCACATGTCTTGTTTATGCACGTTCTGTCCCAGCTGAAACGTTCGGTCCTTAATTTTCCCACAGCCTTGAACTACTCATCACACTGTAAGATCTTACCCTAAGGGCCAAGTCTGATTGAACTCTAAGCAAGATGGCAGCTCACGGTGATAAGAGACGGCGGTATCTCTCAGATCCAGGAGCATTCGCTGAGCGACGCTCGCAAGGAATCGTCCACATGTCAGCGCTAAAGCCAGCCGAGCATAAAAGGGGCCGGCCTTGTATTCATACGCCGCGCTTGCTGTGAGTGGATCTACTCGTTGTATACCGTTGAGCTCGACGTTCAATAGAAAAATCCTCGTGTTGCGCGTGGAGATGTTATTGTTTCCCTGCTTTCCGTGTGAACTTGCCCATTTCTCCTGTCTCTTGCATGCATGATTAGATTGGAACCTCCCACTGCCCGCTTGCACTTCGTGCATCACCACCGCTTTCTGTTGCTCTTCCTTGGGAACGTTGCGTACTGTCCGATTGGCCCCAAAGATGATCGATCGAGGCTGTGGATAGCTCGGGGGACCGGCTCCGTGCAGTCTGCTGCTTATCTTGCCCGATGCGGCCACGGAGATACTCGCCCTGTATGCATACCCACAGAGCCGAAACGTCCTCGTTATGTTCTTGCATCCCTGCAACACCAAACTTCTGCTGGTTGGCCCAGCGTCTATCCTCTCTCTTATTAATTTCCCCTTTTTGTAGGTGTGTCTACATATAATGCTCAGCTTTATGACCAAATCAATTACCCACGCATTGAGTATGCCAACTTCTCTGGCTTCTGACCGTCCTTACAAGGCCTACTGATGTTTCGCCTCTCCATCCGCACTGAACACCGACGCAAAAGGCGGGATTCGCGTATGAGCGGGCGTTATAACTCATTGCCGTTGTTCTTGTCATTTTCTTTGCGAGCCTCGTCTGGTGCCTTCTTCGCCGGCACAAAGCGAGCGCTAGTGGAACATCGCTTCGGCTGCTCGATGAAAGCGTAGTTGGGGAACAGGAACTGAAGCCCGCATTTTGGCTTATAAACTGGAGTTTTCGGGTGAGATCGCACGGAAGATGGACGGCGAAATCGAAAGCAAAGAGGGGTGGAAAAAAGAAGACGACAATTATGCCCATTGAACTGGACTCCGATTTTGCCGTTGGGGAGTTGCAGTGATCAACTCATTCTTGAGCTTCTTGACTGGGTCCACTTAACTCCAACCCAGACTCTAGCTCGAGCTTTCAATTGCGGCTATTTTAGTGATATCAAGAATTTGGCATTCCGATCAACGATCTGCAAGAAAATTTCGAAGGACAACTTGGAAGTCGCATCCAATAGGAAAACTTCCAACAAATAGGATTCTTGGTACCTTTAACGAGAAGGCAGTAGTGAATGGGCTAGGTGCACGATAATCTAGCAACTAGAGGCCGAATCTGCCATGATGGAAACATGATTGGACAACCACAAGCAATGAGCGGGATATTGTCTACTCCGTGGTCAAAATGTCAGCTATGGACATATCAGATGTTAGATTTCGATGAAGAGAGAAGCGAAATTCCTGAGATCATCTCATGACCGCCTTATTTAAGTGCTCGTTGTGGTTCTCTGAAACTTGATCCGAGTCAAACCCTGACAAACGACTGCCTGGACATGGAGTAATCACGGTGTCGCAGACCTCGTTCTTTGCCTTTCCCAACGTCAATACTTGATCATCAACTTGGAAAGAGAGGGGCCTTTCAAACCTGGACATCACCGAAGAAGTTAGGTTGTATTGCATTAGTTGTCACTATAGAATGGGAGTTGGGAGGGAGAATCCGAAGCGGTAGCCGGCTGCGTTCAAGAATATATCCGTCCCGAGATCACATGACCTTCCTGCTAAGGCTTATATTTCTGTGCAACAGACAGTGCTCCCCTCCTTCGAACCTTCACAATCTTCCCAAGTTTCCTTCCACCATTCACACCCAAGTCTCATCGAGTTCACGATGACAGCCAGTCAAACTCCGTCAAATCTTTCTCTGAGAGAGCTGGGAAAAGGCATCCACCGGCATGTTTTCCTTTCATGTGTGCAAACACGCAAGGTTGCTGATCACGACATAGCCTTTATAAAGACCGCGAGCATGCTGACTGGACCCTCAAGACGGGCCCTTCCACCATAGAAAGGGCCCACAGCTTTGTCCTATGGGCTCGATCTACTTATTTCACTGCTGCTTGCAACGGCAAGTTCAAGGCAAGTCTTTGCCCCCGGCCTGGTGTAGTCTGGCGCTCATGATCTTGTTAGGAAGCCACAATTCGAGAGTCCGACATGACGGAGTACGGTCCCTTCATGGTCCACCGGATGCTGCAGTATTGCTACCTGCTCAGCTATGATGACAACCCACTCTCTATACACGGGGTTAACGAGACCTATACATCCAAGCTATGTACTAACGTCCACATGTACAACATGGGAGATTACTATGACCTGCAGGGCATGAAGCTGGAGGCTCTTAACAAGTTAAAAGAGTGCTTGAAACTCTCCGAGGCCGAGCTGGCCGAGCAAGATGTTGCCAGTCTCTTGGAAGTCCTTCCGTGGATTTACTCATCGACGCTGGATTCGGACCATGGCTTGCGTACAGTTGCTGCTTCGTTCGGTTATCGTCACTGGGGAACATTGGTTGCGCGTCTCGACTTCGAGGAAGTTGCTGCGGAAAACATCAAGTGGGTTATCGACATCATCTCACAAAAGCGCGGTCAAGAGTCCAAGATTGGCCAGTCATCAGAATACCAAGATCCAGGACCGAGGCCACGGCATTACACCCCAACGCCCCCTTTGCCCCCTTTGCCCCCGGTGCCCCCGGGGTTCATGTATCCTCAACCAAACCTCGGTTTTGCCTTCCATTAAAAAACTGTAGAACACCCAAAAACTTTCCGCCCGGCGATGGCAATTTGAGGGACTTTTCATGGGTTGCTTCGGAAATCCTCTGGTGCATGTTCTTCATCCAACGATCGGTTGTGCAAGATGGCAATATAAGAGGCTCCGGTGGACTTGACTATTGGAAGCTGAGTATAGGGATGGTCTCTCGGGCATGAGTCCTGTGAGAGAAAGAACTCGCACCAGATGACGCGGAATGAGCGACGACTGTATAGTGAAATGGAAATTCCGGGTTCTTGCTTTGTCAATATGCATATGGAGGAAGCAAAGGCTTGATGTCGAGTTTAAGCGTGGTCATACCTATTAGCTACCCACTGACACGGTAGAAGATGTAGTCTGGAAAATCTACTCTGCAGCTCAATTTAAACCGTCTCGAACATGCATCTAGGCAGGTCAGTGTCGCAGCCGAGTTCGTTCAACTATCTGCTCAGGAACCAGTGCACTTGGGGCAATACAATAGTAGATCCCCGAGCGGCTAGACATTTCTCAGTGCAGGCCGGCTAAAAATGGGCATGCTGCGCCTCAATGTCGCATAGATCCCCTCCCTAACCTCCGCACACACACGACCAAGCTCAGCACATTGAAGCCACAACACTCAAAGTGGCAACCGGAAAGCGGGAGAATGAAACCCCCGAATCAACTCCATACTTAGACCATGATAAGTTATACATCTTTCCAACATTGGTAAAGTTCTTTTCGCGACGCCGAGTTCAAGGACTCCCGAATCTCCGATAGGCTGCTGCGGGCTTTGCTTCGGGGGAGAAAGTAGAAAGTCGATTGGGGGCTATCCTCAATTCCTCATAGCTTTATGCGACGTTTGATCATCATCATCAAGATGCACCTTCCCGCAATATTGATCAAGTTTGCAACCTCCTTGCAACTTGATTTCTTTCCTCTTTTCTTCCCGCTTCAACTAATGCTCCTCACCTGCTGCCATCTTTTTGATGTATGAAGCTTCCATTGTTGACTGCTCCATGATGTTATGAAGCTGCCATTGAGATTCTCGTGTGGCGCAATATGCGCTAGCTGGATCCTACTGCCGCACATCGTGCTTGGTCAAACTTGCTACTACCCGAATGGCGACCCTTCAACAACAGATTACCCTTGCTCTTCTGACGTCGAAGGTCTCTGCTGCCCGCTCAATTGGCAATGTCTATCCAATGGCCTCTGTTATCTAGAGAATGAACAATACTACGGCCGTTACACATGTACCGATCAGACGTGGCAGTCCTCAGGCTGTCCGGAAATATGCACCGACGGTGTGTACTGCTGTAACTGACCCTTCGTCGGTATATGCGCGCTGACCGGTCGACAGGAAATACGGACTCTGGAGACCAGGCTGTTCTGCAATGTTCAGCTCATGGTGGAAACTGGTGCTGCGACCACAACCGAAACGCATCCAATGTCTGTTGCGATAGTACCAACTCCAATGACTTCTTCCCCTTGGCCAAAGGAATTTCTGTAGCATCGATAAGCACTACCGGCCCTGCAGCAGCTTCTGCTATTATCATCATCGGAAATCCTGGCAATGGAGCTCAGTCGTCAAGTGAGACAAGTGAGACTACGTCGACATCACCATCAACTTCAACGACACCTACATCAACCTCGACTTCAACTACCAAGAATGCAGGGGGTGGTGTTGCATCTCAGTCCCCCACGAGCCTCGTCAGCGTCATCTCCATCGTCTCCGTTGTAACATCAGCAGCCAACGGCGCCCCAGTTACAACGACAAACATGATAATGACAACAATCCCAGCAGCTTCTGTTCCTGCTTCATCAAATTCAAACCATCACGGCGCCGAAATCGGCGGAGGCGTCGCTGGCGGTGTCGCTCTCATCGCTCTGGTTTCACTAGCATTCTTCCTCCTCCGCAGACGTAAGAAGAGACAGCAGTACCGGTCAGCCCCAACCACGGAATACCGCAACTCCATGGACTACATGTACAAAGCCAAAGACATGGGCTCGCCAAACACGGCGGAAACATCGCCCGAGATCGATGGAACGCCGATCGTGGGTGTTTATCGCGGTTGGGGACCCACGGGTCAAGAGGGAGCCCTGAGAGTCGTGAACGGGTCGGATCGTCAGTCTACGGTTTCCGGGCTGACGGGTACTAACGCAAGGGATTCTTTGATGAGCGAGTTGGAGAGTCCAACGACGCCTGTGAGGGCTGGGCTTAGGAGTCATCAGCCGACGATTGCTGAACAGCCGTTTGAGTTGGCGGGGGAGGGTGAGAAGTAATAGTATATAATCACGAGTCATATACCAAATGTAACGAACGCGAGCCAGGATAAGCTAGCTGCTGTTCAGGTGGTGGAGCCTTGCTGCGTGCAGCTGATCTCTAGTGAATAACGACTGATGCCTCATTGAACGACAGTGGGAATTTTGGAGCGGGATATCCAACTCTCTGAGATTAGTCTTTTACAACACAAGTTCTGCAGACTCTAAAGGTAGGGCACAAAGCGAACGAATGTAACAAAACATCCTGTGCTTAACACTTTCCACCCTTCTTGAATATCTCATCTTATCTCCAGCGCTGCCTCTTGCACGCTCGCTCACTCGGCACCTATCGTACCAAAAAGGGTAATCCCAACCCTGTTCCCATTTCCCCGCCCTGTCCACCTCCCCGTGTCCGTCCGCTCGGCGACGAGGTCCGTAAAGTTCGCGTCCTGTATCGTAACGCGGTCGTCTCGAGCCCTGATTCCAGCCAGCGTTCAAGGGCTCCCTTGCCGGGCCATCCCGTGCACGTAGAGTTGGTTGTTTTGATTGCGATGGTTGTTATTTAGCTGGCTTGGATTTACGGGACCGAACCGGCCTGTCAGCGCCATTAGCCCCTCGATCCTCACAGCGTCGCCGCCGCATAACGGGGGGAAAGGACTTGCCAACGGCCCCCCGCTCCACCCCAAAGATCACCCCGATCACCGCGCCCGCGACCGAGACCCCATTGAACGCCCCACAACCGATCTAGCCTGGTCAACAGCGTCCGAAAGGGCGCACTGGGCCCATCCCGCGCGTTCCACCGCGCGCGGAAAATCACCCCCCCCCTGCTCCCCATCCACGGCGACCACGTCTTCCCCAACGACACACACACCGCCGGCCTCGGCGGCTTCTCCCCTCGCGAACCGAGCTGAAGCGGAACGGGCGCCCGCACACCCAGTAGCCCGCGGCGGGATCAGCATGACGAACGGCCCGCACACACGGCAGCGGCAGCACGAGCACGTCTCAACGGTCAGCGCCCTGATCCTGACGCTCGCTCCGGCTCCCGACCGCCGATCACCACGACGGAACCCGACGGCGCAAGTTTCCAGTCGAGGCGTCCACGGCGCCCGGCGCCAGCACCGACCGTGCGCGACGGCCGAAGGACGTACGGGCTCGCGGCGCCCGAAGAGGGGGTCGAGGATGGTAGTGGATGAAGGGAGGGTGGGTAAGGTAGGGGGGCGAAGAGCCGGCGAGGGGGCCGCCCGTGGAGAGGGGGGGGAGGGCGATGGGGGGATGTGCGGGGGTTGAGGGGATGCGGCCGACGGAGAGGTTGGGCGGGGTTGCGGTGGTGAGTTGACTGCTCGGGTTGGGCGGGGGTGTTGGGGGGGGAGGGGGTGACATGGTCGGGGTTGTTGTTGTGGTGAGGAGGAGGATGGGAGAGGTTCGTGAGATGGAGATGTTGAAGGAGGAGAGGGTTTTCTGTCTTTCGGTTGAGAGTATATTGACAGGATAACGTTTCATACCTCTCATATGTAGGATGACGCCCACAGAGGAGCGATCACTCCAGCCGCAAATCCTTTCGGAGGGCAGATCATTACAATCCTGCCCGCCGACGGACACTTAAGTCCCCGGCGGGAGGTTGCATCAGGAAAGTCAGGGCTGGTATCTTTCGAGGCGACGTGATAGCCCTCTTGGTAGAGATGAGAGAGGTCATATCTAAGCCAGATGATTTCTTCAACGAGTCCTTGAATATCTGGAATTGACTTTGGCATCTGGAGCTAATTTCTGATAAACAAGGTTGCGCCAAGCCTCAGCCGTACGCTATTCTGAAGGAAGTCTAGTGCAGATCTCCACATCTCGATTATGACTAGTGCTACGCCACCAGACGCCACCAACGCGAATAAGGTGCGCTCTGCCAACTTGCGAAAAGTATTTCTTGGCTGTGCATCTCTACCACCAGCCAGTGCGATAGAGGTCTATAATTTTAAAAAAGGGGGGGGTTTTTTTTTTTTTTTCCCTTAATTTTTTAAAAAAGATCTCTCAACCTTGTCACACCCTCAGCTCCGCGGGGAAATTTTTTTTTTTTTTTTTTTTTGGGGGGGGGTTTTTTTTTTTTTTTTCCCTTATTTTTTTAAAAAAAATTTCTCAACCTTTTCCCCCCCCCAGCTCCGCCTAGTAAAAGTTCACCCACCTTGCCGTCTCTCGAAAAGAGCATCTTAGTCAAAAGATTGGTGAAGGTGTCCACGGGCTTGGTCACCAGCTTTTCCTCCCAGATATTCGCATCATAGGAGAATCTCAAGTTCAGATGATGCTCGTGCTTCTGGAAACCTACGTCTACCGAGTAGACTCTGTTCTGAAAGTAAGCCACGTGCCCTCACTCCGTAAACTCTTGCTTTCCGAAGAACCAGTATCTGCAAAACCCTTGGATTGTCCATCTCGCGAAGCGCTCAAATTTGCCATGTGCTTCACAGCTGTCTGTACCATGACTTGAGGTTGAAAGTCGGAAGATGTTCATGGAGGAGAAGGACAAGATCATAAACAGATTTCGTCTGGCAACCGAAGTGATGCTCTCTCGAGCAAAGTTGCTCACCACTTCAGACATTACCGTGCTCCAGGCCTTCGTAATATATCTTGTAAGTGAGCCCCCCGTAATGGACCACTGTATTGTCCTCTTTCAATCATTTGTCATTGTTTATCAAAATCTGACTTAGCTGACGATAGTATGAATAGGCTGGACGCCGCACTTGTACTGGCTACAAGAAGATCTGGACTCTGATTGCAAGCGCTGTTCGCATTGGGCAGTCCCTTGGGTTGGACAACGATGAAGGCCGCTTCCGGACTCCCTTTCAGCTGGAGATTCGCCGGAGGGTGTGGTATTCAATCGGTCTACTTGACATGCAAGCAGCATTCGATGGGGGATCGCACTCCGTGATCGCTCATAACGGCTTGCTGGGTCGTCCACCCCTCAATATGGACGATTCAGCCATGTCTTCAGCTTTCAGTCGATCAGTCTTTGTTGAGCAACCAGGTCTCACAGACATGTCCTTCAGCTGTATGACGCATGAGGGACTGATTTGCTGGAGAAGGCTAACCCACGTTCCCACGAATTCCGAAGGCCAACCCGTGAAGATAAGGCAAGACTGGACCAACAGATCCAAGATAGTCATAGATTGGGAACAGCGCATGAACGAAAGATATCTGAAACATTGCGATACGACGCAGCCCTTTCAACGGTTCATGAAAATCGTTGGCCAAGACATGATTGTATCCATGAGACTTCTCGAGCGCCGTCCGATGCATCGCCTATTCAGAGCCGGCCCTCCTCCAGCCGACGACTTTAACGTTTTGGAAGTGGCCACTGACGTTGTCGAGGCCTCGATCCTGAAATTCACTGACCCGAGCCTCGCACCTTGGAGTTGGTTTGCTTGGGTCAAGTGGTACATTTTGGCTGTCGTCCTCGCCGAACTTTGTGGAAATGGCAATGGGGCACTGATAGACAGAGCTTGGAGGGTCGCTGAAGAGGCTTTCGCAAAATTTTCTGATCTGGTCATTGATGATGTTCTTTGGAGATCGGTTGAAAGACTTATTGCGAAAGGCACGATCTACGAGGGACCGCTCTCGAGTGTCATCGCCACCCGTTTCTGCACCTTTTTATTCAGGACCAACATCTTCGCCCGGGAAACCGAGATCAAGCAGATTCAATAAAGAAGAGAATCGATTTCGAGATAATGAGTGGACTTGGCATGCTAATATGCGAGCTCATGATCGAATCTCGCAAGCGGTACAAAACCCAGAGCCTCCGAGCGAGACTGGCCAATCGAAACCACAACTGCTAGCAATGGATATGGATAGTTTTGTGCCCGAGACAAGGGTGGATGAGTCGGAATATATGTCCTGGGTCAACTGGGAATCCTTTGTGCAGGATGTTGGTAACTTTAATGAGCAAGATATGCTAGACTCGTCATTTGTGGTTTGATATGGTACAAGTTACAGGGGAACCTGAGACCGCGCTGTGTCTTTCCGCAGCAGCCGTCCTGATACTGGTTTACAAACCAAGCCTGCCTTTTCGTGCCAGCTGGATCTGCTCCAGTGCCTTTCGTAACTCATTGGCAACCCTTTCCTGGACGTGCTGACCAACTTCACTTCTTACAAATTGCGACTCGGGCTTGACCTGACACTCGCTCAGATATTTGCTATGGGGCATCTTATCCGCCGATGAAGCATGTACAAGGGTTCGACTCCCTTCTTCGCCAGTCCCGCCCATTATCCGTAGGGCGAATCTTCCTTCGATTCCCAAGTCTTCGTGGCGGAAGAGTGCAGTTTTGCACCATCCCGGATCCACACAACTTACAACGACATCTTTTGCTGAGGCAGTGGTCTTTGCGGCCAGATCCCGGGATCCCAAAATCACTAGCAGTTTACTGAGTAAGTAACGATTAGCCATGTCCACCTGCGCTGGATCGCTAAGCGTCCTCAAGATGTCCCCACTCTTGGCATCACACAGCTGTTTGGTCTTTGCGAAGATGTGGATCATTGAACAGACGAAGTCAAGATGCGTGTCTGTCGCCTGCGCACGACCAGTCTCGTTCAGCTTTGGCAAGACCAACTGTGCAAGCAAGAAGGTGGAGATGACGTTGATGGTGAGAGTGCTCTCGATACCTTCGTCTAGCTCGAACTTATCTAGCGACACACCGGCGTCCAAAACCACAGCGTCAAGACATGCGAGACATTAAGACGGGCGCTGTTGCGTCTTTGGTCAATCATGACACCTTGGATGGGAAGAGAGCAAAGGGCTATACTACTGCTTGGCTGCCTCGAGACCGAGGCCTGTGTTTGCGTCCGTGATGATGACCGTACGGCCTGCGAAGCTCGTTTTCGGCGCTAGCGGCATCTATAAGATTTGGCCATAGCGGAATTGATAGATTTCAGAGAGGTCCGGCATTTTTCTCGACGTCGTTGTTTGACTGGAGCGTGAGAATTGGGCCGAATAAACTTAGGGGTCGAATATCTTATACCTATCTTGGATTGGGTCATCCTTGGTGAGAAATCTGCTGGTGACTCCCCCCTCCTTCAAATGCTTCTCGCCAAAGAGTTCTCAGACTGAAGCTAGTATCTAGGGCCGACTTGTTTCCTGTTCGCTGGTTCGGGAAGATTCATTCTCCGAGGGTCGCTATATTTGTCACTTTTTGACAGAAGAGGAAAGAATTATAGACCGAAATCCATGGTTGACCTTTCGTCTTCTGAAGGACCGACTCTGTACTCTCTTTTGAGGAAAAGGAACCCGATCTGCCCATTTCAAACTGCAATCTGATATTTCCCGTGCTGAGCTTTGCATCTTGTTTCACATACCGTCCATCATTCTTTTCGGGGCTACATAGCAGCGACCGCTTCTATCCACTGATAACGAACGTCAAGCCCCCAGAGTATCCCCAATACGCCGCTTACACGGTCCTCGATGCCACCGGCAGTACAGGCCGAGAGCTCCTCGAGCAGCTATCCACCTCTTCACAAAACCACATCAAGCCCTTCGTCTGCTCGCGATCAAAGCTCCAGACTCTCCTCCCTTCGTCTCCACAGCCGAAATCGTGACCTTCTCGAAGGTTCCCCTCAACGACATGCACCTTCTCGCCAAATGCCTCATGCATGACACACAGCCCGTCAATGCCATCTTTGCAGTCGTCGGCGCGAACACCAACATCCCACATTCTCGCCTCGCAGAAGAAACCGCCCACGCAGTCGTCGCCGCCATTTGCAATCTCCGCGTGTCAATCTCGCCATCATGATTGTTGGACCTACAGGTCTCCAGTCGTACTAACCCAAGCATCATCTTCCTCGCCTTACGCGGCGCAGACCCTCGCTGGTCCGCTCGAATAATGCAACCCATCCACTGGCTCCTCCGGACTGGTTCATCCGCCATCTATGCCAGATGGACAGAGATGGGATGGAGCTGCCGCGGACGAGCTGTAAGGATTTGGAGGCTGCGATGGTTGAGATTGCGGGGAAGAATGAGGGGTTTATGAGGGGGGGGGGTGTTACTATTGTGCCGGGCGCGAAGTGCGAGAATCGAGGGGAGAAGCGAACGGGTTGTGAATGTGTTGATGGGGCTCGTGTGGCGTTGTGTGCCTTGGTTTTGTCGGGTTCTGCATTAGATTGGTGGGTTGTTATGGGATGGTGGGAGTTGGGGTGTCTGCCTTTGGCAATGTGTATAAAGGGTCAAAGGGGGTATCAATGAGTATGAATACTCATCTTCTGTGTTCTTTCCTCTTCCTATTTCCCGTCGATGTTGGACACCGACTCGCAACACTCTGCCTTCCAAGATCAGAGCTCGTTCAGGAAGACCCGTAAAGGCAGGAAAGTCATCCTCTTCGGTGTTGCAATTCCCAACCTTTCAAGGATCCGGACCGCTTCGACTGCTACTCGCTCTGGCACATTGCCTGACGCAGCTTTTCAATTTATTTGTACATTCTTCCGATACTCCAAACTGACTATGACTGTCTGAGGCTGTCTGACCACCAATTTTTACGATTTTTCACTAGACCTGCAGACAACGCGTCCACGAGTGTCCCTTTCCCGGACGACAGATTCGTATACCAGCCAAGAATGTGCTGGAGGACCCTGATCGAGTTGAATCGTAGTGGGCTCAAATTGATTAGGGGGGATTTTCCGAGCCCTGAGATTCGCTGACAAGAACACGATAAATAACTTTGGACAGAAGACGGTCGAACAAAGCGATGAATCCGCGATTTGAGCGGTGAGCTAGTGCGTTATTGGAACGGGGACGCCTTTGCAGCTTATGTATGCCGGTCACGAAAGGTGATTGAGTTGATTTGGGAGAGCGCTGGGCAATACGACCGGATCGCTAGATCGCGAAGGAAAGTTGCGGGTTCGGCTGTAGAAGTTTCCAAGGCACAAATAAAAACAGGATTGGAGAAAGAGTGGAAAAGGACAGATTGAAGAATGGCTTTTCATTGACACCTGGCATCTCACGGGCCATTCCGTTCCGCAATTCACTTGGTGTCAGGTAAGCTGGTACCATCTATTTTCTATGCAGAGACTCCACCGTGTCCGCAGCCGCATTTGAGCATCAGTTTGACGTGCTCTGAGCACACTTGATGAATCTTGCGAGAATTTCAACCGCCTGTTCAAACCCGAGTCTCTCAAAAGTCAGATGTTCGATTGCACAGGAGTTCACCCTTGCAAGGGGGCGAGCCCAGACAGAGTGTGGACCGTATCTCTGCTCAAGCAGCATCAAAACATAACCCTGGAAAATGGAGACCAGCACGATGGCCACCGTGAGACTGCAGATAAGCGTAACGAGCACAATGACGGTGGCTAGTAAACGGGCTTGCAAGGTGGCCACGGAAGGAAAAGAGGCGATCGTTGCCGCTAGGAGCGGGTGTACGTAACGGTGCCAGATTCGATACATTTCTCTTGCAAGCGCAGCATATTTTCCCTTGGCAGATCTCTTGCTGTGCAAGACAATGATGTCTCGAGCGAACTGGCGGACCTCGAGAGCGGTGTCAAGCTCTTCGACGAAATGCTTGGACGCGATGCCATACCTCTGGAAGACTTGCCGCACGACGTGATTGCGTAGGCCACGGTCTGTGTCCGGGGTCGTCGTGTAGACGATTGGGACGACCGACAGCAGGGTCAGGATCTCGGATTTACTATCCCCAGGGATTCTGACATCCTCGTTGAATCGCCGCGCAGCTTCTTTCTTCAGACCTGGCAGATCGTATTTGTCTCCCAAGCTGTACATCTGCGCATGCACGTGCAGCCGTGTTTTTGCCCAAGAGTCGTTGCGAGACCAAAGTCTATCGAGGCCTAGATCTACGGTGTAGGTCTGCATGTAGAGGTGCTGTAGCATTCGATAAACCATGGAGGGCTCCTCTTCGGGTAACTCTATTCGCTGGGTTTCGCTCTCCTGCACTAGGGGTCAGTATTCCCTGTATGTCGAGTCGCGATGACTTACTTTGAAACCGCCTTTGCAAACAGCTTTGAACCACGATGAGCGAGGCCAAAGATAGCTACTGTGGACTTTCCACGTTTTGCCACGGCAGACCAAGGTCAAGTCGGCTCCTTCACCAGTGTCCAAGAGGCTGGGATCCCACTGTCAGAAACGTGGAGTCCGTAAAGGTCTGTACATAGGGGCACTTACGGCTTCATCGATATCTGCATTTCCTGGGCTGATTCTGCCATAACTGAGACGTGGCAAAACGAAGAGGTTTTAAGATTGTTGGTTGTTAGAATTTCCATCTTGCGTCAGAGGAAGATATACAGAATGGTGTGATATGAGAATGAGAATTGATGCAAGGTCGGAAATGTGTCAACTACGACAAGTGTTGATCACGCAGACCCATCCTTGGTTTATACATTATAAGAGCGGCAGACTATTCGATACTATTATCTCGTAATTGTGTTATGCAGCGTAAGTGTTATACTCAAATGCACTAATAGGAATTATCACAAGTTTTGAAGTACTCGAGGCCAGATATCGATCCATTCTGCTGAGCTATCCATATTTTGTCAGCTTTCAGCATGTTGAGTCGTGAGCTCAACCGAGCTGTTACCTTTTATTCTCGAGAAACCTTGGCCATATCATGGCAATTTATCTCAAATGGAGTAGGTAAACAGCGGCATATGTCAAACCCAAATTATCGAAGAAGGGCTGCTTGCTGAAGATGAGGCAAGTTAAGTTGAAACCGAAGCTATCAACGGCAGTGAAGCATCCAGGTCATGTCTGATCAGTCTTGAACCAATCTTCATCGAAGTCCTCGAAATCGCCCAAAGTGCCAGCGCCCATGCCATCATCTCCAGTACCATCCATAGAATAGTCCCCAGATCCAAAGATGTCGTCGAAGCTCGAGTCAACAACAACAGGCTGAGCGGACATTTGAGCTGGGGCACCAACGGTACCCACGGGTGCTACTTGCGAGGTCTCAGGCAATGTTGATGCTACTGGAATGTTGATGTTGGAGAAATCGGTCCCCGCGTTGACATAGTTCTCCAGACCCGGCAGGAGGGTGTTGATATCCTCGCTTGTGGTGGCGCCTAGGTTTGACATGTCTGCATTACTCATCTCAAATTTCTCGAATGCACTGTCATTGAGTACGTCTTGATTCAGATTCCCATCCGAGGCGAAATCAAGACCAAAATTCATGGTATCATCACCGCCTGTCAAGTCTGTGTCGTTAAACATCGATTCGAAGTCTAGATCCGCAGCACTCGAGTCTAGCGGCGCTTCTGCTGCTGGAGTTGCTCCGCTAAATTTCATCTCTGGGCTTTTCGGTGGCTCGGCGGTCTCGGCTGTCGAGTCCTGCGGCATGGTGATTGCTAGTCCCATTGAATTCTCAGCGTCTTGTGGCATTCCTGGATCACTGGTGATGTTCTTATCATTGTCTTTGTTCTGTGGCCCTTCGGCTTGCGGCTCATCGTTTGGTCCAATGAGGCCTGCTTCTAGTGCAGAATCTACCATTATGGTGTCTTCTCGCTTCCCCTCTCCCGGATTCGGAGTGTTATCTTTGGCAAGAGAAGTCTCCGAAGGTCCAATCTCACTGAGCTGAGGGATCCCAGTGGCCTCCTCAGGTGAAGGCTGAGCCTTCAAACCATTTACAATACGTTCGCGCTCGACGCGCTTCTTTCGGAGTAGGGAGAGGTCTCGCTCCATGACCGCTTTTGCTTGAAGCTGATCTCATTTATCAGCATCTATGGCATGACCGAAGACACTCAATGCCACTCCTGTATCTGCACACAAAGCTGGTCGTGAGTAGGGGATTCACATACAATTTCAACTTCGATTTCATCAAGCGCGTCATGGAATTGCTGATTGGCCCAGGGCACATATTCACTGATGCGCTTTTGAGTGAGGCCACTCTGCCTAGGATTCCGCTGATTTGGATCCCGGAGTATCTTGCCGGTTTGATGAAGCTGTGAGAGCTTAGTACAAGGGATGGGGAGGATCCTTCGTGTCTCTGCTCACCACAAGGACCAGTGATGATGACAGCACTTTCAAGGGGTGCTGTGAACTTTGCAGGTCCGTCATTTCTCGGTCTTTTTGATAATCCTCCAATTGTTCAAATCTAGATTGCTTGGATAATGGGAATTACCACGCGAAGATGGGGCCTCTTTCTCAATGGAAAAAGATGGGGAAAGTGGTCAGATTGTGAACAAATATCTGATGAAAGAAAATGGGAACATCATACCAGCTACTCTAGCTGGACCCTGAGCACGAGGCCAAGCATCTAAGCCTCTTTGTGACTAGGCTTCCCGTGAATTTCCAACCCTAGAATGTCACTTTTTAGAACCACAAAAAGGATGCAATCAAAGAGCATTGCACGTTATGAAGCCAGTAGAGGAGAATGCGACTGTTGGACAGCCGTTTTGACAACATAACCAAAGTATCACGTGTAGCAGTCATTGTGCTGGTCTTTAAAAGAGATTGATCGTTCAGGTACGCACAGTGGCACCTTCCCTCGCTAGGACTAGATCGCCAAGTAAACCTAAAATTTGCGAAGCTCTCTTGCTCTTTGCGAAAGGCCCACCTCTTCTCTCCAACCTCCCTCCATCCAATATCACCTATCAACGTCGGGAACTTGAGCGGTCTCCTCTCTCTTTCCTTCGTCCTTTTCCATATCTCCTTGGTTCTCCTTCTCGTGCGATTGCTTCCTCAGCGGTGCTGCTTGACAAGCGCCCACCGATTCTTCTCCCTGTTTGCCCATCAGCTTTTCTCTTGCAGATAGCTTCGTCAGTGTTGGCTACGACTCTTCACCATAAAAATCACAGCGACGACATCATCTTTTTGAATCTCGGCGGATCTCCTACCTCTCTCTAGCTTGCAACTCTCGAACACCTGTCCGAGCGGCAGCCTTCCCTCTCTAGCTTCAGCTTCAACTTCCGTCTCTATAAACTTCCTCAGAAATCGTCGATTGTTCAAACCTATATCCAATGGCGGAGATTAAACAAGAAAATATGCAACCTTCTACAATGTCCCTACCTCCACCTCCTCAATTTGCAGGGGCCCCAGGCCAGCCACAATATGAGAATGGCACAACAAATGGTCATGGGAATCCTGCGCACATGCCTCCTCCACCGCTACCTCCAGTCGTGATTCCGCAGAATACCAATCCTATACCAACAGCCTTGACATCGCCCGGGGGTGATTCAACTGGAATGTTGTCACCTTCATCAGGCTCTGGTAGTTTCGTCCGCCGTGCTGCTCCGGAACCAAATAAGCGTGCACTCTATGTAGGGGGATTAGACCCAAGGGTCACGGAGGACATTCTCCGCCAAATTTTCGAGACTACAGGGCATGTGCAAAACGTTAAGATCATTCCGGATAAAAATATGGGAGCCGTAAGTAGAGATACTTCCCTACCCGCGGTGAGCCTTGAGATTCCTTACACGGCCGTATTGTGAACATTGAGAACCCTAGACCCCACGAGTAAAAAAAGCGCGCTACGGAGTTTTTATTTTATCCCTTCCTGACATCTCGTCTTCCACACCCTTCCCACACTCACCCAAAACTCCCACCACCACCCACAATTAGCATTTTCATTAGCCACTTGCTAATCACATCTAGAGCAAGGGCTTCAACTACGGTTTCATCGAATACGACGACCCAGCTTCAGCAGAACGGGCCATGCAGACCCTCAATGGTCGTCGCGTCCATCAAGCGGTAAGCTCGACCCAAGGTCTGAGTGCAGCATGGGAACATTTACTGATCCTTCGTACAGGAGATTCGAGTCAACTGGGCTTATCAATCCAACAACTCCAACAAGGAAGATACATCCAACCATTTCCATATCTTTGTTGGTGATCTGAGCAATGAGGTCAATGATGAGGTCCTTACTCAAGCTTTCTCGGCCTTTGGTTCTGTTTCTGAAGCGCGTGTCATGTGGGACATGAAGACTGGCCGCTCTCGCGGGTACGGTTTTGTGGCATTCAGAGACCGCGGTGACGCTGAGAAAGCGTTGAGCTCCATGGATGGCGAGTGGCTTGGTTCTCGCGCTATTCGTTGCAACTGGGCAAATCAAAAGGGTCAGCCCTCAATTTCTCAGCAACAAGCCATGTCGTCAATGGGCATGACCCCTACCACTCCTTATGGCCATCACCACTTTCCCACTCATGGGATGCAGAGCTACGAGATGGTTGTCGCGCAAACTCCTCAGTGGCAGACGACATGCTACGTCGGCAACCTTACCCCTTACACAACTCAGAATGATCTTATTCCCCTTTTCCAGAATTTTGGCTTTGTCGCGGAGACGCGTTTCCAGTCAGATCGCGGTTTCGCGTTTGTGAAAATGGACACACACGAAAATGCCGCCATGGCAATCTGTCAGTTGAGTGGGTACAATGTCAACGGCCGTCCTTTGAAGTGCAGTGTAAGTAAAAAATATCTCCATCTATGCAAATATTATGCTTACTAATGTCTGGCTTAGTGGGGCAAAGACCGTCCTCCAACCGGCCAATTCGATGGCTACTCCCCTCAGCAACCCCAGACACCAAGCTACTCTCAAGCTTCACCTGCCTATGGCTTTCCGCAGTACGGCGGTCCTCAAGCCATGACGCCTCAAGGTGGACCGCACTCTGCTGGTCCCATGTCTGGCTATCCTAACCAGCAGTCTCCTATGGGAGCTCCGAGCCCTGCAGGTCGTGGCAACTGGAACTACACTGCTCAAGGGGGACCTGGCATGGCTCCTCAAGGATACGGCCAGATGCCTAACAACGGCGGGGGTGTTCCGGGCAGTGCTGGTGGATACGGCCGTAGCGACCAAATGCAAGGTGGCTACGGTGGCCCTCCAAGCGCTGGTGGATATCCTCCCAACGGTCAAGCCGGCAACTATGGCGGCTACCAGGGCTGATGTCTTCGTATTCTGACACAACAGTCTAACCCGGTGGTCCTTTGACATGGTTCTTTTCTTCGAGGTCGATTCCAGAATGCCCTCTACGACCACAAGTCTTCTTGCGGCTACAGGAGTGCTCGATTCTACTTCATGGCTTGCACGTACTTTCATTACCGCTTTAATAGTTCATAGTGTTTTCACATCAGTTGATCTGAGGCGCGAATGTGTTCTAAAAGAAAAGCTTCGTTTCTGCAAGGGAAAAAATTCATCATACCGCGGCTAGAATGAGTGACGAATCTCCTTCGTGTAATGTCGGGCTCAGATTCGTTCACCTCTATACCCTCATGTACCTTAAATTTGGCAGACTGACCTCAAAGAATGGATTCATGTACTATCGCAAGAATCGAGAGGAAATGCTATATTGATCCTAGCCATAGTATCGATGCTTGGGTTCCTATTCTGGTCGACCAATGGTCTTCGATGCTTCCTTCCTAAAGTATAGTCTTGGTCTTGACATTGCAGAGTAGCCCTAAGTGCAAATCGAGGTTGGAAAGGACTTGAGTAGCTGTCCGGATGACCTCCGTGGCTGCCCTTTGAGTCTTACCCTGTACCTTCGCCTATCGCAACCGCGTCAGGAGTATTGTGCTTTCACTCGTAATTTCAGACCTCAGACCGCAGATCTAACGGTGCCAAGACTTATAGGGCTGAGTGGGATCTCTCTCTCAGCGTCTCTCGTCAACTTTTCAACATGCTATCAGTTGCTATCGATCAGACGCCATGACTAACCTACGAATACACCAGCGGACCCATTGTGTACCATAGCCTCACAAAATAATGAGTGCCCCTCGCCTTGCAGCGCGCCTCGTGCGCCCCGCCCTTCGCTTCAACCTTGCCCGCCGCTACATGCACACACCTGGCTCCAATGCTGGGGGGCTACACTTGCACCCTACCCGGGTTCCTCATCCAACTAAGTACGGAAGAAGGAGAGGATGGCCATGGGGAGCGTATGCAGTGCACAATCTGCCCGCGGTGCGCAATGCAAGCTTCACTCGTGTGCTGCCGCAACTGGCATTAAAGCTCGTGAGGATACCGGCGATGTTTGGGGCTGCTATGATTGGGGGGCTGGCTTATTTGCAGTATCAAGCTACGCAAGCTGGGAACTACGCAATGGACGTTTTGGGTAAGAGTAAAGAGTGGGCAACGGGAACGGCGGAGGGTCTCTTTGGGGGAGCAAAAGACGTGGCGGAACAGACTAGGAATGGATGGGAGAGGACGAAGGATCAGATTCAGTTACCTGAGTGGATGAGGCAGATATACGAGGGTAGAGAGGGTTCATCTTCATCTGGAGGTGGACCTAATGGCGGAGGACCACCACCGAATGAGAGCAGAGCTGCAGCCGCGGCTGTTGCAGGGACAGGTGCTGCGTTCGGCTATACACAAAGTCCAGAAGAAGATGAGAGGACGGGAGAGCAATCTGCCAGGGACGACCAGATGATGATGTTGACGAAGAAGATGATTGAAATTCGAAACATATTGCAGGCCGTTGGACAGCAGAGCGCGCTTATCCTGCCGTCGATTGTGGTCATCGGTTCTCAATCGTCTGGCAAAAGTTCCGTTCTTGAGGCAGTTGTGGGCCATGAATTCTTGCCCAAGGGGTCGAACATGATTACCAGGAGACCCATTGAGCTTACCTTGGTCAACACGCCAGATGCACAAGCTGAGTACGGAGAGTTTCCGGCACTAGGGTTGGGGAAGATTACGGATTTCTCGAGTATTCAGAGGACGTTGACAGAACTGAACCTTGCTGTGCCGGCTGCTGACTGTGTGTCTGACGATCCGATTCAGCTTTCGATATACTCGCCCAACGTTCCGGATCTTTCTCTCATCGATCTGCCAGGTTACATTCAGGTTTCTGGACTGGACCAGCCACCCGAGCTCAAACAGAAGATTGCTGATCTTTGCGACAAGTACATCCAGCCTCCTAACGTCATCCTCGCTATATCAGCCGCAGACGTCGATCTTGCTAATTCAACTGCTCTCCGTGCCAGTAGAAGGGTAGACCCTCGAGGCGAGAGGACGATTGGTGTGGTTACAAAAATGGATCTGGTAGAGGCTGCGAGAGGAGCCAGTATCTTGGGCGACCGCAAGTACCCTTTACGACTTGGCTACGTGGGTGTCGTCAGTCGAGTACCACCAACGTCAGGGCTGTTCTCGAGAGGAAGTGGCAATATCACCACCGCAATAACCAAGAACGAGAATGCCTACTTCTCCGCGCACCCTCTCGAATTCGGCCCAGAGTCTGAGCTGGCGGTGGGCACTACGACTCTAAGGAAAAAGCTCATGCATGTTCTTGAGCAAACGATGGCTGCTAGCCTGCAAGGCACAAGTGACGCCATACATCAAGAGCTTGAGGAAGCGACCTACGAGTTCAAGGTCCAGTATAACGACCGGCCGCTGAGCGCGGAGTCGTATCTCGCAGAGAGTCTGGACGCGTTCAAGCATTCATTTAAAGAATTCGCCGAGTCCTTCGGCCGACCGCAAGTTCGAGAATTACTCAAAGAAGAGTTGAACCAGCGGGTGCTGGATGTGCTCGCCCAGCGATACTGGAATAAGCCTATCACTGACCTGACTCCTGCGTTGATCGAGCCAGATCCTCTCGACAATTTGCCAAGGGCAGATCCAGAAAATTTGTACTGGCGCCGAAAGCTCGACGCCTCATCCTCCTCCCTCACCAAGCTCGGCATCGGCAGGCTGGCCACCACCAACGTTGCCAACGCCCTTCAATCCGAAGTCGAGCAACTCATTAATGCATCCACGTTCTCCACTCATCCATTCGCCCGTCAAGCCATCACAGATGCAGTTTCAGGAATTCTAGATGAGAGATTCTACAGCACCAGTGACCAGGTCGAAAATTGTATCAAGCCGTACAAGTATGAAATTGAAGTCGACGACTCCGAGTGGGCGAAAGGACGCCAGAACGTCTCTGACGTACTCAAGAAAGAGCTCAAAGCATGCGAAGCAGCCGAGAAATCTGTTGAGACCTCTATTGGCGGCAAGAAAAAGATGAAAGACGTGATGGGATACATCGACCGAGTACGAAAAGGCGAAGTAGTGCTTGAGGGTGACGGTATCGGCGGTGGTGGAGGATTTAGTGCTGCTCTGCTTGTGAAAGGTTAGGCCTCCGTCTCTCCTGATTGCTCGTTACCCGAGTCATTGACTAACGAGTCAATTATGTAGGTCGGGAAGCAGTTTTCCTTCGCGATCGAGCGTCCATCCTCTCCATGCGCCTCGTCGCCATCCGCTCCAAACAATGCACCACCAAAAGCAACAAATACTATTGTCCCGAGATTTTCCTTGACGTCGTCGCTGACAAACTCACCGCTACCGCCGTACTCTTTCTCAACGTCGAACTCTTATCCGAATTCTATTACAACTTCCCACGCGAATTGGACCTGAAACTGGGCAGGGGGCTGTCCGGAGACGAAGTGAAGCGGTTTGCGAGAGAAGATGGGAGGATCGCGAGGCATTTGGATGTGGTGAAGAGGAAAGAAATGTTGGAGCTGGTACTGGGGAAAATGGAGAGTTTGAGGATGCTGGAGGGGAGGGAGGGTAGGAGGGAGGAGGTAAAAAAGGGGAAGGGGACTAAGGAGAGAGAGAAGGGCTGGAGGCTGTTTTGATTACTTTTGAGCTGGGCACTCACTGTAAGGCGTTTTGATCTGATGGGTGAGCATTTTTTGTACTGGTACCGTCACGAGAATACCCTAGCCGCTCAATTTGAATTGTAAAGTATGAATTGTTGTATGAATTGTTTGTATGTAATTTATTTCCCATCAATTGACTTTATGACACATCGGTGCGAAGTGAGAAGTCTAAATAAAAGCATCTGGGGGTGGCGAAATGGCGGAAGAGCTGCGGCCTGCCGATTTCGGCACCCAAAAGTTCGCCCGGCGGCACCTCAATTTTGGATTTTCTTGGGTGACATGACATTCTATTTTATAAATTGTAAAACAATCACCCAACAACTCATTTATATACCCTTGGAATTTGACCCCTTACCTAAAAATAATACGGCTGAAACTTGCGCTGACGTTACCCGCGAGGCGCAAAGACTTTCGTCACTCTGCAGGTGGGGGGGCCTTTACCGGGTTCCAGCTTTACAGTCAGCAGCTAAAGAACAAAGCACCTCCCCTTCCTTCTCCACACATCCACCACAGCTTTGCCCAGCCTTTCATCGCAATTCTTCCCAGCTTCGTCAGTTGAGCCAACGTCTCCGTGATCGATCTCATTAGCGGACCAAGTTCCGAAACAACAGTGGAGGATCCCCCATACACAGCCCACGACTCGTTGGAACAGTCGCAAGACTCAAGCGCACCCTTCAGAGAATCCTAGATCGGTCCAGAATGCAGCTTTGAAATCTCTCTACAGAGATACTTGCTAGGGTTCTTGCGCAGCCCTGCCAGCTCCAGATATCTCGTCTCCAGATTTCCCCCCAGACAGTAACGGTTGCGACAGGCGCGCGAGAGTACTGCAGCTGCATCTACATTAGCCTCGCGCATACTGCGCGGGGTGAACGAGATAGTTGATTAAGGGCCCGGGCAATGGCCCATGACTTGCACGCTGGATTTGAACGGCTGAGGACTAACTCTGGCAACTTATCCCCCACATCTCCGGATGACAACACCACGCGCAGCCGCGATAACGAAACACATGGAACAGAGACATGGGCAAACCAGGCTGACGCGGAGAAGACCGGCCCCCTTGATAAAGGCAGGTTATCTCATCCTTCAAGCAGAGCTTCAGATACGGATTTGCAATGGCTTGCTCGCATCCAAGACGTGGGTCATGCAATTACACGGCCTATCGACGTCCCCCAAGCCTCGGTTGGAGACGGTTCAGAGCGGACTACAGATAAGAGCTGGGAGCCTGAGCCTGGCTCACGATACCAGGAACCCTCTCCTTTCGAGGAGTTTATGAGGGACCGAAGGCCGTCTATTAGCTTCAATCCCAAGGTCACATTGGAGTCAGGTCATGAACAGCCTTTGGAACAGCCTTTGCCGAAATTGGCTATTGACACGAGAGCGAGGAGTCGCCCAATTCTGCTAGAGCTTGAAAGGTATCCTGTGAGGTCGCCTCTCTATCGATCCCACAGCGAAGCCGACTGCAGAAATTACGATCCGGGGACTGGTGAGCTTCTGGGTTCGAGATCACGGCGGAACCAAGCCCAAACTACACCTAGATCTCCAGAAAACAGGTCACGGTGGCCGTTACTACAATCTACCGCCGAAAGCCTCGCACAGGAACAAGAGCAAGCTAATATTCCTGAGCGAGGCGCCTCCTTGACTTCCGAGTCCACGCTTTCGCCAGTGGCCTCTGAGGTACACACACCCACCGACAATATGGATATCCTCATCTCTCCGCTCTCCTCTCACGGCCCTTTCCCCTTCCCCGTCTCTTACGAAGACTCGAGCGCATGGCCGAAATTACGGCAGCAGCCCTCTGCATCAAGGTCTAAGAGCTATTCAATAGAGAGGAGAGTGAGCATGCGAGCGGCACAGCGGCAGGGTTCTCGAAGCTCACGTCGATCCACATCCTCTTCGATGTCACCAGCAACAGCTTTCCTCTCCAGATTTGCTCGCGAAGAGGCCTCTCCGGAACCAGACAGTGAAGGGCAAGAAGTGGGCGAATACGTCATTGGGAAGCAAGTCGGCTTTGGAGGCTTCAGTACAGTCAAAGAAGCATACACATTGGAGGGTGAGGAGAGAATATGTCGAGCCGTCAAAGTCGTCCGCAAGCAAGTCGCCGGCAAGGAAGAGCTGGAGAATGAATTACTACAAGCAGAATTCGAGCATGAAATCTCCCTATGGCGATGCTTAGGTCATCGCAATATTCTCCCGCTTATCGAAGTATACGTGACCGACTTTGCAACGTTCTGCTTCACGAAGCTCAATACTGGTGGGACGCTGTTCGACTTGGTCCGGGCAAACCGGCATGGGATAAGCCGAGATCTGGCGCGGCGGTACGCGTACCAACTCGCCTCTGCTATACGGTATCTACACGAAGACGTGCGAGTGGTTCATCGTGATATCAAGCTTGAGAACTGCCTGGTCGACATTTCTGACCCTGATGTCGCCAGAGACGGAGGGAACATCCTGCTCTGCGACTTTGGCCTTGCCGAATTTGTCACGAGCGACACCAGAAGGAAATCGCCAGAACCCTACGAGAGAGCAATGGACCGTGCACCTCCTAAGAACATCGGTCCGTCCGAGACCAGTACATCGATCGCAGGAAGCCTCCAATATGCTTCGCCGGAACTCATCATGAGCCCTGCCGGCTTCCTAAGCTCAGTGGTTGACATGTGGGCTTACGGGGTCGTGATTTACGCACTCCTGGTGGGTGATCTACCTTTCCAGCACATGTTCCAGCCGCGAGTGCAGATGATGATCCTCGCGGGCGAATGGGACATGACGGCGCTGGAGACCGCTGTTGGAGTTATCGGATATGAGGAGGAAGTCTTGGAGCTTATGAGCGGGTGCCTCGAGATGGAGAGCGAGCGACGCTGGACGATTGCACAGGTCCTTAAGAGCAGGTGGCTTGACGGGTGTCAAGAAATGCTTGAGGACCTGAAGGAGGATTGGAAGCTTTGATTGGATGTTATACTACATGAGGTTCCGAGTGAAGCCATCTACGAGTCACGACTAACTTGAGATCTTGGTATTGGAGTTTTGGGTGGCTGCTTGTACCAGCATTTGTACGGTATGGGAGCGAGCGACGGAAGTCCCGTCGAGCGAGGATACCCTTTTTCTCTACTTTCTTTTGCAAGAACGGTATCTCTGTGGTCTATTGCAGTGCAAGTACGGCATTGTTTGACGTTGACGCCGGAGGTCCGATTGTAAAACTTTTGGTGTTGCGTCTTTGGAGGCTTTCTGTACAAGCTATATTGCTTTGTTCCATACACCTACAGCACACACGTCCCGATGGGGCCTTGCGTAGATTGGCACCGTCTATGTAAGTAGGTATGTGGGCTTCACATAGATAGGTCTATTCATATTGTGACACCACTACATGCATTAGTTCGATACCACGTCCAAACTCTAACGAACCCCTCGATTATATACTCGAGGCTTGGGTCCTCATCGTGTTGAAGAGTATCCACCACATGAGCTCAATGTTCTTTAACTGACCCCCACAATCTCCACCAAAGCGCTCACGATAAAGTGTCCACCACCACACAACCTCGAGACCAAGAAATCCTCGTATCGGACGAGAAGTACCCGATGCTCTCATTCGCATGACGCTTTCAAACTCCGGAGGCCTCGGCTGACGGTGTGTAGATGTAGAGCCTCCACAACGCTCTCCGATAAGAGTCCCTACGTAGGCCAAGCACGTACTCCTCGCTCGCGCGTGGTGTTCACAGCGTCAAGACCAAGGACAGAAACTAGATGTCTAAGCAGGACCTTTCAGGCTGTACCTAGGTAGCCCTCTCCTTTGCGCCTTTGACATGAACCTCGCTTTTAGCGTGTTGCACAAGTAGGTAGGTAAGGTAGCTTCGTTCCAAAGTCCTCTCCGTCTTGAAATAAACTCAACCCACTCCACATGAGCACATTATTGGTTCCGACCAGCCTTCCACGATTCACCCCGCCAAAGGTGCGACCCGTAGAGTAGGTCAAGCAGGTGTCTCGCTTGCATTTATCACACAGCTTTTGCCGCCAAGACCCCTCGGTACTCTGAGGCAAGGCATGAGGCTCTACCTAGAGTAGGTAGTTCTCTTGGGAACCGATGAAGTCCTTGGCCTTCAGTATGTAGGTACCATTTCTGCCAAGCTGCTTTTCCCCTCACAGGACATCTAGAGTATCATTCACAATCACTGCCTGTGGCCAAGAACGTAAAACGAAAGGTCACATGAGGCTCTAATTCTCTTGGAAACGTGTTGAGTGCTTGGCCTATCAGTTGTAGCAAATCAATTGTCGACGATTGCAGGCGGCATCCCAGACTAACTTCCATCCAGTCTTTGCTTCTTCGTAATAGCATCACTGGGCAAACCTTATATTAGCAGCTTACTTGTAACAACCGTCATAAAACTCCGAGACCCGACCGCGGCCTTGGCAAATAATAATCGTTTTCAACAAATACATCCACTCGGCCATTTTACCCAAAGTTCCTACTACCTTTCTGGCAACAGCCATATGCTTACTTATGTACTGATTGAGGAGCACCTCTGACCCAAATGCCTGCGAATCTGTCTCCCGCATCTTCCCCATCGTTAAGGAAGGAGACGCCTCAGTGCGTTTGGATTTCACCAGAAAGGTCACCGAACCCCCACACTGTCCCTACTTCTACCGTCGCTGGTTGAGAATTGAATCTTTGGCCCGACATCCTTTGATCGTACCCAGTCAGGACCCTTCCGACTTCCTCTTTGCAGTGGCACCTTGACGCACCGAGGTCACGTTGTACAGACGAACACCCAGCGCAAGGTGAATCGTCCCGTCCACCGTTTGCTTCCACACCCATTACGACTGGGCAATCGCGAGGGCAAACATCAGCGGGGTCATACAGTCTTCAGAGGAGGAAGCCCCCTCAGGATTAAGACCTTGGGCATTGGAGGATCTCTCCAGAACGTGAAATACCGAAAGATTAGATCCTAAGATCAAGACGCAACTATGGTGTGGGAACAGTTGACAGTCAACAAGCCGCATTGGGCGTACCTGATCATAGGAGGCTTTACCAGTCTCTTCATGCTGGTATCACTGTTCGTGAAGGAAAGACTATACATTGGAGAAGCTACCGTTGCAACCATATGTGGTGTTATATTTGGGCCTCACGCCGCAAACTTATTCAATCCTCTCACATGGGGAAACACGGATCAGATCACTCTAGAGTGCTCGCGTGTTGTTCTCGTGGTCCAATGCTTCGCAGTTGGTGTCGAGTTGCCGAAGGCATATATGGAGAGGCACTGGAGATCTGTGGTATTCTTGCTGGTGCCTGTGATGACATTCGGATGGCTCGTCACGAGCCTCTTCATCTGGTGGATGATCACACCTTTGAGCTGGCTGGAAAGTCTTATGTGTGCTGCTTGCGTCACGGCCACGGATCCAGTCTTGGCTTCATCTGTGGTTGGCAAAGGTAAATTCGCAAAACGAGTGCCAAAGCATCTTCGAGACTTGCTGTCTGCTGAGTCGGGATGTAATGATGGCATGGCATTTCCGTTCATCTATCTGTCCTTCTACTTGATTCACTACCGCCCGAATGCTAATGAAGTTGCATATCACTGGTTTTGCGAGACGATCTTATACGAGTGCGTCTTCGGTGCTACATATGGAGTCCTTATCGGCTATATTGGCCGCCACATGATTAAATGGGCAGACAGAAGAGGATTGATTGACAGGGAAAGCTTCTTGGTGTTCTACTTCGTCCTCGCTCTGTTCTGTGCCGGTACTGGAGCCACACTCGGCACCGATGATCTACTTGTTGGCTTTGCGGCTGGGGTGGGATTTAGCAACGATGGATGGTTTACGGAGAAGACCGAAGAATCACATGTTTCCAACGTCATTGATTTATTACTCAATTTAGCATATTTTGTCTATTTGGGCTCCATCATACCTTGGCAGCAATACAATGCACCGCTACTTGGCCTGACCCCGTGGAGACTTGTTGTCATTGCCATCTTCGTCATCTTCTTCCGACGAATACCCATCATGCTGGCGCTCAAGCCCCTAATTCCGGACATCAAGACTTGGAGAGAAGCATTATTTGCTGGTCACTTTGGTCCAATTGGCGTGGGTGCCATCTTCGCAGCTATTCTCGCAAGAGCAGAACTGGAAACCGATACCACTACGCCTCTGGGTGTTGTACCAACAAATCCGGATACCGAGAACTATCTCGTTGTCCAAATCATCTGGCCACTTACTACCTTCTTGGTCATAACTTCAATCCTCGTTCATGGATCATCCATTGCTGTGTTCACCCTCGGAAAGCGCATCAACACTCTGACGCTCACAATGTCCTACACCCAAGCCAATGAAGATGGTCCATCATGGATGAATAGACTCCCAAGAATTCAATCTACTTCGAAGGCCTCGATGTCAAAGAACAAAGACGACTTGGCGAGCGAGGACTCTTCGAACGAAAAGCTTCCAGAGTATGCACCGGGAACGTTACCGCCGATTGGAGTTCCAGGCAACTTTCTCCGCCGACAAAAGGAAGAGGACACTCCCATTGAAAAGCCTCGACCAACTCGAAGAAGGTCAAGATGGGAATCTGGCATGGGTCCAGGTGGGCCGATCAGTCAGTCTGCAATTGCGCCACAACGGAGAACAGGCATTACGAGTCCTAGTGAGAGCGTGGACGATACCCTCAACGAGAAGGACAGCCCATCCGGTAGCGGAGAAAGCGATGGACCTCCCAACCAGCTCGAGATGGAAGACGCCCAGGAGAAGCGCGAAGAGAAGGAGGAGAGAAGTGGCTCTAAAGAGATTCGAGAACCAAAGGTTGAAGCATACGAAGAGGGTGACCAATTGGTTGTTGAAGACGAGGAAGGAGAAATCCTGGCCATTCACAACGTCGAAGGCGAATCCGATGACCAAAAGCGGCAGCACATTCTCGATGATGAGGCAGCCCTGCGGCAGGAAACGAGTGGTGAGCACGCCAAGGGCAAATTTCATCCACATGAGAGCAGAACAGAAGGCGAGGAGTTGGAGCAGATTTTTTCGGAAGGGGCCGGACATCCTGGCGAGACGTCAAAGAGGTTCTTGAAGAAGTTAGGCGACGGATGGGACGGATGGAGGGGAAAGGACAAGGAAAAGGAAGCCGCTGGCCCTTCAGACCCAAAGCCCAAGCCCAAGCTCAAGCCCACGCCGAAGGCCCCCGAGCATAAACGAGGCCCAGCCCACGCATATCAATTCGGCAATACTATCATCGTCGAAGATGAAGATGGCGAGGTCGTCAAGAAGTACGATCTCCCGCATCAGCCGAAACAAAGGGGTGGTGTCCGAGGAGGTGTGCAAGATGGCGCCGGCCATTTCAACGCGAAGCCAATGCTGAAACGCGCCGGTACATGGGTAGGCATCGGAGGAAAAGCCGAAGAAACACCTCAGGGTGAGTCAGCAGCAGAGGCGAGCGGCCATGGAAAGAAAGGTCGAAAGCAAGCCTCCGTAGACACAGATGATGATCGCATCCGTTTCACTGCTGGTGGCCGCCGCTTGAGCAAGGCGGATTTCATCAAGCAAATCCAAGCTATGGATCCTAAAGCACAGGTGCAAGCTGTCGAAGAAAGCGATGCCCCCGAAGACGTCAAGCAAGAAGTTCGGGCTGGTGCAGGAGACGCGTTCGAGGACGCTCGCTCTTCGACGAGATCACGACCGGATTCCAAGCGCGCTGCTGGACAACCAACAATGTCGCCTGTCGACGAAGGACACCAGTCAGACGAAGCAATGCCTGTGGTCAGAAGATTTAGTACTACTGAAGACAGACCAAAAGGCCCGGATGGTCTGACTTTGATCGACTCCAAAAATCAAGACATACCCTTCCACCCAGTCTCGGAAAGTATCCAAAAATATGGCGGGGAAGAAACCGCAGCCCAGCGACGTCGGCGCCTTGCTCTCGCACGCAAAGATTCCGACGACGATGGAACGGAACGCGTCCCACCTCATACGACGGGTCCAGGTCCTCTGCTCAGAAATCCTATGTCAAGCGTAGGGGCATCTATGCCACAGGAGGAACCACAAGGCGAGACGGCAGCGGAACGAAGAAGACGATTAGCAGCTTTAGGCGAAGGCGATGAAGGAGAGCGGCAAGACAGCAGTGACAGTGAAGACGATGGTGGGGAGAGAAGACCAGCTACGGGACATACGCCTATGCCCGAACCGAGTGCCACTGAGGCTAGGAGACCGCCCGGTATTAGATTTGCGGATTCACCAGCTGTAAGTCAGGGGAGAGTGCAGTGGGGAGATGATGTAGGGAAGAAGGGGAGGAGATGATTGTGCATAAAAAGGGAGTTTAGCTCATGTTGCTTCTATGATAAGCATCTTAGCGGCATGATGGAAGTTCCGTGCGCTTTTACGGCAGAATTTCGTAGGTACTCTGCATACTCACGATCTATCTCACGACGTTAGCTCAACGTCTCTAAGTGCGCTCCTCATCTCTCATCCCTGCCCCCCGTTTGCTATCTCTGCCACCCTCTCCACTTCCGTCAAATGTTGAAACAACTTTTCAGTCCGTCAACGACTATCACGCCTGAGCCAACTGAGAACATTTCAAAGGTCATAGGCATTTCCGCCGTATCTTCATTGCTCGGGGTTCACCAGCCCATTTCGGCGTTTTTGCGAGCGTTTCCGATCGCTGCGGGCCACGGGCCACTGTTGAATGGTCCGCGCCCGAAACTCTCTAACAACCTTGCGGGCAGTCCCATACGTGTCCACCCGTACGTATGTGTTCGTTCATGCAGTCCAGTCACACAGCGTCCATTCATGCAGTCCGGTCACGCAGCCAGAGACCCTGACAGGAATTCGGCACATCTCCTGGTCTTTTTCCCGCTCACAGTGGGCTATTCCTACAGCACGTCTTGAGCTTGGTCGGCCGGTGACCGGCTGGCTACACTTCTGTCGCATACATCCCCCCCCCCTATCGAGCCGGCGCGAAACTTAATCTTCGTACAGGTTTGGATCGCTGTGAGGGACCCGGCGGGAGGACTTGCAGGACAGGAGGCGCCCGGACCGTGCCATTTATCCATCCGCTGAGTCGACACCGATATCGATCGCTGGACACTCCCGTGGCCGATTTGGGCACGAGGGGAGGGGGAGGACGAGGACGATTGCGGCTTCCCCGTGGATCCGGCGGACCGGCTGGGGATCGACCTGGATGAGGGGGCTGGACAGGTCACTCGCTCAAGGCGACCACGACGGCAGATTGGGTACCCCGGATTATCACACCCTGGGCGCAGAGCCATCGGTGATGCTTCGAGGGTCGACGAATCTAGGGTCTGGAATGGTATCGGGGAGGCTGCCGATGCCTGCCCTTCTCGGTGGGGGATGGGCGCCAAACGGTGCATCATTCTGGATGGATGGATCGCCATCTCTTTCGCCGGTAAAGCGGAGGATGTCCAGAAAAGCCCTATTGCCCACCTCGCCTCAGCTCTTGATGTGGGATACCGTTGCCTTTACTCGATTCTGGCGGTAATGCGTTACCAATAGGGTGGGTCCTGAGGGCCGCTTTCCGATGCTCTGTTCATGATTCGCAATCAAGCAAGGCGGATATTGTTCGCCTCTCCGGCCAAAAATATTTCCGGACGTGGCCGTATTATATCTCGAGGCCAGATCATGGCACAGATGTGTGTTACTCGACGCTGAGTAATCGTGCTACCCACTCAGCCCGCAGGCTCGCACGCTTGCGACTTCAGTGTGTGTGACGACGATCGCGATTCTGAATCACAGAAAGGAGAGATCGATCCCATTGATATCTGCTGATACCGGTTTGACGGGGATGAGATCCGAACGATGGTTGCGGAATCCATCTTCTCGTGTACCGAAAAGTTCATGGAGACAATGTTGCACACTCTGAGCATGAAGAATGAAGGACGGCAGTGGTATCATGGTCTTGTTCCTCATCTTTCAATTGGGCTGCTAGCTTTAGTCCTCCTCGTCAGTACTCCATTCTTCTCCCATAAACAATCACAGATCACAGATGGACCCCCACAGTGCTCAGTTCTCCCTCTGTAGCTTACTTAACCCACAACCTGACCTCCCAACCCCTCGCCCACATCCCCGGCCCGAAAACCTGGGCAGCAAACCGCCTCCGCTTCGTCACCTCGCCAGTCCGGGGAAAGGTTGGTCCACGACGTCCGCGCCATCCGTCAGGAATACGGTCCCATCGTGCGCCTTGCGCCCAACGAAGTCTCATCGCCAGAGAAGACGCCTTCCACGATGTCTACGGCATCCGTCCCTGGCACTCGCCATTGCCCAAAAACCCAATATTCTTCCCCCCCCCCGCCGGGCCAGCCGCACATCATGGTCACAACCGCCGATGTCGCAGACCACGCGCGGATGCGCAAGGTGATGAATCGAGCTTTCGCGCCTTGGGCTTTGAGGGCGCAGGAGCCGACTGTCGAGGCCTCTGTCTCGCTGCTGGTGGAGAGGCTCGGAGAACAGGTCGCCCCGTCTCAGCACGATGACCCGGTTGTCGAAACGAACACGGTTGACTGGTACGATTACGTCGCTTTCGACATCGTTGGCGACCTTGGCTTCGGCGGGTCTTTCCAATGCCTCCAATCCGTTTCCCCGCACCCCTGGCTCGCTCTCATCTTCGGTTCCCTCAAAGGCATGCCCTTGGCGGCCGCCGCCCGCTATTAACCCCCCCGGGTCAATTTCCCCACCCGTCAAATTCCTCGTGCCGAAAAGCCTGCTCCGGATGACGAGTGATCACTACCAACTCGCCCGCGGGAGAGTGTCACGCCGCATGGATCTGGGAAAGGAGCGCGTGGACTTCATGACGCCGGTGTTTCGGCAGGGCGTACGGGCTGTCGGTGGGAATACCAATGATGGAGGCGGTCAGGGCCAACGAGGGCACGACTGTGGAGGCAGTCGGGTCGACCCTTTTCACTGCTCCTCATTCGCCGGCACCGAGACCGTCGGCACCACCCGAGCGGGCATCACCCCCCATCTCGTCCACTTCGCCCACGGTCCCGCACACCCCTGCAACCGGATATCCGCACCCCGTTCCCCGCCGAGGATCCGAGCATCTCCATCGCCCGCCGTCACGGACCTTGCATACCTCGATGCCGTTCGTCCACGAGGGCCATCCGCCTCTGCAACCCCGTCCCCGAGGGCATCCGCCGCAACCCCGCCCCGCCGGCGATCCCGTCCGCGGTGTCTACCCCCCCCCGCCGGCACTCCCGTCTCGGGTCCATCCGTGGTCCATCAACAAACAACCCAACCAACTCTTCTGCACCCCGGAAGCCTTTTCGTCCCGGAGCGCTGGCTTCCCCGAGAGTTCGATGACGGCTCCGGAGGCGGGGATGGAGAGTGAAGGCGACGACGGGAGCAAGAGAGGGGCAGGAGGAGCAGTCGACCATGCTATCGACCGGCCGAATGCGTAAACGACCGCCTCTCGGTTAGCCGGCTGTTCGGTGAGGGGAGCCGGGCGTGTATTGGCGATGGCGGAGATGCGCTTGGTGCTTGCGAGGTTGGGTTGGGCTTTTGAAATCGCTGCGCCCGGGGAAGGTGGATTGGAGGGCGTTGAAGACTTTGGTCGTTGTGGGGAAGGGGTCTGTGTGGGTTAGGTTGAGGGGGAGGAAGTGAGGGGGTGGTGGGTGAGGTTGGGCGATGGGTTGGGGGTCCTTGATGGGAGAGGCGCTGGATGGGCGGATAGGTTGTGTGTGTTGATTGTTTTCGACTTGTGCGGTGTATTGTCTGGCACGTGGTGGGAGATTCAGGGTGATGAAAGATTTTACAGGCTGAGGGTTTTTTTTGGGATAATAAATTGTGAGGTCAAGGCCCCTCATACATTCCCCCAACCTTTCATCATATACTGATATCAACGTTGCCTGCCACATAGAACTCATGGTATATCTATACGAACATCATCTGGCTACCTCAACCAATTACCCGTAAGGATCTCCAGGACGCAGCTCAGCAAATCATTTATCCGGCCAAATCTTGGGGTTCCCTCCGATCACGTCCTGCGACGAACGTACATCCGAATCGATACTCTTCACCACGCCACCACCCTACCCATGCAGAACGATGGGCAAGGGTGAGGCGATCCCGAATGCGGCCGCGCTCTGCACCTTGCGCTGGAGGTCCGCTATCTCGCCAAGCTCCAGACAGCCGTTCTCCTTTAACGCAGCGCGCGATTCTAGAGCTGGCTGACCGCAGCTGTAGCTTCTTCTGTCGCGGTGTTTGTTTGAGGAGGCGGAGTCTTTGGTGATGCGCGTTGGCCTTGACGGCGTTTGTGAGGCGAAGAGGTGTCGGCCTAGGGCAAAGATTGCCGGAGCGCAGGAGCAGATGATGGTCACTGAGACCTCGATTATACTGGCAGGGGTTAGAAAAGTTGGGTTAGAAGTTATGGAGCGAGATGATGCTGTGGGGGATGGATTGGGGACGGACATTGCTATGAATATAATGGCCCCCATCCAGAACGTGTCGGTGGCGCCGTTGAGCTTGATGCGGTAGACCAAGCTAACCAGGCTAGCAACTAGAGCGCTGTTGCACGTCAGCCGTTTTAAGTACCTGCTGTCAATGAATACCCTGTGCCACTAGGTACTCACATTCCTCCTGTTCCGAAAACGGCCAAGACTCCGAGTCTTTTACTCCTTCGCATTTGCAGCTTCCATACGATAGGTAGCGGTAACACCAATATCAGTATGTCAATAGCAACGTTGGACGCGCCTTGGATGATTGCGTACGTCTCCTGCTTCTCACACTCGGTCAAGGAAGCTGGAGATGCCCAAGACTTGCCAGGCAGTGGCGCGCAGAGACCTACGTTAACGCCGACATAGCACCAGTACACGCCAAACATGAAGACAATAGTCGACCAGACGGTGTAGCGGAACCATTTCAAGGGCGCAAAGACTCGGAGGTAGAGGAGCAGGATGGAACACTTGGCGAAGAAAGTAGCGAGGCTGAAGAGCACGTCTCGAGCCAAGCGACCCCTGAAGTATTGTGTATCGACCCACATGGCGGGCACATCCCAAGTGTGTCTGGCGTATCTGTTAAGATAGAAGACCATGCTGATGTAGGCGGATAATATCACCACGGCCAGGAGGCAGGAATAGTCTTCGATGCCGGTCGAGCGCGTGACGAGTAGGGTGGAGTAGAGCCGCGCTGTGACTGCGAGGCAGGTGAAGACGAGCATCAAGACACCGATGGCAATTGTCACCCCCTCTAACGTTTGAGGGTCGTGTAGATTCGCTGGTCACGCCTGGTGGAGGTGACGCTGCTGGTATCTCTGCTGGGTTCATGCCTGGAGGGAATGCTGCGGCCATGATGATGATATGATGATTCAAGCGCTCAGAAGTAGGGACGTGACGCAGCGAGAGGGTATCAGAAAGTGGTTCCCTTGGGCTTTTTAGAATCCCTGAGCGCAAGATGCATGATGGGGGAAGATGCGAAGCCTAGCTGCGCCGTGCTCGTTGAAGGGATCTATGATGTTTTGGGTGAGGGTCGTCAGCTATGGCGCCAGGCCTGCTGGGATAACACTAGCGATCTTGCTGCCATCGGCATACATGTGTGGGTGCGTGTGGATTCCCTCGCTGCCCCACTTCCATACATGATGCTCGCATCCCGAAGCATCTTTCGTATTCGTGCATGCAAGGCACGCACCCGGTGCGAATCAGTGAAGAGGGTGAAAGCAGTCGGACCGGTCTTGTGCAGAAAATCGCCTTGGAAAACAGCAGCTTCGACATACGATTGAAAGAATCTTGTAACCCTTTTGATTATTGAAATAGTCGGATCCGATTTCTGCAGGGGTACCATGTGAGACGATAACTTTGAACAGCAGCGGACCTGCATCGAAGGAGATCCCTCACACCCTGAGGGGTGAAAGTAGTCGGATCTCCGGTTTTATCTTCGTGGCACATAACTCACTGCACTCTAGAGTACCTAGCAGAGAAAAGACAAGGCTCCATCTCCACGTCTTCCCCGACACGCAGCCTAGAGGCCTGCTGGGTGACCGGACTGCTTGCCGATCTACTAGTATACTTTGCTACCAAGCAAAAACGTCAAGTCACCCAGGGTTTCTTCATTAAAACACCTAGACTTTGCCCAAGACAGTATCATCTAAAGAACCTGCTGAGCCTTTCAGACGATACTCAAGCCTCTACTCCTCACTTGTCACTCTTCACTTTTCACCTCTCACTGCCCTCACCTGAAGACACCATCTAGGCAGCGGACGAACGCTCTCAACATGCTCGGCTCCACAGTCGATACTACCGTGAATCAATGGTCGCTGAATCCTCTTGTTTCACTCGCCACTTCGATCTGCACGGGTTCCTATCTTCTATGGAGACTCTGGAGCTTCACCGTAAAGCCCTGGTTGCGGCCGGATGAACCAAAGCCATTGCCATATTGGAACCCCTTTCTCGGTGCGTTAGCTATGCCTGACTGCTCCCAAACTGAACAACTGACTTTCTGCTCAAGGCCATACCTACTACTTCGTGACTAACCCGGATCATCTTTTTCGGACTGGATGGTAAGAAAAACTGAAAACCACACAAAAGTTATTCACTGATAGGCCGCCGGTGTCTCATTTCCCAAAGGAGAGCCCTTCACACTCAGGCTTGGGTCGAAAAAGATGATCATACTAACAGACAACCGGGATATCGCCACCACATGGAGAGATACAGCGGCGCTGACTTTCGACCCGTTTGTACAGCAGTTTATGATCACTCTCGATATATCAAAGAAAACCCAAGAAACCTTGTTTCGAGAGAACTCAACATCTATGGTGCAAGGAGAGAACAAGTCCGCCTCGCTCTTGGTCAAGGAAAATCCTATGCATCATGCATTCTACCACCTCCAGATGGAATGGGTGAAGCAACAATTATCCGGAAATATGCTTGCAGATATTGGTGACAACTTATTAGGTTACATCAATCAATCCCTTCGTCTAGCCCGATTTTCTACCAACCTTCATTCACTCATCAACACGTTACTCAAAATCCGCGTCCCTGAAACATTGGGTCCGATACAGCCTAGTCTCTTCGGCAACTAAAGCATTCTTCGGGAGTGAAATGCTAGGGGTTGATCCGCGCTTCCTGGAATACTACTTCGGCTTCGAGGAAGCCGCATGGAAGATGTTTTATCAGTATCCGAGGCTCCTACCAGGAGACCTATATGGCGCCGCCAAGAGTATACTGAGCACCATGACCAATTTTAACGATATTCTGCAGACAGACGGTTTGGACATGGTGTGGATGTTCAGAACGATAGAATTGGAGATGCGGCAGCTCGATTTGCCATCGCGTGATATCGCTATCATGTCATCCATGCTGTTCTGGGGGTAATGGAACAGCCTTTTCTACTTCTACTCCTTTCTTTATCTCGTCTTTGTTACCTTCTTGCACTGCTGTTATTGCCGAATGCAACCACTGACTCCTTCCGCACCTTAGCAGCAACAACAACGCCCACACAATCTGCTTCTGGACAATCTCCCACATCATCACCTCATCCAAAGCGTGCTCGCCCTCCGGCTCTGTCGACCTTACCATCCTAACCAACCACTGCCCTCAGCTAGATGCAATCTGGCACGAAGTACTGCGCCTTTACACCGCTGTATCCCTCATCCGCATCGCCATCCAAAAGACATCTATCAACAGCAAGGCCATCAACAAAGGCGATCAAGTAATGTCTCCCTTCCGCCAATTCCAGCTGAACCGCGAACTCTTTGGCTCGGATGCCACCGAGTTTCACCCCGAGAGGTTTCTCAAGGACAAAAAGCTGGCGAATCAGAAGGGTTATCATCCTCTTGGTGGCGGGAATACGTACCGTCCTGGTCGATTCTTGGCCAAGCAGGAGGTCTATACTCTGGTTGCTTTGATGCTTTACCGTTTTGATATCGATGTTGAGGATGGTAGTTTGCCGACGGTTAATGCAGCGGAGCCGAGTCTGGGGGCTATGCGCCCGATTGGTAATATCAGAGTCAAAGTGAGCGAGAGAAAGCTGTAGATTTCAGGTGGTGCTGGAGGATGGCTGGTATCATCACGATAGCAGTTTATGTTGGTAATTCAACTGACTAGGCGCTTGATGTAATACATCGCAGACATTTGATACTCAGAACACATCTTCACAAACACGAAGAGAAAGAAATTCATGCACGCCGCCGCATCCGACTGGCAATATCCCCCGCCACATGAATCTGCCCATACAAATCCGTCACATCAACAAACAGCCCCAGCACAGTCCTCACCCGCCCTGACCACAGAAACCTCGCATCCATCGGGCTGGGCTGGTGGTTGTTCGACAATGTCCACGTCGACGGGGTATACTCCAGGTACTCATCTTTCGCCATGTCTGTTCATGGAAAGATGTCTAGTCTGCCACGCTTGAGCTGTGGGTAGAAGAGATATCCTTCGATGATGGAGGCGTGCATCAACCAGTCAGGGTCCGAGGAATATAGCGGTAGTTTGGAGAATAATTGCGCAAACTTCGATACTTTGGATGCGGAAATGGAGGCTAGGCTAAGGACTGGGTCTTTCCATGGTCGATCCAGAGAGGTTCTTGCTTCACGAGGAGGTTGTTCATGATTGTCCGGACGGAACCTCCACCTGCTTCGACAGCTACCGAGACGTCGGTTCCTAGTGTCCGGAGCCATGGAAGAGACGATAGCTTTGTCAGGGTCAACACAGCGTACGTTGCGATTCCGGCAGATTCACGGTGGTGTTCTATGCTCTACAGCGTGCGGATAGCGATTTGAGTTAGGATTATCGGTACTCGGTCCCGAATCAGTTCCTCACAGACCCCGTTGAGGCTTCCGTCCTGCCACAGCTCAAGCATCCGCACAAGTGCCTGGGTTAGGAGCATTTTCGAGTATTGGGGCGAGGGATTCTGGGACAGATGTCAGCCGAGTCCGGCAACTAGAATGTGGTTAGTTGGTCTAATAGCATACCCATTTGTCGTTCACTTCTCCTTGGTACCATAATTTGCATAGGAAGTTTGCGGCTTTGTAAATTTGGGCTACGTATTTTCCTGGCTTTGGCGCATAGAGCAGTGCATTCAAGATATTGCAATTGGCACTGAACTTGGGATCTCGCTCCCATGCAAATGTTTTGAAGTGGTGGTCAGCTTCAAAGATAGCTATCATACGATCTGGTGGTGTTGCACGGCCTAGCAGATTGAGTGACAGAGTTGTTTTCGCTGTATCGTCTGCATCTTCCAAGAATCCTGGCGCTACGTATTGTCTGTTAGTCTTTCTATCCATTGTTCACATGAAGTACACTCTTACCGAAACCAACGACTCCGCTCCCAGCCTGCAAATGCCCCTCAAGAAAATTTGCCAGCTGACTGATACTGCTGGCGCCGAGGGAAATGGTCACCGAGGAAGAAGCGTTGAAATTGACGATAGAAGAATCAGAGTCGGTCGCAACAAATACCAGGCTGTATACAGGAGCTCACTCACCCAACAAACCATAAAAATGGTGGTGGGATAAGCACTCGGGAGTCCCCCGAGATCACCAACTCCTCCCAAATTATCACCATTGACAGATGATCCTCCGCAGCGACATCCCAGTTCGAAGCGCGCTTCCGCCATTCCTGCGTCCTCTGTACCCTCTCATCGTGCGTTGTCTACCAACGTGGTATAAACTGCACGAAAACCCGCGCGTTGCGAGAAAGTCGATAGCACCAATACTAACAGAGCATAGTGGAGATAGCCACGATGAAAAGTCAAACGGCAATGATACTGCATCGCCGCTCTTGACATGGACGTACGAGGACGCGTTCAACGACCTCGAGAGAGACCCGGTCAATCTAGCTCATCGAATGATTTTCCTTGGACTTGGATCCATTCACACCACGGGCTCGCAGACAGCCCATGCCATTCATGATCTGGCCGCCCGGCCGGAGCTCGTGAAATCTCTGAGGGAAGAAATAGAGGAAGTGAGAACGGCCGAGAAGGGCTGGGAGAAAGCCGCATTAGTGAAAATGTGGAGACTAGACTCCTTCATGTCCGAGTCCAAACGGATGAACCCACCTGCTTTGAGTAAGATCATTTGTCTCTTTCATCCCAACATACACGATCTCGCACAGCAGCCGTCTTTCACCGCCTAGCAATGGAGCCACTAGTCCTCTTCGACGGCACCCGCATCCCAAAAGGCACTTTCATAGCCATCGCCGCTGCATCGAACCTCCTAAACCCAGACGTTGTCCTAGATCCCTAAAGATTCGACGCTTTTCGCAAGTATCGTAAGCGCCTCGAGGCTGGAGAAAGCGCTCGCAACTAGTACGCTATTGTGGACAAAGAGCACATATATTTTGGAACGGGCGCTATGCTTGTCCAGGACGTGCTCTGGCTGCAAATGAGCTCAGATTGGTCATCGGTGCTTTTCTGATGCATTACGATCTTAATAAGCCGATGGGCAAGGTGAGGCCGGGGAACAAGACGGTGGACGAGATTGTAGTTACTGATCCCGAGGCTACGGTTTTGGTCAGAAGACGGAACTAAAGACGCTAATTAGCATATAGTCCAGTTTTCAGAATACATGATACATAGGGTTTTCCTTAATTGAGAGCGAGGCAGCCTTCTTCTCTCCTCGCACAAAAGATGTCAGGTTTTCTCGAAATAACGTTTCTTAGGTCTGCTTTAACATATCAAGAGCGATCATTAATTGCTATACAAACGGGTCATAGGTCAGCGTCGCCTCCACAGCGCTTTTAGAGTACATTCCGCCGTAAACGCGAAGACCCGATCTTTTTAGCTTCACTCTATAATGTAAGAGAGTGCAGCAATATTTATACATAGAGGGAAACCCAAATCATCAATTCTCAAGGAAACAAAGCTCTTTTTCTACTCACTTGTGCACATATTTGTGGATATTGGCACTTTCTAGCAAAGAACATGGAATAGAAAGACTTGAACGCATGAAAAACAGTACTCTTGCTAGTACAACAACGATTTTTAGGACATGTCCGTGAGAATCGCTATTGGTTTCCGGCAAGGCGCCTGGACTGTAGGACCTCCTTAATTTCATTGAGGATCTTTGCCCTCTATGCATGATTTTTGCTACAATCTTTTACCTATACGTAGAACCTTTGAGTCAGGCTGGTCGTCGTAACTGCGTTAAATTCATAATCAATGTCGCGAATCCAAGTCAGCACGTACTCCAACATCTTGACCAAATACTCTAAGGAAACTCGATCGCTAATCATGACATTTCTTGAGGGGTGGAGATTTTCGGCTCAGCCCATCTGTCAAGTCGCATCCTTTTCCTTACGCTTGGGTTTGGATCAATTAAGTATGTGAAGTCAGTCATGAAGAAGACTGTTGATAGTAAGATTGCAATGTTTGAGTTGAGGAGGAAGGAGAAGTGTTTCCTTGGTTCTCTGGGTCGGAGGAGAAATCTTTTTTGGAGGTCATGGGGAAGAAGGTGTGGAGGCACTGACAGGAGCACATAGATTTTTGCCGGGATCAGATACATGTATGTACTTACTAGTGCGAGATACCAAGGTTCTTAACAAAACCCCAACGGTAAGCCCTAATCGATAACCGGCCGAAGCGGGCCGAAAATGCGGAGATGGCGATTACGCGATCTTCTGCCGTCATCGATCCTTATAAGATATTGATTTCAAAGCAACTCCTCCATCTCCATCACTCATTCATTATACACCACTGAATGTTTAGATCAGTCCAACGAGCTGCTCTACTATCATCTCATCTCAAAGCCAGGACGCCAATTGACAAAGTTAGGAACCTCAATATCCTACCAAAGACGCCCAACATGTCGCACCTCTTCGAAGCCGACACGCCGGATGAGGTGAAGAATGCCAAGGTGAGTGATTCCAGGAATTCAGTTGGGAGCTCTGGCAGTATTGAGAATAGACTGGGCTCATGGTGGGCATATAGGGTCTTCATCTCGTCACCATGAGCACGCCCAATGGACAGAAAGTCCAGATCATGCTCGAGGAGCTGCATGAGGTCTATGGCACTGAATGGACACAAACCATTATGTAAGTTGCTCTCTCAATATCTTCATCCTTCCCGAATGCCCTTCGACAATCCAGTGAAAACGCGATTGACTAAAGTGCGTCCTCGCCAGCAACATCATGACAAATGAGCAAAAAAAAGACTGGTTCCTCCGCCTCGATCCCAATGGCCGCATCCCCATCCTCATCGACCACACCCAATCACCTCCCTTCCCCGTCATGGAGACATCGGCTGAGCTCTTATACCTTCTGAAGTTCGCGGATAAGAATGATGTATTTGGGTTCAAGGATGAACTGGAGAGGAGCCAGGCATTGCAGTGGTTGTTCTTTTGGCATGGGAGTGGGGCGCCGTACCAGGGCCAAGTGAACCATTTTGCCAAGTTTGCTAAGGAGAAGATCCCTTGTGCGTATACCTTGTTTTGCATTCTGCATACCCTACCCCTCCCTCTGCCCATTGAGAAGCATGACATGTTGACGCTACTGTTGAAACACAGACGCCATCGACCGTTTCCGAAACGAAACGCTCCGCGTCTACGGTGTACTCGAAATTCAACTGAGCGGCAAGTACACCGGCGAGCCTCGCGAGTACTTGGCCGGTAACGGCAAAGGCAAATACTCTATCGCTGATATTGGAACCTGGCCTTGGGTTAATGCGTGGGAGTTCAGTGGGTTCAGCAAGGAAGAAATGGAGCCATTCCCACATCTGCTGAAGTGGATTGACCGTATTGCCGAGCGGCCGGCCGTCAAAAAGGGAACGAGCGAGAAGTACAAACAGTAGCGAGGCGTTGAGTGAAAGCTGGGAAGGTGAAGGGTGGTTGCAAACAAATCAGACCATTTGTACTTCAACTGTTCTTGCATTGTCTGATTACGGTGAGGAGCAGATTTACATCAACCGACTCCCCTGTATTCGTCACGAGTTGCACTTTCATGCCTTTTCCTAGCTACTTCCCTTCGCATAAGATTTCTTCTCTACCCGACTTGCCATATCCTACGGACGTTCTCTTCGCTCACGAATGCCTTTGTCTCCGCAAAATGAAATCCCGCCTTCCCCAGAAAACTCTTTCCGCTCAAGGCTCCCATCGACACCGCCACAGAACTAGTTGGCCAGTCATGGACGCCACCCTGTCTCGTTTATTGTACCTTACTAGGCACCTCAAGAACTGGCAAAGATCTGGTGCAATGGTCAGCTAGCGAACGTGGTTTTTCGGACCTCGGACCCTATTCCTTCTTTGGGTGAGCACAGTCTTGCTGGACCAAAGCCTCCACAATTCCAAGGGTGTCGGAAAGCTGTGCTTTTATCATGGAAGTATTATAAGCTTGTGATTCTCCACTGACCATTCACACATCATATTCGCATATCGCGCGTCAACAGACGAAATGGTACGAAAATGGGATTGCCTCGTCTTCTTTCAACGAGTATGACCCCCTACTATATATATTACTATGCCCTTCACATCCTCAATCCAAAATCTGGAACGGAAACATCTCTAAGAACAAAACCACGAACAAAACCCAACAAAGATGAAAGTCTTAGTCAAGAACCGTACATCACCCTGCCACCCAAACCCTTCCTGCCCCCACCCCTCCCCCGATTCACTGACTGAACTCCCTCGAATCCCTAGTCGGCGGTCGCCCGCTCAAACTCGAGCTCGACATCTCGCCCCAGGACACGGTCGCCAGTCTCAAAGCGCAGGTCGAGGCGGCGGACGGCGTCCTCCATTACCAGCAGAAGCTCTGCTGGGGCGGCAAGCAGCTCCAAGACCTCGGCGCGAACCTGGAAAGCTACGGCATGCGCGACGCCGGGGACGGCAAGGTTCACAAGATAGGCCTGCTCCGGACGTACCCGCCTCCGGATTGGATCCCGTTTCAGCTCGGTAGGTTCATCGTTTACTTGGAGTCATCGGGTTCTTTTCTTATATAATGCCTTGAAGTATGCTCGCTTGCTGCACGATGATCATGAACACGTACATCCACCCCTTCTTCTTCCTCTCCTTCTCACTCTCTTCCGAACCTCTCCGCAGAAGTCCGCACCCGCCCCGCCTACTTCATGATCGAAGTCAAGCCCCGCGACACCATGGAGGCCGTCAAGGAGACCATCCAGCGCGCCAAGGGCTGGAAGGCCTCCGAGCTGCTCCTGCTCTTCGACGACGCCACCACCGTCAAGGGCAACCACTTCGACGAGTCCTCCGCCCTGATGCTGTACGCGAAGCCGGGGTCGCAGTGTTACGGGGAGCTCGGCGGCGCCGTCGGGGCGGTGGGGAGCGATGAGGATGAGGATGAGGATGAGGATGAGGATGAGGATGAGGATGAGGATGAGGATGAGGGCAGCAGTGGAGGCAGTGGTGGTGGTGTTGGGGTGGGTGGGGATGGCGGGGAGGAGAGCGATGTTAGCGATGAGGATGAGACGGCAGAGGAGGCGGCGGAGCGGGAGAGACGGAGGGGGAGGTAGAGGCAGGTGTGGGCGGAGAAATGTCTGCTAGTCATGAACATGCTTGGTGATTGATGGGCGTGGATGGAAGAGAGATGGTGTGAGTCGAGAATATCGTCCTCTGTCGACCCTACCCAAGTTCTGAGACTCTTGGTTGAAATTCGAGTTTAAGCCTAGCATGATGGAAGATGATATAGAGATCTTAGGCGTCGCAGTGTGACACCACACTTTCGAGTCGTCTTCCGGTTTCATCTGTGCCCGTGCCCGCGGTTTTACATGAAACCAGGTTCCTGCTTTTCAACGATGGATGTTCGCAAGGTCTAGCGGGGACGACTTGTTCGGAGAGACCTGACAGTAGATTTTACGGATCAGATGTGGGATCGTGGGCAGGCTTGGGCGGAGAGCGTTGACAAATGGGTGGACGGCTCATCAGGCTTGGGGGTTTTGAGGTGGATGGATGGGAAGTAAGGCGTGTTGTCGTGAGGAAAGGGAATGATTGGGAGTTGGCGGGGCAGGTGAATGGGTAAGCTTTGAAGCCTTTCCATTTCCATTCGTCGTCGGTCTTTGGACGATTCGAATTGGAGGTAGAAGGGTTGCGATGGTGCCTCTGGTGTACGCAGCAGCTGACTTGTTGACGAACGCGAGTCCTTTCAACGACCTCTCGATACTAATGCTAGGAGAAAGCGAGGTAGGTACCTAAAAGAACCGTGATTAAGGTAGCTTTGGAGTTGGTGTAACATCAACCAAACTCAAACTTTCGACAGTACCTTAAGCGCTCTGAAACCGACGAGAACATACCAACAACTAATCAGGAGAAGTAGACCACCAGACGGTACAAGACCCATTATGTGCGCGCTCCTTCTTGGTGGCTGGGGTCAGCATTCACTGAAATCGGAAACGATCGCCATAATCATCGGAGGTCTGCACGCAAGACTCCGAAGGGTTGCCCCCGGTTGCCTGCCTGGACGGTACATACTGCTTCCAACAGCGCCTGATCTGAAGCCAATTTGGGGCCCATTGCCCCTGCTAGGACCCAATAGTATTCCCCAAGTTCAATCGATGCGCTCCCCAGAAATGCTCCGACCAAGCGTACTTCTAGGGTCCCATGCTACAGAACCGTCTTCCGAGAGCAGGGCTAGGATTGCTACTGGCGTTCGGCCAAGACTTTGCAAGGCAAGTTGTTTTAATAATGCGTTGAACATCCTTTGTCCGCCCGACTCATTCGTATTCTGGTCGATATGTGCCCACCAAAAGGTGCGCATCTTGGCAGAGTGCCATGGGTTACATACAAAAATCCCTATTCGGAATGAATCACCCCAACCGTCAACCCATACTCGTTCGACCAATACGACCCGCCGAGCAGAGCCCCCGCCGGTGCCGGGGGCGGAACGCACACATTCTGGATATCACAGGCGTAGACGACGACCAGGTTGCACGGTATGCTGCACCCCAGACACGACCTGCCGCAGATGGCGATCGCCGCCGTGCCGCTGTTGACTAGGGTGCTGCAAAAACTGCCGGAGTCGTTGCCTTGTGTGCAATCTCCGTCCGGACCCCAGCCTATGAGCTGCATGATGGCGTCGGAAGAGTTGCTGTAGCTGGGGCTGGCGGCGCTCGTGTCGCAGGTCACACCGTCAGGTGCGGCGGAGACGGCGGATAAGCTGGCTACGAGTGCGGAGAGGATGATTTATTTGAATTGCATCTGGTGGGGTGTGTTAGCCGTCTTGTCTCGAGCGGTATTCACCTTTGATCAACTTACTTTGGTAGCTCGTGCGTTCGTAGGTGAAATTGCTTACTGTAGGAAGGGAAGCTTTGTTTGATAGGGTAGGAAGCTTGACTGGAGACGATGGTTGTGTGATAACAAGGGCTTAGCAGCACGTCTCCCCTCTCGTATTTGTATTCACCTTCCCAGCAGCAAAATAATACTGAAACATTATGATCTGTGCGACGCGTACGAGTAATGAGTATCTCTAACAATCAAGTCCCATGACGTCTCAGAGCAATACGAGGCAGTGTGTAGACTACTCGCGCCGTTCCCTACTTGCATTGTTGGATACACCATACCGCCAATGCAAATTTCCTCCTTTCCTTCCGTCATCGCTGAGGCCCCGAATATTCCAGTGCCATTTACCTCCTCAATGACCCTAGCGCAGCTGCTGCCCTTTCTTTGAGCCCCCCTGTAATCCTAGTCTGGATACCCACTGGCGTCCGCGTACGCGGATCACAACAACCCCCAGAGGCGCAAATCCTTTCTGCCCACTACAAAAGTCGACTCGTATTCGGGAGGCTTGATTAGTGGCTCAGCGTAGACATATAACACTAGTGCAGCTTCGAGTGATGTTTTTATACATCAAATATATAGGATGAGAGCACTATGTCCGCCTTCCATCTATGCTCCAGGCACCGAAATGCCCCTGCCAGTGCAAACTTATCAGAATCGCGCCGTTTCCCATTTCCATTCTCGTGAGCCGCTCGATATACCAGCCTCACAACTCTATAGCAAACCTTTCTCTCACGCCTTCGCCGTAGTAGAAGAACAACAATGGTGCCGGACTCAGCGCTAAGCTCAAGAAGGCAAAGATACTGATCCCCCAGCCATACCCCAAGGACTCGAAGAGCTTAGAGGCTCCAAGCGGCAGTATACCACCCACAATGCTTCTGAATACTGCACCTGCAGCAATAGCAGACGCGGCATACTGTTGAAACGAATCAATGTAGTAGTTCTGGCATGTATTCAAAATGGTAATTTGGCCCAGCCCAAAAAAGACGGTCGAGATGAGGGGGACCACGAAATGCACTTTGTATTGGACCGTCCATGCGAATACGAACAGAGACGTCGGAATGAACACGGCGCCAATGTTCGCCAGCGGCAGTCGATACTCTGGTTTCGCTTCTACGTTGTTTTTGCGGGCCAGGTAGTTGTAGATGGTATCAATCTTCGGGACGATGAACCAGACGGCGGTCAGAAAGCCAAGACCAGGACCCAGGTACATGAGCCCTACGGTAGTTGTGTCGAAGCCATAGAGCTCGCCGTAAATGGCTTGGAAGTTCGTATACAGAGAGTATGTCGTGCCGAAAAGGATAGCCTGATACACTGCCATAGTAAATACAACCGGCTGCATAAACAAGATGCGCAGCGGCCGTGCCATTGAGTTTGCCAGTTTGGACCGGAGGGGTCGGTCGTCTTGGCCGGCCATGCGGTATGACTTGCTTCCACTCTCGGACGAGTCTTCATAGGTCTTTTTGCGAGCTTCCAGAATGACAGGAGCGTAACTTTCCTTAAGGAAAAAGAACCCGACTACGGTGTTGAAGCTGCATACAATAGTCAGGATCCAGAAGATCCAACGCCAGCCGAGGTACTGGACTATGATACCGCCGAAGAGAGGGCCAAGGGTTGGGCCAAGCAGAGGACCGAGTAAGTACCAGCCGAAGACTCCAGCTCTCTGGCTTGGATGGAACATATCGCTGATGGTGCCTCCCCCGTTCGCAATGCCCACGCTCCCAAAGAAACCGCTGATCGTCCTCACCCCAATCAATGCTTCCACATTCGGACTCAACGCAGTCGGGATCTGAAGTAAGGCAAAGATCGAGAAGCAGACCAGGTACAGCTTCCGCCTCCCAAACGTCTCCGAGAGTGGAGCTAGGATGAGAGGGCCAATGCCGAGAAAGACAACAAAGCCGGTGGTAGCTCCCACAACGGTGTCATCACTCGTGTTGAGATCAACCGCGATCTCCGATATCCCTGGTGTGAACATACTGGAGGCTAGAGGTGATAGGACTTGATTTCGTTGATAAGCATGACGCTGCTGGCGATGCTACAGATGACAGCTACTTACTGGCCATGAAAGCTATGATGGCTACGTTGACGAATTTACGCCGACGAGGCCAATTCCTTGGGTTTTCGTCGTCCTCTTTGGAGAAGTCGATGATCTGGGCTTGATTAGATACAGAGTTGTGAGAGATTGTTGCTAGGAGCGTACCTCCGGTTCATTCTGTTGGTCTTCGGCGTGGCCATTTTGAAGCAGCGACGACCGTTCATCTGATCCGTTCGTCATCTCACTTATATAGAAGAGCACTCTGCGTTTTTCAGATGATTTTGTTTAAAGATTGGTGGCACGAAGATCTCTTGATGTTGCCGACCGATAAGCGCCAGGATGATTGGGGTAGGAATTAGCGTGACACTAAAAGTTAGGGTTCACTTATCGAGTTTTGCCACTTGCTTTGACTCATCTCCGTTTTGTGAAGCGCCGCAGACAGAATACCTAGTGTACTTGTATACCTACACCATCATGGGCTATGTGACTTCAAGATAGTATATGGAAGGGACACCATGTGTCAAGCTGAGGATCAACTTACAACCTAGCCACTCACTGGTATTCGATCTATCAGGCACGAATCCTTTCGATCTGTTACTCGAAGTGGACAGGTTTCGAGGGGACGGCGGTGGTTGGCGATCTATAACACTACTGTTGAACGGATCACTGCTGGATGTTCCTCATGCTTTGACCAATGGATTATTGGAATTGATCGACCTGGATGCAGACTGCAAATTTGTCTTCAAATCTAAGGATGAAGGCATTGCTAGGCCTACTCTGTCAACGCAGCCCAGTGATTCTTTCGATATTGTCTACCTAGATGAGGATAGCCTTGTCACCTTAAGGCCCGAAGATGACAATCTTACTACATCCGCGCCGTCAGCGCAGCCAAAGAATCGGGTTTTGACCTTGCTGACCAGGGAATCTGGCGGAAGAAGGAAAGCGCAGAAGATTATTCCACTGCGTATCTCGGAAACCATCAAACACTTGCTCAAGCCAGGCTGCAGGTATCGCCTTCAGACCACCAGCATCGATTTAGGCGTGACATGGTGGCGATATGGCTCTCAGGGAGAGCTGGCTATCAAAGATGTGCCCATGGAACTACTTCCTCCATCGGAGCCAGCAACCATGGTGGCGACTCAAGTCTGCCACCGGGATTTCTCCGTCGTGGAATCACTACCCGTACCGCCATCCGTGTACATCTCCCTTGCCCTCTCTCCTCCTGTCGTCTACAGGTCAGGCGACCCAACACCCACCTTGGAAATCTCAATCACGAACACAGCAGATCAGCCAGTGACAATGATCTCTTTTGGATCCCAACCCCACATATCACCTACTCACACTCAGTCAAACAACCATGCACGTGTCATCAGCACCGGTGCCAAGATCTCGCTTGAGAACTTTTCCATTACTCACATGACCTGTGGAAAGGAGATGGTACAGGAAAGCTATACATGTGTTTTGCAGGTTGGCTGGCAGCGCCGGCAATTTACGACACTGGAGCCAGGTGTCCCGCTAGTGCAAGAGATTGACTTCTTGAAGAATGCGATTGCAATTCGAGCGGGAATGGACGCTGGCGAGTATAAACTAAGGCTACGGGCGAGGGACGTATGGTGGCACTGGGGCACGAAGGAGGAGATCCTTGAAGGCAAGCCAGGAACAAAGAGGTTGCCTGGTGGTCCAAAGCCGCCGTTGATTCTGGCATCCGATGATGAAGTGATTTTTCGGTTAAAGGAGCACACGTGAATTACGGGTATGAATTCAATCACCCGCCAATGCTTTGCTAAATACCCAATTACAATGGTGAACCTACCGTATACAGGGTCGCACCTTCTTCTAAAAGGGTGGATTCTGCGTTTTTGTATGCAATCAATCTCTATCCATGAAAGCTTAATTTGCGACACTCCATCGTCTACTTTCCCTAAGGTTCACTGGTTTCTGGACTTTCAACCAGATTGTGCTACCAGTCTCCGTCAACGAGAGTATGTGGTTTGTATTATTTTTGTGGTCTTTCTCGCAAAATCACATTTCATCATGACATTGTTCCCCATTTTCGACCAGAACATTTGATCAATTGCCATCAATGAAAGTTCAGCGTGCCACTAATTCTTGGTTTCTTCCCCCAAGATAGACTCATTGGCATCAGTCTCTCCAGTCATTTCCCATTCCTTGGCCCCGCAATGGCGGTCCTCTCCCTGCTTATTGGTCTAGAGACTGAGGTCCTACTCTGTGCAATTGACATGCAAGACCAGTGCAAAGGTTCTCTTGAAGAGTTTGCCAAGGGTCTGGTCGGACATTACAACACCAAAGTCAGGGAAAGACCCGGCCAACCCGAGATGCGTATGGCATTTGATACGTGGCATGCGAGCGAAGACCCTACAAACTCCCGATACTGGTCTGTGGCGGAGGAGATTTCTATTGACCCGGATGAAGATCATTGTAAGCGTTTGAGCTGCTCATCTATGCGACCATGTGAGCAGTCATGGCTTCTTCCCCCTGCCGTGCTAATCTATATTGGTCAAGGGGGTCTCGAGTTAGCATCACCTATCATACGCTACGAAGCTGGAAGCTCATGGCGCCAGAAGCTGCATTTGCATTTCCAAATAATCGAGAGCTACGCTGAGATCATGAGTGACGTCACATGCGGTACCCACGTCCACGTATCCCCAGGATACAGCAACTGGACTCTGGAACAAGTCAAGAATGTCTCAAGAAGCATCCTCTATTTCGAAGAAGCGTTCGAAGTCTTGCTGCCTCCAGGACGCCGTGGAAATCGCGAGTGCAGGAGCAATCGGATTGATAATCCAAAGCTCAAGCACCTGCCCGATTTGGAATCTTGTTTTCAAAGGATCCAAGAGTGCACTGCGATCGAGTCTCTGATACATCTGATGAATGCTAAAGAAGAGGACCCCTCCAATGTCTCTGAGGATTCGAATGGGGAGAAAGCCATGACGGAGCGTCGCTACGGGTTCAACTTCGAAAATCTCATGGAGGGCAAGATTGGGACTATTGGTATGCACCCTATTTGCGGGAAAATCCCCACTGAATGTACACAGAGTGCTCACCACCTGAGACAGAGTTCCGACGTCCTCCTTGCGTTACCAACTATCAGGACTGTGTTATGTGGGCAGAATTCGGGGCTTCTTTCATGCAAGCAGCCATGCAGTACGGTACCAGCCCGGATCATTTGCGGACGTATGGGCCAGATGTGGCTGGTCTGGCCGCGTTTATCGGTCAAGCTGCCATACCAGGCATGAATGATCGAGCGATTTTGGAAAAGATGTTTGCCAGAGGGTCCGGTTGCTTGCCAGTTGGGGCGCTGAAATACCATCATTATTATTGAATATGACAGATTAGCGGCCAGATACAAGGGACTGCTACCCTTTCAATGACTACGTCTTAGGTCCGCAGGGTACTGGATGGAGCAAGGATTGGTGGAGTGGAGGCATTTTGGGCATTGAAAAAGCTCGCCAGGGTGACGGGTCTTGTACCTATTCGTCTTGGTCTAGTGGTCCATACAAATAATATGTGCGGACATTCATAAGGCAAATTGGAAATCCACAATATGCCCTTGGTTGATTTCTGGTCACTGCAGTTAGCAAAGATTGGCCGCAGACTCATGTCAAGTAACTATGTGATAGCAGCAGAAGCCCCGTCAAGCCAACGCTGACCTAGCAGACTCTCCCTCATTCTCCCATATCTTCTCATGGATCCAAAGAAAGTCGTTTCAATCACCAGTTGGAGAGAGTTTGACTTTCGAATGCGTCACCCCGATGTTTAATGTTGATCTTGGGGGAAGCCCGATCACCACCCTTCAGTGACAACATTGTTGATGAAGTCGCCAATCTCTGTCAGCCCATGCTTGAAAGCTGGTTGAGCCCAAAGTGTCTCCCACTTGTTGCTACCGTACTCCACAGCTCGGCCTCGGAGCCCGCGGTCGGTTTCCGGGGTGGTGGCATAGATGAAGGGGATAGCAGCGGTGAATTCTTCAATCGGCTGGAGGTGTCCCGAGAGGGGCTGCAGGAATCCTGTGGGAGGCTCATCAAGATGTGCCGTGAACCTTGTCTCCAGCTTCTTGTTTCGACCGGCGAAGGTCGAACTTATCCCCGAGAGCGTACATCTTGACGATGGTGTCAAGCCATTCAAGCCATTGTCCCTCGCTCTTGCCGGAAACATTCAAAACGTGACTATTTCAGGTAAATTTCGAGTATATTATTTAGGCCTTCCTATCCTTTCTATCCTTCTTACTTCTATCACTCGCCGTATACCTCTTATACGCCCGGTCTATACTCTCCTTAACACCTTCTACATCCCTCTATCCTTTCTATCTACCTTCTACACGCCTACATCCTTTTAACACGCCACAATAAGAAAGAGAAAGCCCACCGTCACTCCCATCGTCACTCCCTCTAACAAAAAATTAAAACAATAAATTTCAATGTTCAACCCAAAAACCTCGTAACCCTAAGATCAAATGGTTGTAATAAGATATAGATCTTATTATCAATTGATTCTATGCACGAGACGAGGAGGGTAAGCCATACAACTATGTAATTAAACTTAGGGCTAGGGCTAATAAGCGAATTTCTAAAAATTCCATAGAAATCAGGCCTATGAATTATTCCACAGTAAGAAACCTGAAAATTCCACACTTTGAATATTCCCACGGAGTTACTCTGAAAACCCCTATTGATATTTGATCTATGAGAAGCGGGTCCTCCTCATTGGAATCAATGCGCATGCTTTTTGCTTCCTAAATGACTATCATTTGGTGAATGCTCGGTAGAGGAAAGCACTGAGTACTATGAAATTGCCAATGCCCCGTTTTCAATTTGGTCTTTCCGTAACATAGAATTCTTGTTCTCCTCGACAGATGAAACAGATGTCTTGTGAGTATTCTGCGCCATGCTTGCTGTTTTCGGTGACGTTGTCTTGTTCGGATGGGGAAGGTGAAAAATGTAATCCGAGGGAACAAAGCGGTGTTGAAAGTTGAAGTGATGTTTTTAACAACACTTCATACTCTTAGTAAGGCCGTCCGCATCTCGAAGTAAGCTAACACGACAATGTAACAAGTTCTGTCAGTCTCGCTTTCAACTCTTCACGCATGAAAATGGCGACCACTATCAATGTTGTCAAGCCAGAGCCTACCAATGACGGCCAGGACCCTCCCAAGATCCTCAACTTCGAGACGGTCGCTTCCTACAATTGGCTGGATGAACCAACGCCAACCATCCTTGTGCCAGGTCAGTTGTGGACAATTGTTTGACACAATCATTTATCTAAAGACTGACACTCGTTACGGCAGGCACTCCGCCAATCTGGGTTCCACCTCAGATAAGCCCAGCGCTGAAACCAGACATCGGAGGCCGTTATATTGATCAGAATGCCGACCGCACTCCTGGTACGTACATTTCGGAGCTGATTCTTCCTATTTGGTAATGAAGTTGAGTCGCAAGACATGTTTCGGGAGCAAAAAGAACTTTCTACTCCCCAGACCTATCTTGCAGCTCCATTTTCTACCTCGAATAAACAATGCTGACTCCAAAATCTGCGTAGGATCGCCATTGCAAGCCTTGATCCATGCTGTTCAAACCTGTCAGCCAGACTTTGACTTTACGAACGTCGACATCGTCACCGATAGAAAGCCTGTACGCTGTCTCCTAGGCTTTGTGAATGCCGAGCCTGTCGCGTTCAAGTTTGGTATCACTGTCGTTGGCAACACTGCATTGTTCACCCGCATGGAGGAGAGAACTCGGGACCAACCTTCCAGGCGCTACAATGGATATCGAGACGCTTTCGAACAACAGTATACTAGGATTTCCGCTTCCGCAGCTCGCAGCACCTCCCATCATCGTGTGGTGAAATATGACTTCGCAGACCAGACAATCCTCGTTCGTTATGCGGTTGATGCGTATCTGGGAGATCTCGCAAAAGCGCTCATGCACGCCGATGGCATTGAAAACGCCGATCCGGGGCCTCTGGTTAAACAACGTGAGAACATGAACATCGAGGGAAACCCTCCATCTAAGACCCTATCAAGCAACACACCAGTAACAGTCATTGATGGCGGTCGTCACATTCCTCATGCGGCCACTTTAGAACTTACGACGAGAACAAAGCACAGTCAAGCCCCTGACAGCATCGAGCAGAAGCTGCCAGACTTTTGGATCTCGCAAACTCTGAACTACCATTTGTGCCTCCATCGTGAAACAAAGGAGAAAGCAAGCCACTCGACCATTTTCCATCGCATAAGACTCATCCCCATGGGCGATTTGTTATTAGACTGGGAAAAGACTAATGCAGAGAAGCTGCGCGCTTTGGGGCATGTTTTGAGACAAGTCATAGAGGCAGCTAAAGAGCTCGGAGGATCTTGCATTGTGAGCTCCGATAAAAGCGAAGGGGCATCACTCAAGGTATCCAGAGCTGAAGAGGATGAAGTACCGGCGCTGCCTAAGGATATGCGATCTCTATTTCTACCAATCAAGAATGAGGCAGTGGATGTGCCGATGAAGCAAGAGGAGGTTGCCGGCCAAGATGGGACACGGAAGCGAAAATCTGGTACTGAGCATGCTCCCGAATTGACAGGCTCGCCTCCTGCAAGAAGAACGGCATTGAATTCAATTTCCCGCACTCCTGGAGAAGTCACTGTACCTATTGAAGACGGAGGGGTTACCAAAACAGCAAGCACGAGAGCCTACGATGGAACACGCAAACGAAAGCTCGACGCAGAGGACGCTCCAGAGCTGACAGACTGGCCCCCTGCTAGAAGGAGAGCACTGATATCAGTATTGAGCACTTCAGAAGAGGTCGTTACAACCATCAAAGAAGAGGAGCCGAGTGTGAAGATAAAGAACGAGCCCGTGGACACCGAAATGGCATTGTAGGAGAGGCTGCTTCTAAGCACGCGTATGTCAAGCTAGAGCTGTCCGATAGTGAGGCGTCGTCGAAGAGTCGGAGACTTGTATAGTGTCTTTTCTGTGGAGTTACGGAGATTACTCTTCAAGCAAGACGAACAGGATAGCATGGCCGATAGCACTCAATGAGATCAGACCCAATCTCTCTTATGCAAATATACAACCCACAGACTCCATGAATGCATCCGCTCTTTCATCCTCTTTCCCCTCCCTCACCCACTCAGCCACTCAAAGCAGATCACCTATTCTCCATATAATTCCCTAAATCCCTCTCCCTCCTCTTCCGCTGCCACTCCACCACCCCTTTCGCATTAACAATATCCTTCAGTCTCCCACCCATCTTCACAATTCCGCACCTGACCATCCGCGGATCTACCGACACTGTTTTCTTGACCAGCTCTTGTACGGAAGGCGAGGCGTCAAAGCGTAGTATGAAGTGGTGGCCAGAGTCGTGCCGCGCTTGGTTTTTCCTGATGGGTTTGATGAGGAGGAACGGTCCCCAATTGGTCAGACCGCGGACTACGCCGCCGTGGGCGAGGATGAGAGCACCGGCTGTGCGTGCAATGCTGGAAAAGAAGTAGGGTCAGTGGGAAAGGAGAGGCAGCTGGGTAAAGGGCTGGGTTTGGGGAAGGTACTCTTTGACTTCGTTGGTGGTGTGCGGTCTGCCCACGCGGACCTGATCCGATCAGCATTGCTATCTTGGAAAGTAGAGGGAACACGTACAATGGCTATCATCTCATATAACATGGCGCTGTCTTCTTATCCTCATCGCTCATGAGCTTCAACTGAGCTTGAAGAGGGTCAATTCTTTAAATCTCTCTGAACGCTTTCGCCTCGTAAGGCTGAACTAGCGTCTTCGATCAGCTATTTGCGACTTGCCGCAAAGCTCGTTCCCTCCTCTCAACACTACTATACCGCAATTATGGCAGCGGTCTCGAGGTTTAGAGTACCGTTGGCTTCTTCTCAAAGACTATGCTCCATATCAACATGTCATCGCTCAAGATTGGCTCCTCAATTGCAGGGACGACTTTCTAGAACAGGCCCAGGCCGAAGGGCTTTCACAACGTCCATAGCTTGCAAGTTGAGCCCCTCGAACCCTGATAGAATGATCGCTACTGATCCAGGTATACATAGTACAAGAAAAGAAATACACAGAAGAGCACGAATGGATTGAGCTCAGCGAAGACGGCAAGACAGGTACCCCCACCCTGCCCCTCTCCGATAAGCTGTTCATCCTCTACACATTCAGCCTCTTCTAATACAACCAATGTCTTAGGCACCATCGGCGTCTCAGTCTACGCCGCCAAAAACCTTGGTGATGTTGTCTTTGTGGAACTCCCCGCCCTCGACCTTGAGATCAAAGCCGGCGACTCCATGGGGGCTGTTGAATCGGTCAAGTCGGCATCGGATATCTTGTCGCCTGTGTCGGGAAAGATCATAGAAGCGAACGATGTACTGCAAGAGAAGCCAGGCACTATAAATAAAAGTCCGGAAGGAGAGGGGTGGATTGCGAGGATACAAGTGAAGGATGGAGGGGAGGTGGAGAAGTTGATGAGTATGGATGAGTATGCGAAATTCACTGCGGAGTAGAGGGAAGACAAAAGGTTCATTCAACATGCACGCATTCTATTGTCACTTATTTTATGATTCAAATGACAATGTCAATCCCCATTGAGGTGTCATTTGCCATTTTTTACCCATTGAGGGTCCAACCGCAGCTTCTTATCCATTGAGGTTTTATTCGCGGTTTTTCATTCCAATAAATTCCTTGTCACGAGATAATGCATTATTTTCCGACTTTTTGCACCCTTATATAACCACCCTCAACGAGAGATAAAAGACCATTACTTTTGACCACGACAACAAGCCCGAGAACAGGTCATCGACCAAGACGGAGACAGAATGTCGCACACAGACCGAGAGAACAGTCATAGTTGCGCTGGCAAAGGGACATTCTCTTTTCTCCAATTACCCGCCGAAGTCCGTGACATGATCTACCATCACTGTCTTACCTCTGAAACGATCGTACCCCGATACAGCGCTTGGACCAAAAGATGGACACCGATCGATCTTCTCTACGTCAATCGAACAATCTACAACGAAGCCTTCTTTCATCTCTACACCAAGGGAGAGTTCGTCTTAGTGATCAGACCTGAAAGTCTCTTCGCCCTAGCTTCATGTTGGGCGACGAACGACATCAGTGCGAGCGTCGGTCTTGAACTGTTCTTCAAGAGCGAAAAGATCCTGGATCTCATCAGGCACATCGGTCTGAAAATCCACTGGCCGTCCGTCCAGTATTCTACGCTCATGGACCGCAAACTTAGTAGGCGTGCACCGACAACAGAAAATATGCTCAAACGAACAATACGCACAACGGGAGCCATGCTTTCGGAACTTCCCGCGCTACGTACCATCGACGTATCGTGGTATCACATGACCGTGTGCCCGTGGGAGTTGGCAAAAGTCGCACCCCCGGACTACAAGATTCCGGTTTGGTTGCGGGGACTCAAACAGGTTCGGCGGGAGAATGAGAAGGTGCTCATCAGGATGCCGTCGACGGGTCCGGTATCGACGGAAGAGCTTGCGCAGGGGCAGGGAGATAGGGACGAGTTGGCGAATCTTTTGAAGGAGGTCAGGGAGGATCTTCAGGAGCTGAAGGGGTGTCTGCAGGAACGGCTCCACTGAAGAACGCGCTGTGGTTGACGTAGAGGCGCGGGCTCTCCGTCTACGTGGTTGGTGGAGTTGCTCCTGGGCGGTTTGAGCTTGCAGGCGAGGTCTACGTTGGAGAAAGCGTTTCGAAATCTGTTGGTGAGGCGGAGTCGTGGGCTTGGACGCTCTGTAAGGTGATATTTCCGGTTCCTTACGAAGAGTGCCTCAGGTTTAGAGAGCCTTTTGGCCTTTGAAGCAGCATGAGAATCGGACTCCTTTGCAGCTTTAGACTAGCGTCCAAAAATAATCCATTTTTTACAGCCGTTTGTGATTTTTTCAGAAATAATGGATTATTCACTTTGCCGCTAAATTCATTTCTGTGCCGATTTCACTTTCGCTTTTTTGTCAATTGTCTTCTCTCCTGGTTTCGCTCGTCATCAAGCAGAAGTCTATAGTTGTCTTATCGAAGAGTTCAGGCTGTGAAGAAGTCATGGTCTCCACAGAATCCCACGAGACGCGATCTACCAATTGCGGATTCCTTCATGAGTTGATTTACATCGCGGTCTTGGCTATCGTTGTTTTCGGGTTGTGGAAGGGAGTGCGAGTACCGGCCGCCATCCAAGCGCTCACTCGTCTCCATGTATACATTATGCATCTCCTTGAAAGGCCATCTTTCCGGTTCCTTGACCTCCCACCCGAGATACGCAAACTCGTCTACCATCACCATTTCACTTTGTACCGGACATCGTGGTACCATAGGAAACTCCGAGAGACGCCAATGCTTCCAGATGCCATCCTCAACGTCAACAGGCAGGTCTATGAAGAGGCCTTCCACGCGCTGTACTCCGAAGTCGTTGTTGTCATCAGAACTACCGGTACGGCGAACGTACACGGCGATAGGAGACCTTTTGCTGGTGTCACGCGCGCAACTCCGCACGTCGTCAAACATGTGCCCACCATACACTTGGAGATCCAATGGCCTGCTTCCGGCCGGCATGGCCGGTCGGGAAAAGACGAGGGACGTGGCCGCTCCATCACGGCGCTGAAGACAAATATCAAAACGGTGTGTGCCTCGTTGGCGAAACTGCCGAATTTGCGGACCATTGAGATCACGTTCCTCGCGGAGGATTCATCGGGTTCTTTGAGGCCGCGTGCCCCGGCGAAGTTCCGCATCCCGGTCCTGTTGAGGCCGCTGAAACTGGTGCGGCGTGCGAACCCGGACATTGTGGTACAGATGCCGGATCATTGCCCGATCTCGACCGCGGAGTTGGCGGAGCAGCAGCGGGAGTGTCCTTGGGAGTCTGATTACTGGGCGGAATTGAATGAAGATTGTAAAGAATTTCGGGGAGTGTCGATGGCTGTGGGGGGCGAACTGGGTAGGACGGATGGAGGGTTGGATTGGTGATGCAATGCTCGTGAACATACACTCGGGTACTGACAACAGATGCGAAAGTACTTATTTGGTCATCAAGCCTCAATGAAGGAAGGTTTTTTGTTCAAATCGAGAAAACTTTGTACTATGCATAACGCGATCCCCTGATAATTGGCTTGTATCTTGGCACTTACGCTTCCCAATGTACTTCTCAACCCCACACACACCAGATGGCGGGCTCTTAGACTTTGAAAACTTCCTCTGTACACGTCGCTCAGTGTTGATACTTTTGCTCGTAAAAAAGATCCCCCCCCGACTCGCTTGCCAGGGAGTATAGAATCGGCCAGGACACTCAATTGGCGAAAACCAGGACTTTGATGTTCTGTTGACCCTGAGATCAAGTAGCGAGGACACAGTCCCAAATGCTCAAGATTGTCAGATCTTCGACTTCCATAATCGCTACATTCCTTACATCGTTGGTAAGCATTGTAACTTAATCGCCCATGTCCACAGTATAGTTCGCTGATGAGAATCGACCATATTCCCAGCGGATCAATACGCATTGGTGACTTGTTGATAGCGATAGTTTTTGACCGCAGCCAAGCAAATCTTAGGATAAGTAAGATGGTTATCGTAGGATTCTTCGTAGAACTTGGGCCGAAACATTTTCTTGGTGATGGTTCCTTTTCCTCCTTTTTTCCGGGCCTCTATCAAATGAAGATCCGGATTGTATCTAGGCACCGTTAGCATACTGAGCTGAACAGGTGCAGAGATTTCCTCAGATCATACATTCTTATATGCTCCGCAGAGTTGCAATAGGCGGAAATGCCTAGCTCGTGTGTAGGAATCGAGGAAAGCAAGCTACCATCATGCCTGCATAAGGTACGATTGAAGCGAGGAGCCAGCACCACCAGCACTCGAAACGCTCCCTGCTGGCGTCCTAGCCAGCTAGTGCACGGCTCCCACTTGCCGACAAAACATTATCTATGATGCCATTCATTCCCATAGATTCGTCGATGTCGCATTGGTGTTCGACATAACATAGGTAATTTTTATTACCATGGCAAGGTTCGCGGTCATTGCTCTGGCTTTTCTCGGCATTCCTCGCACCAGCATAAGCTGCTTCTCCTTCTTCGCAGCTCAATTCCGCACCGATATCGGCTGCTTATCCTCGTTCGCAAAGCAACTCTCGTCATGTGTAAAGACAAGCACAATCATGGGCACGTAGAGTAATCATGTCACTAATCCGAACTGTAGTGTTCTCAATTAGAGGTGACATTTCCACACATTATGGATGTCGACAAAGGTTGATGCCATTCTGGATACTTACTACAATCTCCCTGCCGCGCTGTCACCAACTTGCTTCTTTCAACCCACAAACACAATGCAAACATCCCAAATCATCGCTTTCTTTTCCCAAGCACAATGCAAATTTGCGGTCAAAGCCGGCGGACACATGCTTTGCGTCGGGTCGAACGCAATCCACGATGGAGTAACGATAGATCTGTGATAATTGAACCGGACTACACTCAATGTAAAGACCCAGACGGCCTCCGTTGAAGCAGGTGCGAAGTGGGGAGAAGTGTACACGACGCTGGAAGCCCAGGGGTACTTTGTCCCAGGGGCTGAGGCCTCGGATGTGGGTGTCGCAGGTCTAACACTCGGTAGTGGAATTCCCCACTTCGCTGCTCGTTATGGCTTTGTGTGCGACAATGTCAAGAGTTTTGAGATTGTACTCGGCAACGGCACTGTCACCAATGCCAATGCTACACATAGGCCTGATCTGTTCAACGCCCTCAAAGGCGGATCTGGAGATCTCGGCCTCGTCACCTGCTTTGACTTTGTCGCTTTCCCTGGTGGTGATCTGTGGGGTGGCAGGGTAACTTACAACTACGCTGATCTCCAGAAGTCATTCCGGCCAATGGTTGACTGGGTCGATCAAGCCGCCTTCGACCTATATGAATCAGTCATCACATTCTGGGGTCACAACGCAACCAGCAACCAAACGCTAGCCTCCAACCTATATGAGTATACCAGCAACGCAACCGGAAAACGCTACTATGATTCCTTCGATAATACGGCTGAACCGAATGTCTTTTCCGCGCCCTTTGCCAACGTCACCTTTAATAACATCGGTAAAACTCTTCCAGATGGAGCTTCTCTCGGTGTCGCATAGTTATACAATCTCACGAGCCGGCTCAACCTTCCCAGTGGCCTCCGCAACATCTACGCCGGCGTAGTTTTCGAAGCCACGACGCCTGTTTTGACTCACGTCAACGAAGTCATTCGAGACGTTTAGGAACCCATCTATAAGGACCCGCCTTACACTTTCCTGCTGGCGGAATATCAGCCCATCCCCTACATCGCTACCCAACACAGTATCAACAATGGTGGTAACGTTCTCGGTCTCGATAGAGTCAAGGGCAACGTCATCGTCCTCATGCTCGTCGCCCTTGGGAATGACCCTATCCAAGACACGAGGGTGCGTGAGCTGATGGACGCGACTATGGGCAACGTTACCAATTACGCACAGAGCGTTGGGGCGTACAGACCTTGGCAATATGTGAGTTATGCATACGAAGACGAGGATTCGATAGGGAGTTATTGCGATGACAATGTCAAGTCCCTGAAGATTATCAGTCTCAAGTATGATCCCAGACAGACATTCCAGACGCTCGTTCCCAGCGGATGGAAGTTGGGAGATGCGGGGAAGCGAAAGAAACCGTTCAGTTTCGATCAATCCGAAAGGATCAATCCGTCAAGCACTGAGGCTTGAACGCTGCATTGGAGCTGGAACTAACCGGATGTTGATGCAGCGAGGAGACCAGCATGTTCATATCATGACACAAGCCATGTGTAGAGATGACCAGACTATTCATTACCATGGCGCAATACATATATATAATATATGTAGGGTGAGAGACAGAGAGAGAAGCACAATCTATAATTACATAAATCGGCCACCACGCTCCGTCCTCGATGCAACCCTGACCGATATCATACCATCGAAATAAATACACTTTCAATGAACGTTCATAGACGTAGCAGATGCGCTCTGTGGACAAGAGATAGGTACTCTCGCATGGAGTGACATGTTTGAGCACCAGCCGAAGATATTTTTTTGACGGCTAAATAGCTTTTGACATACATGTCTGAGTGTTTGTCATTACCCACAGCACTTCTAAAATGCCACGTAGAGTAGGTTGCCCAATTCTACTAGAACACGCTAGAAGCTTGGCGGCCGTACTCGTACTTCATTCCCCTCCCGCCGCATAAAATTGTGCAGCTGAACTGGCGGATCTACTAGGCCACGCAATTATACAACAATAATCGGCTCACGCCGGCAGTGTTGTCGGGCTATGATCACGAATTCCGCACGCGTATATCATTGATTGATTCCTTCTCTTGTCCGTAAAACCGCAGTACTGCCCTGCTTGTTGTCGGATTGAGGCTCAGATGTGAAAGTGTGCATATTTTCGCGATCCATCGCGAGATAACGACAACAGTCCCGTGGACAAAACAGAATTCCCTCTGAAAGCTCATTAAAGAAGCTCAAACGCCTACATGCAAACATAGGCTCTCGACTATGGCAGAGGCAAGCGATCAGAACGACATGCCTCCCCAGACACAAAGCCGGAATAGCCCCTCAGAGGACAGCACCACTGACATTGACAAGGAAACTCCTGCCAAAAAGCCATCGCTGATCAAGAGAATGTGGGATGGATCTGGTCTCAATCCGGGAATGCTGATGATGATGATCAAAGGTGCCTTACCTCCAACAATTTCACTCGCCGTCTATCAGAGTACGGATTTTGCCCAAGTCTACTCAACCCTTGGCTATCTCGTGGCTATCATGTCTGTCCTCAGCTTCGCCATTTTACCGAGAAGCAAGTACATTCAGACAATGCTGTTCAACATCATTGGTTTATGTATAGGCGCTGCGGTCGCGCTGCTTGAAATTTACTGTAGCGTCCAAGCACGAGCTCACACAAGCCCATCCGTCAAAGCGACTGGCAACGGTCCCAGCCCTGGAACCGCGGTGTCTAACTACAATTCCTCGGCTTCCGCCGTGAGTGCGATTTGGCTGTTCTTCAACATTTACCTCGTCAATACTCTGCGTGCGTCAAGGCCGCAGCTGCAATTTCCTGTCATTATATACTCGATCTTTGCAAACGTAGCGTCCGTCTACGCGCCAACTTTTCCAACCATGGTCGCTGGTATCGCTTTTGCCAAGCGCCTGTTGGAAGCCTTCCTCACTGGGTTTGCTATTGCTACAGGGGTGTCACTGTTTATATTCCCCGTATCGGTACGGATGACATTCTTCAAACAATCGGCTGGGTTCATTGCAGCTGTTCAGGGCACACTGAAAGCTCAGATGTCCTATCTGCAGACCTTGGAGAAGAAGGATATGTTCCGTATCCCTACGGAATCCGACGAGGATGAGAAGTATAAGAAATCGAATAGCCACAAGAAGGGCGATACGGCCAAGCCAAACGGAAGTGCAGAAGCTCAACGATTGAAAGCAACGAACGAGGCTCTTGGGGAGCTCTACGGAAAGATGCATACCGATGTTACTTTTGCAAAGCGAGAGATGGCTTGGGGAAAACTCGATGCTTCTGATATCGACGAGCTGCTAAAGCTCTTCCAAGGAATCATCCTTCCGATGATTGGTATGAGTAGCGCTGCCGATATCTTCCAACGTATTGCGGAAAAAAGTGGCTGGACACAACGAGAGACCGCTTCATCCCCAGAAAATGAAAAACGCAAAAACCAATGGAACGAAATCATGCGGACGCTGCATGATCCATTCCAAACAGTGACAGAGACCATGCATGATGGCCTCCAGCACGCTCTCTATACGCTGGAGCTGGCCAAGCCTCCAAAGAACAAGAATCAGAAAGCCAGCAAGCGAAGCAGTGGTGATGATGCAGCATCGAAGGATGTAGAAGCCGACGCTGGTGTTATGAAGCCTGGAGATCCTGAGTATGCCATCTACCTAGCCAAAAAGATCGATGGGTTCTATGAGCAACGAAAGACGGCGCTCGCAGTTTGGTGCCAGCAGAGAGGGATCCGGATGGATGCCAATCCCTTTGAGAATCCCTCGCAGACGGCTTTAGATATCAGCACTGAGATACCGAGCCGGACAGATGATCCAGGAGAGCATGCGAAGAATCAGCGGCAATTATATCTTGTTTTATATGTAAGTCAGTATCCGTTGGTGCCTCTGCCTGCACTTTTTTCTTTTTGTGTTTTTCACAAATGCGTACCAACATTAACGGTTAGACTGATGAATGTACAGATGGAGTTTTTGCTTTGGTCGACTGGTCGAGCAGTTTTAGCGCTTGTTCAATTCGCTGATAAGAAAGTTGAGGATGGGACCATGAAAAAGAAACGGCTCATCTCTCCAGGCCTGAATCGACTTAAAAAGTGGGTGACAAGTTCGTTGAAAGTCGAGGATGCCGGGATGGAGCACACACCTGACTCTACCGAGGCTGGTGGTGGTAGCATATACACAGGAGACTCCTTCCGGGCTGCCAAAGATCCTGAGCACCTTCCACCTTCGAATGCTTGGCAACGGTCGACCAATGTTTTGAGGCAATTCTCTCGACTCTTGGGTAGTCCAGAGTCGGCTTTTGGATTCCGAGTTGCGTGCGCGACATTAAGTATCGGAATAGTTGCTTACCTTAAGGAAACACAAATGTTCTTCAATGAACAAAGACTTGTCTGGGCGATGATCATGGTGGCAATTGGAATGACCACTACAGCAGGATCCGGCGTCTTCGGTTTTTTCGGCCGCACTGTGGGAACAAGTAAGCTAGCTTCGACATGCTGGTTTGAAGTCAAGCTTACCAGCTATCAGCAATTGCTATGTGTACCAGTCTTGTGATCTGGTATATCGTGGATGGTCATCCTGCTGGAGTGATTGTTTTTGTGTTTGTCTTCGTCTTCTTTGAGTTTTACTTCCTCATGAAATACCCCCGCTTTACGGTCGTGGCTATTATCTCTGTCGTCACGCAAGGTGAGTTCGCCCCACCAAATCCTACTGCACATAGCTCACATTCGCCAAGTCTTGATCGTTGGATACGAATTGGAAGTGAAGAAGCTTGGTAGGAAAGTGAGTGTTTTCCTAGTCCAGACTTGGATGGGTCCTCATAGTTTCAGGCGGCCACAAGCAGTGGACAACCATACTATCCGATCTACCTACTTGCGCCTTACAGACTAGCTTGCGTGGCTGGAGGTATGCTTGTAGCCTTCATTTGGACGTTTTTTCCGTATCCACTCACAGCTCGATCTCAATTGCGGCAAGACCTTGGGGTGTCATTGTATTTGCTCGCGAACTTCTACTCAATTGTGCACACGACTATCGATCTACGTGTCAAGGGAACTGAAGGCGACATGGAGTCAAAAATGAGCCCTGGCCGAAAGCTGCAGAAGGCTCGTGGCAAGGTGTATGTCAAGGAGCTTGCATTACTTGCTGGCCTGCGTCAACATTCAGCGTTCACGGCTTGGGAGCCCACTTTTGGTGGGAAATTTCCGAGACAGCAGTATGATACGATCATTCAAGAAGTGCACAAGTAAGGTTTTGCAGTCCTGATTTATGAGAATACCCAATTAACTGGAACTTACAGCATCCTCAACTACCTAGCACTCATATCTTACTCCTCCCACCACTTCTCTCAAGATCCTGCAGCCTCACCAGACAAAGCATCCTGGCTTCAGGACTTTACCCGTCTCGTTGGGACATTGAATGCTACATCGCAAGACGTCACCTCCCTTCTCGCCCTTCTTTCCTCATCTGTGACCAACGGCAATCCACTTCCACCATACCTCAAGGCTCCACCAACTTACAAGCTGAGTCAAAGACTCGAAGAGTTGGATGCAGATATTCTGAGCATCAGCCATATTGCTGAGCCAGGATACAGTGCGTTTGCGGTGATGCAGATCGCGAGTAGTCTCGTCAGTGATAATTTGGGGAAGCTGATTGAGTAAGTCTGCTTCCTGATGTTGATCGACTGTTGCAGTTGCTGATATGGTGATCATAGCAATGTCAAAGCCTTGGTTGGTGAAGTTGACTTTTCGTTCCATGTCATCTCTACAGCAGACCCTTCTGAGGAAACTCTTTCGGGTAAAGAGGGCGAGAAAGGCAAGAAGGACTGAATGTTGCACTAATAGATGCGGAATTCTGGAAATCAGTCAGTCTTTATCATTCTCGCAATAATGACCTTGCTTGATCCGGATGAGAAGTCATGACTAGTATTCTTTCTCTGCTTGATTGGAGTGGTCCTCATCCCAATCCTTCGCTTACATAACAAGCCTCCGCCTAGCGTGAAGGGTACCTCCTACTTCACCTTCCCTTCTCCATCTTTCGTTTACTTCCATACCAAACCCAATTCGACATCTTCTTCTACCGCGTACATATTTTTTTCAACATGTTCATGCATGAGGCTTCCATTGACTCTCAACATGTAGCACTTGATGTTTTCTCAGTCCGCCATGCTTCCTTCCTTTCATATCCCTCCGTCGAACGACTTCAGAGGCTCCTTTGTGCCGCCGAGGTTAACGAAGGGAAAACGAACGAAGACAAGCTGATGCAGAAACTCTACAACTGGATACAACCGAGCTGCCCGAAGCCCGCGGATACAGAAACCACGGGAAGAAGAGCAAAATGAGGAGGGTGAGTCATTTTCGGGTGATCGCCAAGCGTTGTGGAAACGGGGTCGTTGGTGGCTGGTGGCCGAAACAAGACGATGAGCAGCTAACCATCCCACGGACTGCATCGCACAAGACCTCTCGCAGCTGAAGTCGATACGTCGGCATCGAAACGCACGACGCCCTCGCCTCCTACCACCGACACAGAAAGTCCGGCGCGGAAACCCTGGGCAGAGCACGCGATCACTGAGCCAGATCTTGCAGCTGATCCCGGACCGGTCCAGAAGACTGTCGGGATTCCAAAGCCAAAGCGTGTACGGGTTCTAGATCCGGTCCGGTTTGCACATCATTGCGTGGAGGTGCCCATACCATGCTCTTTCGTGACGGGGCCCGTAGATGGGATCCTGCGATGCCTAAATGTGTCGGGTGGCAACTACGGCGTGATGGTAGAGGGGATCAGAGTCGTGTGTATTGACGAGTGGGACATCTCGAAGATCGCGGAGGCTTTTGGGATGGAATCGAACGGGAGCAATGTCGGCTTACGGTACTGTGCCGGAACTTGCGAAGGGTTGGCTGGTTGAGGCAATGCTACGGTGGGGAGAAGACCCTACCCTTGCTCTTGTCGGCCGGGCCGGAAGTGTGTACGGTATTCTGAGACTATGAAGGGGTTGGTTATGTAAATAGTAACATGAAAATCAAGTCACCGCTTCCCAATTGATTGATTGATCGATTGATTTAATTCACAGGGCACGGAGCCCCCCCCCCAAAAAAAAGTTCGCAGCGGTGTGTTTGTGATCGGCCCTGTCAGTCGATGGCAGGGCCCCCATCGTCGGCGAACCGTGCTCATCTGACCCACCTCCGACCACCCAAAAGCGACCCGGACAGGATCGATCGAAACCAGGCCCCGGAATGGCAACGCACAGGGCCGCTCCTTTGAGATAACGCACGGCGTGGTTGCCTCTGGGGGCGGCGCAGGGGTTTCGTATCGTAGCCGGGGGCTGGTTGTCCATCGGATGAAAATATCCACAATACCATCCATCCATACCACTGGCTCGACTCCTCTCGCGTACCCTTGTAAGCCGCGGTCGGAAGATCGTAGAGCCGCCGGCCTCGTGAGCACGACTTTCCGCTCGTCGCTATCGCTATCGCCCCATCGTATGCCCCGGTCCGTCTGGCGCACAGAGTCTCCGATTGCGGCCCTAGTGTCGTTTTCTTGTCTTGGTCCCCACGTCTTGTCGGGTCGAGATCCGGGCTCGTTTCGCGGGTCGGAGGATGTCCGCTGGAGGGAGTGGGTATCGGTCGTTGACGTTCGGATGGGGGATCGTGTTGGGAGATTTAGGGGGAACGCTAGCTATGGGCTTGTCGGACGTTTGGTTGCGGATTGCCAGGGCAAATACGTACGTCGGCTTAGGTTGATTTTCATGAGTAGGATACTCATCTTTTCGATCTTGAAAAGGGCGTGGGTTAGGCTGAGTTATTCGATGCTTACCTTGTACGATCTTAACACTGTTGTTGTTGGTTAGGACACTGAGGGGTTAGCAGACGTGGACATGTTCTCACTAGGTATTTCTTTGACTATTGCATCGGCAGTCTTGTTTTCGCCGCGTCCAGTCCGTCGATACCGATGACTTTTGCGTAAAAAGGCACAATGGCTTGGAATGGACCAGTCCTGACAATCGTTTAAAAGTAGTGATTGATATTCTGTGAAAATAAGAACACTCATGAACGTAGCAACATCTGGTATTCACTCCAGGGTCCTGGGCTTAGGTTTAGTTAGTGGGAGCACAACCAATTTCTGGCCGGGCTCATGACCCGCTAATCAGAGCATGTTTCTCGTTACAGTATAGTGATTTATTGACGATAATCAAAAGTCGTTGCAAATAAAATTGTAGAGAGAATTAGGCATTACAGATTCCATACCAGAAGGTAATTAGTAGGTCGGGAAGTGTGAAGTCACAAGTTTCGAAGTTTTGATGCTCGGAAAATTATATAGCCCAAATTCGAATGCGCGTTGAAGTTCCGACTACACGCAAAGATGTATGTGAGCTGAAAGCATCAATCGAGTCACAGATTGGTCGATGGATCTCACGGAGCACAGAGTCTAAAAAGAAAGGACAAAAAGAAAAAATAAGATGTAGCAACACCTGGTTTCGATCCAGGGTCCTCTGAACGGAAGTTAGAAATCTGAACGGTCACAGACATTTTTGTGGGATCGAACATACCCGGGTTATGAGCCCGGCGCCTGAAATGAAGTTAGCTTTGTAGACATTTGATAGTCCGGAGTAACATACGCTTCCGCTGCGCCACTATAAATAGTTAGATTACGGTCACGAATTTCTGAAAGGTTTTCACTGACTGTTGCTGAGCTACGACAGCTGTGGATATTAGTTGTCTGCCCAATGTAATATATAATAAATTTTACACTCTTCGGACTTTTTCTAACGCTTGGCTCCTTTGCACTCCACGACTGCGGGCGGAACCAAGAAAGTCCGCACCGACGGAACAAATACTACCACCAAGGAGAATCGCAAAAAAATCTGGAACAGCCAGCCCGTAAGGAAAGCGACAGGAATGAATCCTATTGGTGACACCTCGGATAGAGAAGGAAGAACCTGAGGAGGATTACACATCGTGCGCAGAAATCTAGACAGATATTGACGATCTAAAGATCCAACTCTCTCCCGCCGAAGAAAAGGTGGTTACGCTATTATCTGCGTGGGAAAGAGTACACAACATTCCAACACGAAATATGTTGAACGCCTGTCTGTAGCGGGCGAATCGCCCGACACAGAGTGTATTATAGAGAAACCCAACCCCCCCAGCGTCGCCATACCGAAACGATCTACCTTACGGAAACGTCGCCGGTCGCGACGGTATCCAGACACCATTCGCGATCTAGAGCCGTCCAGAGGCCTTCTTCTTCGTGCTATGCATTCGAGGATGATTCCGCACTCGAACTTTGGCTTCTGATCCATCTCAATCTCTCTCCGTCCCTTCACGGCGCCCGGTCGAGAACTACCGCGGACCGTGCTGTTGGAAGAAGAAGAAGCACGGGTGCGATAGCCAGAGAAGTCAGGATTTGCAGTGACCGCAGTCGAGACGGCGCGCTCCGAGTGCTTGGTCGAGCTTTTCGACGGATCTCATACCTCTGTGACGAAGCACCCCCGGGTTCAAAAGCATCATCCTTCCCCCAACCACAGCAAAATTTAATGTCCTAAACGGCGCTTATCCCATCTCTTCTCGCGCTCCCTTCCCTCCTCAAGGACCGTTTCCACCAGACAGTTCCTTTTTCCGAAAGGCGTTGGGGTCCATAACACTCGGGCTCAGCTTCAGCTTCCCAACCCCTCTTCTTTGACCCGTGTCCAACTCTGAAACCCTTCCCAGCGAGCTAAGCCAACAGGCCATTTCCTCCACTCACTCGCTCCCCCCCCACCATACATGCTCACACCTTTCCCTCCCCATCCACCCCACGCGATGTCGCAAACCCCCCCAGCGGCCGCGAATCCGCCATCGTGACGCAGACGGAAGTACTCCAAATGCTCCCACCCGACCATCCGTCCAGGACGCACGGATCGGGCGATTTTGAACGAGGAAGAGCAGCGTGGGAGGTGCGAGCTTTGTGCGGCTGAGGACGGGGTCGATGGGATGGCGCGGTGGGTGGGTTGGGGGTGAGGATGGGGTTTGAGAGTTTTGAGGGGGCGGGCGGTGAGGTGTTTTGGTCGCGGTGGGGCTTGAGTCGAGTTGTGCGAGGGAGGGGGTGGGGTGGGGTGGAGATGGATGGGTTCTTTTTTCCTTTGGTGGAGATGAGGGGGATGCTGGGGATGGTGGTTTTGTTTCACTTGGTGCGGGTATTGTAGCATTCTGCTGGGAGGGTAGAGGTGGATTAGGTTGGTCAGTGAATCGCCATGGTTTTAGTCGATAGAGTTGGTCGAATGGAGTGGATGGTAGATGAGAATGAAGACTGTCGAGGAGAGTTGAAGACGGGGATGCTTAAACATGGTTGCATCTGCGCGTTTTATCTCGATCGGTGTGAATCCTGCACGAAGCATGTTTGACAGATTTGTACGCTGCCCTACCTACGTGTGCTACGGCTCATGCCGTCGATGATGGGTGATCTACTCCATCACCAACACACACCTAAACCTTGGGTGCCCAGCCATCATATAATCATACGCCTCGTTAGCTTTCGCAAGAGGGAACTTCTCAATCATGCACTTGACGCCATGAAGCTCTGCAAAGTCAATCGCTTCCTCGCAATCGAGGGCCTGGCCGGAAGGCCAGCCATGGACTGAAGCGCCCTTCGCGATCAGGGGCCCGGTGTTGACCGTGATCTCACCAATTGCTATCATGGTCAGTGGACCGCCGGTGTGAAATCTGGGGTGCAACTTACGAGCCAAAAGCACCAACTTCCCTCCCGGCGCCAACCCATTCACCAGGTCGCCCATGATTGCCGGAATGGGCGCCGTGCTAACGATCATCGCCGCACCACCCATCTTCGTCAAGGCCTCGGCATGATTCTCCTTGCTGCCATCCACATATACATGAGCGCCAAGATCCTTCGCAAACTTCTCTTTCGCACCAGTACTGGACAGCGCGATGACTTTGTAGCCCATTTTGTTCGCATACTGCAGGGCCAAATGTCCGAGCCCACCGAGACCTTGGATGGCGACGGTTTCACCGCTCGTAATTTTCATCTGGCGCATTGAGTTGAAAACGGTGACACCGGCGCAGAGGAGAGGAGCATAGCTTGCAGCGTCGACATCTGTGGGGATGTGGACGGCGGCTTCAGAGCGGAGGGTGCAGTATTCGGCGACTGTTGTTCAAATCAGCAATCTGAACGTTCTCGTGATTCCGTGGAACATACATCCACCATCGCGGGTCACGCCGTTGATTTGCTCATTCACGCAACCCTGGTTAAAGCCCCGTTGGCATTGCTTGCAGGTTCCTGTAGTGGATGGTATTAGGCCGATGTTGATGTGGGAGACAGATATGAGCTCCAACCATCATGTCCACCGTGCCAAGCTCCACCAACTCTATCGCCGACCTTCCACTCTTTCTCGTGTGGCCCGACGGCCACGACATGACCAATGATTTCGTGACCCGGGATCCTCGGGCTACCACTCATCAGTACTGCTGCAGAGCATTGCAAAAGTCCATGCGTACAATGGAGTTCCAAACATAGCTTGCTGAACCACAACCTCGGAGTGACAAACACCGCAAGCCTGGACCTTGACAAGAATCTCGCCATCCTGAGGCTGCTTGGTCTCGATCTCCTCAACAATAAGGGGCCCACCCTTTTCCTTGAACATAGCGGCCTTATGGGTATTGGGGATTTGAGGAGCCATCCCGATTGATGTTTTAACTGTCTCGACTGAGGGAAGGCTGTTGCGGAGAGCTTCCAATGACATATAATGTCGCTCTAGTTTCAATGGGTGCTGGCGACGAATTTTATAGCTGGAAAAGGATTTGTAATAGACACCGAGACGTAGAACCGAGCTTTATAATCAAGAGCGCTGATCTGTTGGATATGCTGGTGTTGATTATAGGGCGTGCTTGCCTCGAGTGTTTAGTAAATAATTGATCGGTACTCTACGGGTATACCTTACCTACTTGAATAACGGCAGCCTGAGTGGGGTGGTGGGGGGAACGGCGGACATAAGGTAAGTCCATCGTGCATGACGTTGTCAAGGAGTACTCTAGTTGCTTACCAACCCAGTCATTTGCTGTGGGACAGCAATGATTCTCCCATAGGCTGATTGTTCTCTTATAGTCTTCTTTTCGTTCCTGAACCAAAATCTGACATGCCAGACTCGCCAAAAATTCATCTATGCGGCCGAAAGTCCCGGGCAGCGCTAGTGGAGCCCTAACCCTACTTTCCGAAGGCAGGCTTGTAGCAGGGAACCCTAGAAGTATTACCTACTTGATCTGGGAGCGCATTAATTAAGAGCTTTAGGGACTCCTTGGGCGATCTGGAGGCGGACCCCAAACTGTGCGGACTCCGAAGCGGATCCAAGCGCACTGTCACCCTTCAGGCTGGGCTTTAACCCAGATCTTGGCGCAGGATTGTCACAGATATACGAATACGATCGGCGCAACAGATATTCCGAGTTTCAGGAATCATGGTGACGACATGATGCGGCTTCAGCCAGTGTTTACGAGGCTTCGTGAGTCTTAAAAGGCAAGACCGCGTCCCACTTTCATCACAACTTTATCGCTTCATCACAACTTTATCGCTTCATCAAAAATGAGCATGGGCATCTCGTACTCCACTGCCAAATGGCTGGTAGGTCATCAAGCTATGCCCACTCGCTTGAGCTGTACTGACTTGCTTAAAGGCGCCAACATGTTTCCTCTTCGACTTTGCAGCCCAGCAGTATGGCTTGTTCTCCTCTCCCAACATGCTGGACGTCCATAACGCGAACCTATCTTTCTGGAGCCCCATGCCCCACTTTATTGGTGGCTTCTTCTTCCCCCAGCAGCTGTTCCAGCTCGCGTGGCTCTACCGCTTGTACAAGCTTGACCCCAAGAAGCCAGTCGAACGCAGCGAATTGGATCAGATCGGTAAGATCCCGGTAAGAATCCATTTCAAACCTGGACACGACGCTGACGAAAGTTCGCAGTCGACTTTGTGCCCTATTACTCCCTCGGCAATATCTGCATCGGCAGTACGTTCTTCAATCCTCCCAACTCCTGACCACTGGCTGATATCTCCTTATCTCTTCAGCCTGGATGATATTCTGGAATACGGAGCAGCTTAAAATTTCCAATATCTTCGTCGTCGTCAACAGCCTGACTCAGCTGTACTATGTTTTCGCCAAACTCCCTCCCATGAACACCAAGTCCACGAGCTCGATTCTTACGAATATCGTGTCAAAGACGTTCGCGGGTATCGGGGTGCTTGACCTCCTTCACAACGGCAGCGTTGCTTACTTCAAGGACGCTCCTGCAACCATGACCGTCAAGGTTTTGACTGGGCTTGGATTCGGCATTGCCAGCGCTGCCAGCGATTGGATTTTTGGAGGATGTATGGTATACGATTTAGTGGCGTTGGCCGCTGGTCAAAGCGGAAGCTGGAGGAATTTGCTGGCGTTGTACGCAGTGGGAGCTGCGGGCATCGTTGGGGCGAAGAACATGGCCAGGTAGGTAAGAGACGTGTCTACTGAAACCTGGGCTGGATCAACGCTCACACGATGACGCAGACCACCGTACAATGGGGAGGATTCTGGCTACAAGCAAACAGCAACAGAGGACATTCAGGACCGAGTATGATGAGAATTTAGATTCGTAGCAAAAGCATTTATGGGATAGCCCGCACACATGAAGTTTTTGCAAGGACTGTTAGCACTCTCTCCGCTCACTCTGCTTGATAGCAACCTGAGAGAAGTAAGACCATGCATGACCTGTGAGCTCTAGAATGGAAGAAGAATGTAAATGTGTCGCTATTGAGGTAAAGCCACCGGATCTAGTCGGGATCAGGCAGTTTGGGGATGTGGAAATAGCCTTATCTCGGACTTATTCTTATCAAAGTCTCATAGTGTTCGCCCCCCATCAACTCATGACCACTCAATACTACTGAAGCAGAAGCGGAAGACACGGCGACCATGGCGCAAAAGGTCATGCAGTCAGTTCATAGAGTGCCTATCAGACTCCAGATCGTGCAACCTTACGTTAATCCATCATCCCCTATCAAGACATCTCTACGCAAATCCGGGACACCCTCTTCCCCTGTCCAGGCTTCCCTTTCTCTTCTGAAGGCTGATCATTCAGTATGACCTGAAGCGCTCGTGCCTTCTCTTGCTCTATCTTTCTTCTGTCTTCTGTCTTTTATCTTCATGCATTGACTGACGGCGTTGGGCTCTGATCATCAAAGGCTCGCACTCCTTTCTTTGTCCTGCTTGTTGCAGCATTCGAGTCAGTACAGGGTTCTGGTTGACAGCATTCCTGTCCGTGATCATTTTTCATAGTAGCCTGTTGAGGCGCTACTATTACTTATAAGCTGCGGTATGACTCACCCTGACAGCTTCATCATCCTCTGCAACAACTGTTTTCTCCAAAGGAGTCATAGACTGTGGTCAGCTCAGCCGCAGCTCGTCTGTCAGACCGCATCATCAATTCCGGCAGACATCTCTCGACCGCCTCATACCCTCTGATGCAATAGCAGACACATGGACCGCATTCGTCTGTTGCTCCCGCCCTGAACACACCGAACGCTGCAATGTCTCTGTCATCCCTTCTGGGAACCTGGGCCAACCTACCAGAGCACTGCACGCCTAACAGCCAATACCTCGTCAACTTCTCCTCCGCTTTCCACTCTTGCGTACCCACATCCCCCGCCTTTCTATCCACGGCCCTCGGCATCTTCAGCATCATATCATGGCTCTTCGCCCAGATGCCCCAGATCTACAAGAACTATCAACTACAATCTGCCTCGGGACTGTCTATATATTTTTTGGGTGAATGGCTACTGGGGGACTTGGCGAACTTGCTGGGTGCCATTTTGACAAGGCAAGCCGGTTGGCAGGTGGTTGTGGCAGGCTACTACGTCTTCGTGGATATTGGGCTGGTCTCTCAATACTTTTGGTATACCCATCTGAAGTCGTCGAGGAAAGGGAGACTTTTGGGATATGGTTCGGAGACCCACGGACCGGACGGTGGCTCGGGAGAGGTTCTAGTCGGTGTTTCGCCGTCTGTTGAAAGTTCGACGGAAAGCGCACACACGGAAGACAGAAAACCTGACACAAAAGCCTTAGATACACCCGCTAAGCCCCAAGGTATTCAAGGTCCGCCGCGAGACATCAGCTCTTCTTTCTCCAAAGAAAAGGATACAATGGGCTCTTTCAACCGAACCATCAAGCGTCAGGGCACTCCTTCTTTTGGTCCTTCACCGAGAGCACTGCTACTGATTTCGATGCTCTGCGTCGTTTTGACAAATGCTTCTCCGCTGCATGCACAAATCAAGGACGAATCATCTACAGTTTCCTCGCCAGAATTGGCAGGCCGTATATTCTCATGGTGCTCCACCGTCCTCTACCTCGGCTCCCGCCTTCCCCAAATCTACAAAAACGCACTTCGCCGCTCCACCGCTGGCCTCTCGCCAACCCTGTTCATCGCTGCCTTTTTCGGGAATCTTTTCTACAGCGCCTCTCTGCTCACCAATCCTCTTGCTTGGGAGTCGTATCGGCCATACGGCCTGCACGGCTGGGTCGGTCCGGAAGGTAGTGACAGGGCTACATGGGTAGCTCTGGCTGCACCCTTCTGGCTTGGCGCCGCTGGCGTTTTGGCACTCGATGCGACCATAGGTATACAATTCTTGATATTCGGCGAGGGCGGTCTGGAGAAGTCTGTCCTGACTCAAGACCGCGAAGGCAGAAGTCGATGGCGAAGGGTAAGTGGTTGGATGAGAGGATGGGTGCCTAGTCCAAGTCCTCCTGCTAGCGAAGATGTGGATGAGGGCGAAGGAAGACGGCTGCTTGGCCAAAGGGAGAGTCGCGGTAGTAGCTACGGCGCTGCTTAACCGGAATCTCAGGAGATAGTTGCCTTGCGTCTTCACGTTTTCTTAGGGTCTTCGCATTATTCGTTAATTATTCGTTTTCTTGCAGGCTCGGTGAGCATCGCATGGGCTGGCGTTCGCTGAGTTTGCTAAGGGCCAGATGCATTCGAAGGTACAGGAGTTGGGCTACATAGCATCTTTGACGTTGTATTGTCATACCCAAGTACAGCATCTCACTGTGTTTCAAATTGCATTCTATGGATCATCTATCAATTCGTATCACTTTCTGGCAAATGCAAGAGCCTTTATTCCGTTTCACAGCACTAAGCTAGATTTTCAGTTTTCATGTTGTCCGAGAAGTACTGGTATGGGTCTCCGCTTAGCGCCAGAAACAGCGAAATTGTCCATAGCAGCTCCGCTTCATCGTTCGACTTGATTCGCCAGTCGTCATTCAAAAAACATTGTTTTACTAAGCTCGACGTGATTGGATGTCCTTTTGTGTAGCCGACGAAGGGAGAAATCACCGCTTCTCCTCCTCAAATCTCCCAAAACATCAGCGAAGACTGTGGCGCTCGAGTCTGACGCTAGTAACTTACCAGAAGTAAAGGAGACTAAAGCAGATCTACGTTGATACTCCATCGTCGTTGATCTGCCCAATAACCTGTACAGACAGCCATCATCCGAAGATGTCTTCGCCGGAGACCCCATTCATCGTGGTCATCTGCCATGACTCCTACCGCACCCCTGAACCCTACCAACCCTTCCTCACCGCTCCAAAAGCGCAGAACATCGAACCCTACCGCCCACCGCTGCCCTCGTCCGACTTCCGCAGAATAAATGTCGGCGACGTTACCAACCCGCATTACAACAACGATCCACCATATCCGCAGCCCGCCGACGACGCAGCAGTCCTCAACGAGCTTCTGAGCCAGCTCATCCTCCGATCCGGCAAGCGTGTCCTTCTGGTCGGACATTCCTATCTCCTCCGAGTGCGGGTCCTTGATCCCAATGGCCGAGTCCGTACACAGCTTCTCTGACAGCCCAAAGACGGCAGCGCGCCCGTCATCCCGCCCTAACCGCCGTTTCCACCTTCGTCTCCCTTGTCCCGACGGGGGCCATCTCGGCCCCTGATCCCTCAACCTTGTGTATAGTAAGATAGATCTGGATCGCGTCGCCTTCAAAACCAACGACTAAATGACTCGTCACATAACCAAAATTCCAGAATCACGCCTCGCCTCCACCCAAGACGGTGCTAATTACTGTTGAGATTTGCTGCAGCACCTGTGTTGAAGCTACCCCACATGGTGGCAAATAGGAGGTATAAGTAGCCCACTCAGCACTCTCATAGCTACCTAATCAATCAATCCTTCATACCATTTCCAACAGTTACTTCTCCTCCAGCGACCTCGACGCCGCCACCGCAAACCGCCACGGGGCGACCTCGACGCCATCGCCCGTCCTGACGTCCGTGCTGACCAATGCTTCCGTGCGCCTATCTCGTGACGGAAGACGATAGGGTTTTGGCGCCGGCTTACCGGGATAGGATGCTTGCGGTGCAGAGTCTGGACAGCTGGGGTTAGGGTGACGGTGTTTAGGTGTCCGGCGGGGTATTCGCCGCATCTGACGTGGAGGGAGGGGTTGGTTGGACGGTTGGGGTGGTGCTTGGGGAGGGGGAGGGGGGAGGTTGGCGTTGCGGGTTGGTTCTGGGCAGTTGGGTTGCTCGGCTTGCGAGGGATGGGGAAGGGCGCGTAAGTCGCGCACTGTCACTGATGGCTCCTCGTGATTGAACCATGCGATCATATAGATGGTCAGTAGAACGGTGCAAACCAGGTTTCTGGCTCAGGAGAACGAGTACTAGTACGTGGCATTGCGACTGCGCTATCTGGGTTACGGGCCCGCCCGACCCAGCGTCAAAGTCTCCATCAAAGGGCAAGAACGAAAAGGCAAGCTACATGGGGTTCAACCGAAACGCCAATCAGAGTGCGACACATCCTTGAGCCGTTGGCATCCAGTGCGAGTCTACCCATCTGAGCTCTCTGGCTTCAGGCGCCGAGTTCCTTTATCCTAGCATCAAAGACTTGTCTCATCTTGATGTCCTTGTCCAGACCCTTCCCCTCCGCTCTGGATTCCGGAAGGCCATAGAACAGGGTGTCCAAGCGGTCGGTCTCCTTCCCCTCTTCTTCTTCTCTTGCCTTGAGTATGAATTTCTTCAAACTTTCGGCGGTGGGAACGTATTCCTTCTCGAGCCTGTCTTGCGTACCGTACTGCGCTGCCGCTTGCACAAAAGAGGCTCCGAATTCCACCCAGATGAGACAATGTTCAGGCGTCAGAGTACCAGGGGCGCAGCGGAACTCTGGAAAGTGTTAGCATCGCATTCGTTTTGGCTACGAGCCACGTGACGCACCTATGGTTCCGATTTTCTGTTGCTCCTCTTTTGTGGCTTTCATTGTGTTCATGAAGTTCCACGCATAACTCCGAAGCGGAGTGTTGCCCGAACCGGGCCTCTCGAGCGGTTGCATCAAAGAAACGAGATGATCGGTGTCGACACATTCTTGAATGAGCTTGCAGCACTCTGCAAATCCAAGGTCCTTGAGCTTATAGTTGTTGGCTTTGTTGCTACTTGTGAGGTCATGCTCGCGACGGCTGGGCGCCCAGATGGCCTTGAAAGCCTTGTCGAAATAAATCACTGCCTGAGCGACTCTCTTAAGTTGCTCGGAGCTCCAGACCTTGCCTGCTTCGGGGGAAACGTGAACGTGTGTGGCGCAATCTTCGTCAATATGGAATTCTCCGTACAGCAGTATCGTGTTCCAGTGATCCTCCACACCTTCTCTCCATGCGCTGTCAGGGTAAAATTTGAATATCGGAGAGACAAATTCAAGAGGATCTGTACAGTTGTTAGGGTCATAATAGCGGAAAAGCCACGAAGAGGTGATGATTACGTACATCCCCAAACCGAATCATCGTCAGCTAATAGATCAGGGGAACCGATGGCGTCGTCCGTGGTAACGGTCCAGTGGCCGCTGCTGGTATGGCTGTCGTGGTGTCCAGGGTGGGATTCATGCTCGAAGTCCGCGCGTAGCAGAGCCTTACCACTCTTTTCATTGTAGAACCGAACAAGATTATCGGCAAAGGCTTTGATTCGCTCTGGCCCTAGAGGTTGAGGCTCAGGACGACCAGACTCTTTCTCCCTCGCGTACACCTCGATCTCGACACCGATCCGGCAAGAGATGCCTGGCATGGCGATGTTGGAAGATCAAGGCGTGACGAGCTTAAGGATAATTGCAATCAGGTGGGGCTGGGAGAATGGGATCCACAAGTGGAAGAAACTAAAGATGTATGCGTGAAGTGGTTGAACGAGATTCTGCTCTGGTAGTTATGAGAGGAAGGCTTCAACTCTTTACATGAGAAAAGAGTCAGGCAGTAGGAGCATCAGACAATCCCCTGCTTGAACAAGAGAAAAGATCATTGGTGTCAGCTACTCACTCCATGTTGTACAGCACAACAGCCGCCATGTCAAATTGGCGTAGCCTCCCTGAAGGTGTCTCAGATCCGTCCTTTTCACTTCATTGCTCAAGGCGGCGGCAAAAGCGGTGCATTCATTTGTCAATTCTTTGTCGGACGGGCGAGTATCGGTGGATGAAACCAAAGAAAAGGTAGCACGTAGGTCAAAGCAGTGGAAAGAATTCATGTTTGAGATGTAGAGGTAGCGAGGCTGAGCCTTACAAGCAAGCCTGTCTGCCCTGGACCATACTCAAGGAAGCGGCAGCTATGCATTCATCCGTCACTTCTTTGTGTGACGGAAGAGTATTGGTGGATACAAATGAAGAGGTGACGGTACATGCGTGAAACGAAACGATTTTGAAATGTAGAGGTCAAGAGGCTGAGCCTCACATGCAATCCTGCCTCGCGGGGTGCACGTTTAACCCAAAAACCTTACTGTAATTGCATTGACTATCATGTCGTGCTGTCTGCTGGGCAGACATCATTTGCGTGCGCATGCTACTGCCTTTCTATCACGCCGATCCTACCGGTCCTCCGATCTCGAAAGCAGAGACCCTTGGTGTGTCGAGGTCTCAAGGAGTAATTGCGTTTGATCTACATCCTGAGTATTCGGTCAAAGGCATGCGTACCGTAAGCATCTATTCAGCGTAGGGCGACTCGACCCAAGGCGTTGGCCAGCACCCTGAGTGGTCGTGTGTGTGGTCCACATGACGACTATTCTGGCCCTCCCGCCTCTTTACAGGAGCAATGCTAGATCGCAGCGGCGAGACTCCGTCAATTTCAAGGGTGGAAAGGGTGTGAGGCACTTTGAAACGCGTTGTTTCAAAACAGGTCACTGCTCAACGGAGCCGTTGGGATGCCTTACGGTGCTGATCTTGGCGCAAAACGTGTGAAATCTTCCATTACTCTAATTGAGCCGCAGGCAGCGAGAGTGAAGAGATAGTGAAGATGTGGAAAGTGTGACTAGTGTAGCCCGTGCAGGGGACAAAGAGTGAGACAGTGAAGGGGCAAAAACGGTTATGAAGTATGGAATGGCGTGCTATGAAATTCAACTGCATCACACGACGACCTTAACAAGTTGACAAGAAGATGGCGAAGGAGCGGTAGCCTGGACCCAGAAGGAGAATTAGCTGCAAGAGAAGGGGAACCCCCTGTATGTATATAGATACCTACTACGTTGACAGGATAGCGTGCCGAGCATCAAAGCTCGATCAGCACTATCTCTGTCCTTGCACTCCGGGGAGACTTGTCCATCGATGCGACAAAGCCATTGGTAAGATGCAAGGTCAAATGCGGTTGGATAAATTGACCAACCACAAAAGGCGAAACTGTTGGTATGGCAAGCGCTACCTATGCAGTCCAAATACCCATACTTCCCAATGCGGATGTTTTCCAGAAGGAAGTGAGAGGATCTTGCTGGTTTCAAGTTTGTCGGATTCTGTGCAAAAGCGAAATCCCGGGTGTGGAAGCCAAATAGAAACTAGCGTCAACTCGTGTGTTAAAATACTCACTGTCAACACCCGCACTCAGCAACCCTTCAATTATCAACACCCTGACAGCGTCATAGCTACGCCCTTTTTCTGAAGGTAATCTTCAAGTCCCACGTGGCGAATGGCAAATTTGCCTCAGTACTATACTTGGAGATTTCGGGCTTCGCTCTATGCATGACTCATCACCTATGCTTTCTTCTCATACGAAGTTTATTGTCTCCACACTAACAGTTTGTTTGTTATGTTGTGTGGTCAACTGCACGAGGAGGCGATGACATAAAATGGGAAGCTAGATGGGATGGGCGCTTAGCAACGAGACGCTGCCGCGGGTATGGCACTAGCAATGGTGGGCGGAGTTACCAAGGCCTTTGCATATCTGCCATAAATTGTAAATTTCTTATCCTATAGGGCAGGCTTGTGTTGCGCAGCCTGCTGCTCTTAGGTAAAACACAATTAATTGTGTGCATTCAAATTGATCTACAGAGTTTTCTGGGACCAAGTGCACAGTGCTACTCATGCAAAAGAACTCTGAGAGGCAGAATGAAGTCGTGAAAGAGGGGTAGTGGAAGCTGCAGCCTACCCAGTATACACATGAAATCAATCAAGTCCCCTCTCATGTGCTATATCCGAGAACTACCACAAGTTTCGACCAGAGGTCTGTGGCTTGATCCGCGGCTGCATTCTCCCACACGAGAATCTTTGCAAAACGCACCGTTTTAGTCCTCCATTGTGTTCAATCTTTCAAGGTCATTCCTACCTCAAAAGTGCTCATAGCTTAAATCGAAACTCAGGGATATTTCATCGGCGCTTGTCCCACCCAAGACGTCAACGACTCAACACAGTTCCCCACCCCACCACCAAGGATCAAAGACTCGATACAACACACCCCAAAACCTCCACTCATGGCCCCGAATCTTCTCTCCGGCGAAGAAGTCTACGGGCAACCAATCCACCGCCAGTACTCCACGGACACATTCCCACGCCCATACTTTTTCTACGGCAGCCTGATGGACCCACAACGACTTTCCGAGATTCTACGATCGGACATCAAACATCTCCCAAGCTTGCGATCGGCGCATACCATAGGCTACCGCTGTAAGCTGTGGGGGCCATATCCTGCGCTGGTGTATGCGCCGGATGCGGTCACGCACGGCATGGTCTTGGAAATGCAGGACGAGAAGCAGGTGGAGCGGTTGCAACATTATGAGACGAGCAATTACCGGGTGCAGGCATGTACGCTACGTTTTGAAGATGGGAGTGAGGCGAGGGGGGAGACGTTTATGTGGGACGGTGAGGAGGGAGAGCTGAGGGAGGGGTCATTCGATTTGAAAGCTTGGCAGAGTTTGGAATATGGAGGACACGCGGTCCACGGAGACATTACTGGAGCATGGCAAGCGGAAGTCCCTACCTGAACGGACGTGCTGATAGATAATACGCCGGGAGGGCTTGATAGAGCAAGGGTTGGAGTGATGGGGACACGGAAAGCTAGTTAGCTCTAAAGTTGAAAGGAGATGAGTGCGTGGATGACAACTCGAGGGGTGTCAATTACCGATTTCCTTCATCCCATCGGTGAGGACATTGCGTGTCATGTCGCCCCGTGGGGCTCCGGCTCACCCTCACGCCTACCTCCAGACCTAGGAGGTATCGGTATCGGTATCGGTATCGGTATCGGCGGCCCACTTCCAGGTCCAGAATAGGCTGGGAACGTTGTTCCAAAAATGTCGCGATGATCCATACCTTTCTCTGTTGCTGCTTGAAGTATGAATCACTTCAGACCTTCGGGCATTGGACAGTTGTCCGGTGAGCATTGCTGCTTGCGCGAAAAAGACTGCGATTTTCACCCAGATGATACAATGCTCAGCCGTCAGAACACCAAAGGCGCGCTAGTACTGACTGAGCTTGCTGTTAGTCCCAAACTTGTCAGGCTCCAAAGTTTCAAAGTTCCGGCCAGAGGTCACTCGGCGCTTCCGGCGGCAGTTAGAAGATGAATGTTCAATGAATATTTGGAAAGTGGAGGTCTCAAGGCTGAGTCTTAGAAATGAACCTGCTTCGCGTGGGGTCTGTCCAGCTGTCAAGTGTTCCTTATCACTTGCTTGATGTCAATCCACTGATATGACATGAGTTGTAATTTTGGAGAAGGTGCCTCCTGGAAGTTATACGAAATTTATGCGCCTCGGCCACCAAGTGTGACGCAGAGTTCGGTATCCTCTGTCTCGGGATCTTGTCTCCCCAGCCAGTACCCTCATCTTTGAGTTGTCCCATCATGTAATTCTGGCAGTATTCCTTTTTTTCTTATTTCCCGCCCGAAAGCTTCTGCTGCAGAAAGCCAAACTAAATTGCGCGGTAGCGAAAAGGTTACAACTAGACAGGCTCCTGATGTGGATTCAACAATATCAAGGACACAATCCATCTGTGCGTCCGCCACTATTCACGCTCAGTCTAGTCCACGTCAAGCGCAAATCCTCTCGAACATCGCCCTAGCCCTCTTTCCCCAATTTTGGGGAATTGGCTGCTCTTCAGGTCCAACCTCGTAAAGCTTGAGCTGTGACTGGGTCTTGTTCATTGAGTTCCTTCTTTCAAGTTTGAGTAATTACACGAGTCTAACTATTCACCGACTACCATTCACCAGTCTCGCTTTTCAAGTCTCATCACCCACTAGCGCTCATTCCCTCCAGTCTGAGAAGTTGCCGATCCCATTGCCACGAGACTGGGTAGTCACTGCTCTGAGTCTCTCACAAATTTCGTATTCATTGTCTGGAAAGAGCTTCGTCTGCGGCATTCTCAAGTATTTAAGCGGTCAAACCTTTCGCTTACTTCTGCGTCGCTTTCCTTGGGTCAACAGTGCTATCCTTTATCTACATAATATCCCATCGAACGTAGTTGGGCTTGAGAATCTCTTCCTAGCCTCCGCGATGCTCGGGGAAGTATATTATGGAGACTGCGCCCGTACAGGCTACTCTCGTCGCTCTTCGGAGCAGTCTTAGATTGATCATCGTCTAAGTTGTTAAAACAAGCCGCTCATTCCGAAAGCAGATCCATTTAACCATGCTTCATCCGCAAATCTCGAGACTTCATCTGTTGCATTCAGTTTCAGGACGGGGGATCCACGACCTGATAGAATTCACCTTCGGCATTCTGGGGTTATTTCATCCCCGGTTCTTTCCGTCCTTGCTTCTACAACTATCTCTCCTGAATCAAAATATTGAGCTACTTGTTCAATCTAGCTTATACATTCACACATTCTTTATCCGTAAGACTGCTTCTTCATCTTTTGCCTTCATCCTTAAGATGAAGGGACTCATACCCAAGCGAATTTAACTTTAGCCCTTTGAGGCATTTCGACACCCACGCTTCCTGTCCTTCTCTCTGCGATTACATCTTCTATATCTACATCTCATGCAGGGTTCATCTTGTCTCTACCGCCGGTATGGCTTGTAAACGAGGTGCTCAATGTTGTCCGTAAAAATTGTTTTTATACATCGATAATGATGTTCTCGTCACCTCATCTCTGATATGGTTCACATACTTTCCGGGAATCCAAAACCGGTTCGATCTAAAACTTTCACTCTACGAGGGTGAGGGTCTCAAACTGTCGCCTCCCTTCTCAGTGTAATGCATACATATATAAGAGCCTAATAATTTCCTCCTTGCTTCCAAGGCTTTCCCCCTTTCCATCACTAGCAAAGTTCCCAGTTCGGACACCATCAGTCATGATAGCTGCACCAATCGGTCGCACTTGCAGAAGCTATCTCTCATGACCTACTCCATGTCTAATGGAAGCATGATCTTAGGCGGCAGAAGTGTTCTTGACGAGACCTTTGGTACCCAACGTGATCCTCGGATTCGCCTTGACAGCGATGGCAACTACTTCTTAAATCAAAACTGTACATTCAGCTTTTGTCCTCCTTTAAATATGGGTTCCATTGTTCGAGAACAAGGTGCTCGTTTCTCCGGTATTCCAGGTACTTCCCCAATCAGTCAGGACTTGCAAACGTAGCCTACTGACCACTGTCTCATAGCTAGGCAGCATCACCGAATCAGATCAGTGCCGAGGGCACAGTAACCGCGGTATGTCACACTGGCAGACCTTGTGATCGACTGGTCCGCTGAGAATGAGTCTGAAATATCAACTCACTTACCTCATCAGTGGTGACGCTGCGACCAGAAAGCTCCACAGTGCTTCTCAAATCATCATCCAGCTACTTGGGTATCTGAAACTTTGCTGGAATTCTCTTTGGGACCTCGCCGACTGCTTTTCTACACGTTAAGCAGAGAAGCTGCGGTATTATCGCAATCCTCTCTTTTTTGTTCGTTTTTTCTGAATGATTTTCAGTGCCAAGTTTTTTCGCAAGGCCGGACATGCGCCAAAATGTCATTCATGTAGCAAAGGGCACGAGGTATGTTTCTTCAGAAATTCCGAATGATTGTTGATGCTTTTCAGAATTAACGCATAATAGTCGACTTTGAAGCCATTCATCCTGCCAGAAAGCAAGACAACCAGTACAGCGAGTGCTGACTCGCTGCTCCTGCCTCAGCTTCAAATCAGAACAGAGCAAGAAGCATCTCGTCAATCACATAGCTTCCCCACTCACAACCATCAACAGGTTTTGACTCGCAATCATTGACATCGGAATAGCGGCGATCCAGCTTCGCCGCACGCTCCACAGCTTCTGGCAAGCAATCACTGGCCTTCCAAACGCAGCAACCCAGCTTCCTCGGAGGATACACAGATTTTGGCATGCGACAGAACGCATTCCAGCCGTCGCAAGACGCCCACCTGCCATAACCCTCTCAGATTCGATCTTACTACCTTCGCTATACTTGATTTTGAAGACAAGAACGAAAGTGATCGTCTCCATCTCAAGTTTTCAACTGTATCGGCGTTGAAGCTCGCGAAGAAGATGGGGATCATGCGGGCAAGATCGTGTCCCACTTCTGGCCATAAGTTATCACGCGCTGCTGCTTCTAGCGTTGAACACAAGCTGCGAAGAGATTTGACGACACAAATGGTGTGTCAAATCAATCTCCTGGAATTTCACAATTCCCCACTCAAGAGAACACAACCCTATCTACAACTTCAAAACGTTGAAGCTCTTTATCATGGGTTGTCCTATAAGTCTCGAGAACTTTTGCTCATTCTACTTCGTGAACTCCACACTGCAGACGATGTTCAACAAACCCTCCATCAAAGCTGCTCTTAATTCCAACACTGAGTTTTGTCTAATGTGAGTCTTTCGTCTCGGCTCCTGAGACTAATTTTCTTTCTGAATGGGTCATCAATGATATATTACATTCTCCTTTCAAACTCCATTTACTACTAAAGCAAACCATCAAATGGATCCCTGCCTACGAAGAGGTAGGGGGGAAAAAGTGGAGGGAGTAATCAGAACACCGCCGGGGAAAGAAACAGCAACCAGCACCCAGGGGGAAAAAATTAAATAGTCCAGCACGTAGCCAGCGGAACACCCACAAATTTATCTATCGCAAATTTTCCGCGCATTCCAGCCACCATGTTTCCAGCCACCTGATTACCGTATTCAGACCTGCCCGAGAGGTTTGAACAACCGTCCGTAAAGATACGGAGATGAGGCATATGCTAGAAGCCGATCCCCCAAAGTGCCGAATTATTTGACCCGGCCCGAGTATCCGGGGGAAAGGATGCAGCAATGCTATGGGTCATCTGGGGGAAGGACAAACACCCGCCAACTTTTTCCCCTGCCGAGCGAACCCGCCACGAAGAAGGTCAAGCCACCTACCAAAGCACCCTGACCCTAACCCTAACCCTCAATATCCTTCTTTTTTACATCTTTCTTTCACTATGCTTCGTATAAGACGATTCTCAGAAAGTCTCGAAGTTCCCAACCTCTCCCAGACTTGCTGATGCCCCGCCTCAACCCAAACCTGCTGAAACTCCGCTTTCTCCCCATTCTGCTATCGCTCCGCCTCCGATCTCACCACCCAACCCACTTAATACCCACGAAGGGAATGAGACAGATTCCCGACTCATCAGCATCAGCTCGGACGAGGGTGACCCTCGGCCACAAGTCCGTCGCCGTTCCCCACAAAAGAAGTCCGTCAATGATCCAACAGGCAACGCCGCCGTGCTTGAAACTTACAAGAGCAATGACGCGCTCCCGCCATGGGAGGGGAGGCGTCTGACAGTAGGAGATACTATACCAGTGGAGCTCTCAATCAAGCAAGATCACGCCCTTCGATCAGCTGACTCTTACGACATTGAGATCGGTGAGATTATGAGTCAAAGAAAGGTGCAGGATGATATGGAGGCCGGCGATGGAGACCTGGCATTAGAGTATGTATTCGAGTACTATCAGTCATCTGTTCTTCATGCTAATTGATGTGATAGAAAGGCAAAGCTCGGTGAGGAAGGGAGGTCTCAGTGGTCCGAGATGACTTGGCAAATCATGGAGCAAGTCTTGCAGCTCAACCGTGATGACACAAGCACCGACAATACCCGAACATTCAGAGGCTTAGGCCACGTCTTAGGTCCGCAAGGGACGCCGATCCCTATCATTCCAAAGGCCCATCAACTCTACGATTTAATGTGGCGACGCCTTCAAGTGGATACCTACGGAGGAGCTATCAATGCGGATGAGCCCGGCTTTGGCAAGGTAAATACACCCAATCCTTTTATCCGACTCGCTAACATGAATAACGCAGGAGGGTGAAACCCAAGTTGACCAGCTGCCTGAATGCTCGATAACATTGAAATGGCTTAACGGAGTCGGATGGATTAGTAACTTGACAGATCCGATTTTCACCGATATAGTTGACTGATGACAAATAGAGCAAGCTGTTATTCCGATCGCTCGCCCGAATGTACAAGTTATCGGTAAGATATCAGATCTACTAGCGGCTATTCAGTGACGCAAGGCCAACAGCAGATAGTGACCATATGAATCAGGTCATATGTGACGAGGAGATTTATTCAAGCGCACAGCTTGATGAGAATGGCTCACGAACTGTTGCCCTTTCTCGACAAGGAGGAACAAACGGCCGAGGCAAAGAGTAAAGAGCCGAAAGACTTCGAGGCTTTCATGAACGAGGAACGCATTGCGATCGCCAACAATGTCGCGCCTGCGGACGAGGCTTACTCCCAACTTCATCAGAAATCTCCACCGCTTACAACCCTCCGTCCTACGCACATCAAAACTTCAAGATGCGGTTTCTCCGCTCCGGGTTGACGGTCAGCTTGTGAAACGACGAAATAGAGTACCCGCCGACATGGCTTTCGCTGAAGATGACTACTTTTCACTATCATAACATCAGGTGGGTGGTCGTTATTGTTATGTTGTTCTATCTACTGAAGGAAAGTGCTAAAGGGTTGATTCGCTAAGCAAAATGATGGTGTCATCATTTAGCCTGACAGCTCGCGCACCAACCGACCCGAACCCCCAGCAGACGACAAGAGCCGTATGATACATGAGGCGAAAGGTCAACAGCACCGATGGACAGTCGAGAAAGAACTGCAAAGCAGTATGGATATGAAAAGTATCGAAAGGGTCACCTGAATTTATGTTATGCAGCAAGGGATAGTAGATCAGGAACTACTCCGATACAAGACATACATAGTTACAGATCTTCATGCCCGGAGCCTCTACGATTTTTCCAAGAACAACGAGTCTTTGCCTTTCCCAGGAAGTCAGCTTCAGAGATTTGCTAAGCATCTCTTCACCAGCGTTGCTTGTATGTTATCGATCCTACTTTGGTTAGATTTTGACTAACGTTTTACTCCTGTCTTGCATAATCTTGGGATCATACACACGGATATAAAGCCGGCAAATATCGTCCTCGTCGACAACTTATATACAATAATGCTTGTTTTTCCGTCTTCATCTACTACGGTGCAGCGCTTTAACACGGCGTTGTATACGCTATGGATTATTCTCGTGGTTGTACTGCTGGTCGCAAAGCTGACGAAATGGATACGAAGAAAGCTGTTAACAAATCGTCTGGTAAATAGTCTTCCTTAGTGACAGAACAGATGGTTTTTCCTGGTACGGAATTCAATGTCGTACAAGAGAAGTGTGCTCACCTACCCGTTGTCGTTCCACGATCGCTACAAGCCATTGGTTATTCGTTGTTCCACAAGTATAAAATCATTGGTTTCTTGGTTCGACTTCTCGATCTTTCATGGTGAATCCAGGTGTTCCTGTAGAGCATGGATCCGAAACTTTCTAAAGAGGAAAGGGTATCAGTAAAAATGGCTCCGAAAGTACTTCAAGAGAAGAAGGTATTCGCAAGCGGGTTTGAGTGGAGAACAATCGGTAGGAAATGGTGTGCTTGGGTGCTATCAAAGACTTGGGCTCTCAAGAGGAAGTAAATCCGGCATCCGGTTTCGAATTCAAACGTGATCTTGGTTTACGAGTCATCCACGAAGAACAGAAAGTCACGTCAACCCTGCCTGTCGATATCATGCCTTCGAGGCATTGATCACTGATGAGAAGTGGTGCTGCGAAGTCATGGACGCCATATATCCTTTACGCTTCCACTGAATTGTGGAAGCTGAGTGGGTTAGCGGGAGTGAATGTTCAATGGTCTGGTCACTGTGACGGGTTTGCACAGGGAAGCGATGCAGCTAGTGAGCTTCCACGATGCGGATGTCAATCTCTGGATGCATCGGCGCGTCTGCAGGAGGATCATGTAGAGGGAGGACCTTGTGCATTAGAGAGGACAGGCGATCCGAAACTGGCTTGATCGAATGCAAATGGAATACTGTTGAAATTGATGAGAGGTTGAAGGATCGATTGTCTATGGAGTGGTATGTAGGTTACTCATATACCATGTGAAGCCACGCTAGTGCCACCTGCGGGGTAGCTACAACACACTATGGTGCTGCAGCATGATTTCCAACAAATACTCTCCGCCTTTCCAAGGCAATTTCGAAGTCGGAGGGAATCGAAGACTTAGGTGGTCAGTGTGAGGCAGGGTTTGGAGAGGAAGCGAGGCGTGTGGTGCGTATATGGCGGTCTTAGCGGGGTTATTGATGTGACTCAGATGAGAGACAGGTCAAGGGGCTTGTGTCCGGGGGTCAAAGGCTGCGCTGGGTAGTCGTTTTTGGTGTACTGTTTCCCGGGTTTCTCCTTTAGCCTAGGCCTAGCGCTTCAACGATCAAAACTTTTCAACTGTCTATAGGCCGAGGAGCCTTGCGCAGTTCTGAGGACTAGATAGTCAGTTCTTTGGAGGCGAAGATGAGGAAAGAGATTCAACAAGTATTGAAGGCTGCTTACAAGGCAAAGCTAGCAAGTGTCAATCTGCTTGATTGATGCATGGAGCTATGGACAGTCACTGAAGACCATGTTGCTATGGAATTGCTAATTAGAGTTGCACACGAGGAAGCCTTTGCCCAGGTTGTAATGCCGACGCTGGGTTGGAATCAACTGGGTGTGTCCAAAGTTGACCACGGGCACGACAAGAGGGATGAGAGGTGCCAGTCGGAAATTTTTGGCGTTCGAAAAGACAGCAAAGTCGGCTTTGAGAAAGGCCATTTCCACCTCACCCGCCACATCCGCGTCCAGACCCGAGAAGATAATTTCGCAATCCAGATACTCGGAAGGCACACAACGGCGCATGACCAATTCAGCGATTCCTGCCGGCATTGGTACTGACTGCTTCCAGCGTACTGCATCCGAGTATCGTTTACCCGCAGACCGCTCAGAAGCACCTACGGCCACTAGATCTAGTAGAGGATGCTGGGTGAGCAACAGGACGAACCGTGTTCCAACTGCTCCAGTCGCTCCTAAAACTCCTAATAAGTGTCAGTATCGAAGATCCCAAGGCCGTTGGTGGATTCAAAATAGCCGTAGGAGAAAGATAAGCGCTATAAACTCTAGTCTAGCAGTCGCCTTTCTAAAACTAAGAGATGGTATTTTTGACGGATACATACCGCATCGCTTTTTTGGCAAGGTCTGGGTTTTGGACATCAAGTGTTTGGCCTCCATTATTCTAATCGGGTCACGAATGCGAAATGCTCCTTCCGCAACGATCTTGGATTTGTTCATAATCATTGCCATTTGGCGGAAGCAAGTGAACAGGGACTCGAAATCTGATATAGAGTGATCGGGGATCAAGGCAAAGCTGGAAATAGGGGAGCGCGCCGTGCTGCAAGCGTGTCAATTCAAGACATCTATGTCAACTCCATAAGTATTCACGTGATAAAGCCGATTCGCATCAAGCCGTCTTGGACCTGAAGAAACAACGAGAATAGAGTTCAATGTAGCCTCAAGAACAATGAATTGAACTAGATCAATCGTTCATGGCTGGACGTGATCCCAAGGCAGTCCTTTCGCTTCCATACCCGTGCTGGTCCTCTGCAATTTCCAATACTCGCAAGAGTGAGAATCTGAGCTGTCGCAACCCTGCAAGCGTTGTTCTTGAACTGCAAGCTATCCCATTGACACAACTCCTTCTGCAAATCAATGCCAGCGAACGACAGCACAGATCGGAAGAGCCAACGGGGGAAGTTCGAAAATCTGATTTCGTTTCTGGATTCAACCTTCCTCCACTGTGGGTAGGAACTCTAGCTTTCCTCCCTCCCAAACACGGCCTTCGTCCGAGCGCAACTTTGCGAGTTCCCGTTATTTTGTCAAAAGCAACCATGTGCCACTCTGTTTAGTATGGGACCCATGACCATCCTTTATTCTGTAGTCTGCAGATATTTGAGGATAGTCCAATCAAACACATTATCGTGATTGAAACCCTCGCGTACGAAGAGATCACGGAAGATTTTGCGCAGATAGGAATACTTAGGTTTATCGTCAAATCCCAGGGAGCGGATGTAGTCAAAATAAGCCGCGAACGCCCGAGGCAGGCCCTCACACAATTCTTCAACACTGATCGTCTGCTTCTTCTCCAAAATAAGCTCCTCCCTTTGCTCATGATTCGCGGCCTTGAGACCTTGCCAGGGAAGAGAGGGCCGAATGAAGTAGAGAAGCATATATCCGAGAGATTCTAAGTCGTCGCAGCGATGTTGTACTTGGGTGATTATGAGTTATTTGAACGGCAAGAGGACAGGATGTTGCACTTACCAACACCTAAATGGCCGTTGACGCTGGCAAAACGTGCTGTGCCAACCAAGCTGGGACGCAGAGAACGACCAGTGTTGGCGTCCGCCTGGGCAGGACGTCGTTCCGTCGCGAGACCCAAGTCGGTCACATAAACCTGGTTTCCCTGCTTCCCCACGCCCATCAAGCAGTTCTCCGGCTTGATGTCTCGATGGATGACATCGTGGGCATGGATATACTCCAGACGACAAAGGAGTTGGTCGACGAGCATCAAGACTGTCTTGAGAGAAAATTTGCGACCGCAGAAATTGAACAGGTCTTCCAAACTCGGACCCAAGAGGTCGAATACCATGGCGTTATATTCGCACTCGGTCACATAGGCGTGCACTCGTGGAATACCGGCACCACCAGAAAGCGATCGGTAGATATCAGCTTCACATTCGAGGAAGGAAGGATCGACGGAGATGTGTTCAAGTTTGATGGCAACCTCCTCACCGGAGTCGACATGGGTTCCTTGAGCGCCGTGAGTGAGTCTCAAGAAGCAACTGTGGCCAGACGCATCCGTGATTACCTATGTAGACAGCGCCGAAACTGCCACCACCGATCTTCTCTCGCAGCCGATACTTATCGGCGACGCGTAAGTCCTGATGTTGATGAGTTGTTAGTATAAGCCTTGTTAGTAGTGCAAACCCTGGATGGGGACAGCCAATTGGGTAGGGGTGGAAAAGAGGTAAGATAAAAGGCAAAGTCACTCACCAAATTCGCCATATCGATCGAATTGACAGAGGATAAGTGCTCACGCCATCATTAGACCGACTTGAAAGTTGTCGCAGATGCTAATTGAGTCATGTACCTTAGCGCGTAGATACACTTAGCATTGCTTGGCAATGGTCCTTTCTTCTGATTGGTTGATGGTGGTTGCACGACGCGCGCGCTTATCTAGAGTACACCATGTCGTTCAACTCAATTGCCGGTTTCATAGAGATCAAGGTCCAATGCTTCTAGGTAATATGATCTATTGATATATATATATTAATAGCAGTTCTAGGCAGGAGCCGTTCTCCGTTGAATGGCTACCTGGATGATTGGCTGTCAGCTCCGCAATGCTAATAACACAAAACGCAGTGTTGTTGCGCGAGGCGCGCGCAAACTACACCTCCGCATCTGATTGTTCCCTACCTATCATCCATTTGAGCAGGTCGTTTCAAGAGCATTGAGAATCAATGCCTTCACAAAAGGCTCCAGCGCCCCGAAATCAAAAGCGACAGCTGTCAACTGAAGTAGAGCCTACGACCGACTCTTCGCCGCCGCCCACCGCCAAACGACGAAAGCTCGACAATCAACGGCACAGGACGCCCAATTCCTTCTGGGATAACTTGTCACGGCAGTGGCTCACTCCCCGCGCACTCCAAGAGTTTGATCGAAGAACCGTGTGGCCTGCTGCTCCTGTGCCGCCTGATCGGACCGACAAGAAAGACATTGACCTTACACAGCTCAAGCGCTTGGCGAGACACGGCGGACCAAGCCTAGGTAAACTTCGAGCTGTAAGTCACGTTTAACCATTTTTAAGGATGCTCTCTGACCGCTTGCTAGTATCCTGAACCCGGAACCGCAGATTTTTCCCATCAGACCATGGACTCAAGTCAATTGGGCTCCAGGAAACGAGCCAGAACTGGAAGAGACTCGGATACATCGTCGAAGACCAGGAGAACCTCTGCCTATGACCCTAGCTTCCAGCAGCATCTCATCGATCACGGCGTTTATCCTGATGGGTATGATGATAATGACGACGGCTTCGTATATCCAGACAATTGGGAGGAGATACACGAGAGGCTAGCAAAGCCACGGCCCTCCCTTTCGCCATCACGCTTTCCTCGTGAAGAGTTTCGGAAATTTGAAAAAGCTAATATGCAGGCTTTGACCGAAAACAAAGTAATGAGCAAAGCGTTCCCAGTCATTGCTGGCACCGCCCGGATCCCCTCGCAATACAACCTCCCGTTCGGAAACCTCAAAGATCTGACCGATGGCTCTATCACCAAAGCTAAGCCGGACTTCTACGACGGGACAGGCCCAGCCGAATTACACAAACAGATCCGGGCTGAACTAGGCCCCTACATTGTGCCGTCAACAAATACTGCCGCCCCATGCTTGCCCAATTTTTTTACCGAAGGAAAGGGGCCAGATGGGAGTTCGGCCGTATGTAAGCGACAAGCTTTGTATGACGGTGCTTTGGGTGCCCGTGGTATACAAGAACTCCGGTCATATGTCGTTGGCGAGCCATCGTATGACTACAATGCTTATACAATTAGCTCCACCTATGATGGTGGCAGTGGCGCCCTCACGATATACTCTACGCATCCTGTTCCGTCCAAGGACTCCCAAAATCCGATTGAGTATCACATGACTCAGCTGAGAGGATGGATGATGACGGACACCCCAGATACGTTCCGACAAGGAGCTAGCGCCCTCAGAAACGCTAGAGACTGGGCACAAGAGAAACGGAAGGAGCTTATTGCTGCGGCGAATGGGAAGGCGCCAAACACGGAATCTTCAGAATTAGATTCGTCCACGCATAGCCTTCTATCACCCTCTACAAATGGGATTGTCGAACAAGAATCTGACACATCGACGGATGAGCTTGCGTTGAATGGCACTCTTGCTAGCTCCATTCACAGAACTTCGATCGGACCTCGAAAAGATCCTCCACCAAAAGCCTCGTCATCTCGACGTATGACAAGAGGTCTGGCGAGGGTCTCGGAGGACCTGGGAGACGAGAATAGCTAAGGCGGCGAGATTCGATGAGAGGTGCTTGACAATAGGCACTAGACTCCAAAGCGATGCCATCAAACTCACCAACCGATCACAGTCCACGGTCAAGTCGTGGATGTAGATCCGGAGCCGAAGAGAGACAAGGGCCCATATTTACTGCTATAATTCAAGGAGAAGAGCTACACCATGTTGTAGTTCAGGAGAAAATGATGCTTGCGTAAACGAGATTGGTAAGAGAATCTAAATTGCAGACTTGAGATCATGATGTGATCCATGCAAGTTGCGCGCTAAAAGCTTTGACCTAGGTGACTACCAAACGCACAAGAAAACCCCGCCGGATACGGCGAAGTTTCGCGGCTGTACAAGAGGAAGCGCGTGTCGTTCTGGCCGTCTGGGCCTCATTCCGTGCTTTGTCGGAGAATTCAAGGAAGAACGTTACAGCACGTGGGCCACTATGGTCCATGCTCCTTGCCAGCATATCAACGTTTCGAGTGTCGCGGGATTCAGTAAAATAGAAAAATGCTTGTCGGGTATCGCATCAAGGCTATAAATGACTTAGCAACCATTAATTTTAATATTGTACATGCGCCTTTGGAGAAATCTCATACCGAACGCAAACCGGGCATTCTTTGTGTTGCGTTCCACCAGCGATTCATCGTTTCTAAATGCTGAACGTATAACATAGTTGAACTGCCCATTCTCATACTACATCTGTCTGCGAGTCTACGCATTTCTGCGTTTTCGATGTTTTCCATACTTGCCGTTCTTTTGTGGTCTTTATTAGCAGCTGGACCTGCCTTTTCGCAGTTTCTCTCTCCTCCTACGAACTTGACAACTGCATCTCGTCATCCCGCAACTTATCAAGTACGCTACAAAGATGTCCCGCCGGGCATCTGCGAGCAAAGAGACGACATTAAAAGCATAAGCGGATATGTCGACGTGTCAGCTGAGGAGCACATGTTCTTCTGGTTCTTCGAGGCGAGGAATGCAGATCCGACTACGGCACCCTTGACCACATGGATCAATGGCGGACCTGGAACCAGCTCGATGGTAGGATTGTTCCAAGAGATTGGGCCTTGTGCAATCGATGCAAATGGGAACGTTGTCAACAACCCTTACTCCTGGACAAATGCCAGCAATCTGCTGTTCATCGATCAGCCCGTGCAGACTGGATTCTCATACTCAACAACGACACCCGGGTATATCAATCCGGAAGACGGATCCGTCGTCCTTGCGCAAGATGACATCTGTCCTTCCGACGAAGTCACTAAAGGCACGTGCGGGACATATTCGAATCCCAATGACTTGATTGGGCTTCCGGTCTCGACCTTCACGGTAGCCTCTGCGTTTTATGCGACTTTGCAGGGATTCATAGGAGCTTTCCCACAGTATGCGAGGGAGGGATTCCATTTCGCAACTGGTCAGTAGCGCAACCTTCTGTTACCGCAAGATACTGACACGTTTGTGGGAAGAGAGCTATGGGGGCCACTACGGCCCAGTCTTTGCCGAGTATATTGAGGCCCAAAATGCGAGACAAATACCAAATACGACGAAGATCAGTCTTGAGTCGGTGACTATTGTAAACGGATGGATCGATCCCCTGATACAGGTATGGTGTGGTGAACCATGCGGAGAAGTACTTTTGTCGCTAAATGAGGCGAATCCAGTATGCCGCTTACTATAATTTTACGGTAGCTATCTCCTCTTGAGAGTGCCATCTCGCAAGGACTGAAAATAGCAGGTATCTCCCGGAAACACGTATGACTATATGCCATACAACGACTCCGCCGCGTCGTCGCTATACTCCACCGTCTACGGGTCTGGTGGCTGCGTTGACCAGTTGCAAAACTGTAAAGCTACCGGGACGAATGCCGTTTGTGCGGCAGCCGACAATTTCTGTCTGAACTACGTCGAGAACTTCTACGACGAGGTCACCGGCCGCGATGAGGATGATATCAGAGAACTCGAACCTGATCCGTGAGTCGGGTTCGATCCGAAGGCAAACAGCGCATGACTGGCCATTTTAGGTATCCCCCAGAGTCCTACGTCCGCTATTTGAACGACGCAACGGTGCAGGCAGCGATAGGTGCCTATGTAAATTATACGGAGCAGTCGGTTGCAGTGGCGAATGCGTTCAACACCACAGGCGATGATGGTAGATTGGACGGCACTACAACAGACGTCTTGGTGCTTGTGGAACAAGGCGTTGCTGTAAATACACCTCCGAATCGTATAGCAGCTGCAGCTCACTTCAGAACAGGTCACCATGGTATACGGAGATGCGGACTACAACAGTGTGTACTCCCCATCTCCACTGCAATATATCGACCGAACAAGCTAACAAAAGAAAACAGGCAACTGGCTCGGCGGCGAAGCCGTCTACAACTCCATCCCCGTCCTGGGCTCCTCGACCGCCGGCTACGTCGACATCTCCACCTCCGACCTCGTCGTCCACGGCCAAGCAAAGCAAAACGGCGCCTTCGCCTTCGCCCGCATCTACGAATCCGGTCACGAAGTGCCCTACTACCAGCCTCTGACGGCACTAGCCATCTTCGAGCGAACCATCCACCGTTACGACATCGCCACCGGACAGAACCTCGTCAACCCAGGCTTCGTCACCGTCGGGCCCGCGGAGAGTACGTACCGTGAGGGCAATGCGACGGTGAAGTTCGCGCTGGAGGGGAGTGGCGGGGAGACGATTGTTGATGCTACGACTTATGAGAATGTGGTGGACGGGGAGAGTGCTCCTTCGCGGCAACTGCTCGCTGAGCTCGAGGCTGTCGCGAAGGGAAAGCTTGCGATGGCGAATGCTACGGCTTATGGCAATGTTCTGGAAGGGCTGAAGGAGACTGGGGAGGAGAAGGATCCGATCCATGTGAAGAAGAGAGGGGGGAAGATGCGAAGAGGCGGGTTGATGCGAGATGACGTGACGGGCGTTGAAAACGATGGATTTAGTCGGAGAGGGTTGCATGATTTGGGGACGTAGGCGTCTTTGCTCGCGCTCAGGATTGGGCATCTGTATAACTCTCTGCTCGGCCATGGTGGCTAGAGACTTACGACGTTGCTGCTTCATCGAGGATGAGAACAGAGCGCGGATTCAAGTAGGTGTCGAAGCAGACGGCTTGTGATCTCAAAGGTCTCGATGCTCACCAGAGGGTTCCTGTCAGCAATCTGTCATGGCAATTTCTCTCAGTCAGACATCACCGCTTCCTATGTCGAGTCATTCTGATCGCTCAAACGTAGAGCCAATTCCTTTTCTCCGCGCGATGTTTTGCCTTAGCAGTCGAAGCGCAGACCTGAGGTATCTCATGCGTGGAAGACGCGAATGAGCTGGTCCAAATAACCCGCTCTCTCCTTTGCCAAATGCAAGGGGCTTGGAGAGTGGCACGACCAAGAAGCATGCGTTCCAGAATCGCCGGACTGTTACTCGCCGAGGACTGTTTCTGGGCGCATTGTGCAATAGGCTACCTCGCAGATCCCAGCCGCCTTGGACGTATGCAAGGCTGTGTGGAAAAGACGAATGAGGAAGTTGTTCAGACCACCATGGCGGTTTACCGAAGCTGACCGCCGCTGCTTACTTCGCCCTTTTTCAGCCTGATCATTGCCACTACAGCCCCTTTTCTTCTGGAAGAAGGGTGCGCAATCAGTTTATTCTACGCAGTTTTTTATGATAGAAGTGTTGTCCTCTCCAGCAACATAGTCGGAGACCAAAAGTTTTGGCTTGCGACTCGAGATGTAAGAGCCACATCAACGTACTCTTTAGTCATGTCGGACCCACTGAGCATCGCAGCTGGCATAGTGGGTGTCATTACGGCTGCAGCTCAGATATCTGTACTTTTGACCAATTTCACAAAATCCACCATCGCAGCGCCACAGCAGGCTCAGGTCGTACTCACCGAGGTGAGCGACATAGGTGGAATCTTGTCGCATCTGCAGACATTTCTTCTCGGGCCAGACTCACCTAACAGATCAAGGACTTCCTTGCTCAAGGTGGAAAAGGTGGTGACCATTGTCGGTGGCTGCGTGCATACGTTCTCAGAGCTTGAAAGGCTGCTCGATGAACTGAAGACCGAAGATTTGAACGTGTTGGATCGCTTGAAATGGGCGAGAAAGGAGCCAGTGATCGTGAGTCTTATCGACAGGCTGCAGAACCACAAGGCATCGTTATCTTTGGTGCTCAATATTGTGAATGGGTTTGTCCCTATCCGCCAAGAGCTGTCGTCCGAGTGGGTGCTGATATTTCGTAGACACACGATTGCCGAAGCCACAGACTCGGTGAGCCGACTGCACGGAATCGTAGAGCAATGCTATAAGGAAATGTCATCCAGAGTACAAGCACTGGAGATTCTGGATCTGCAGAGGAGGGGCGGTGCAGATTGGATGTCGGTAGACGATACGGAGTCTCTTGCAACCATCCATGCACGCCCGCCTGATTTGAGCTATGAAGAAGCCATTGGGAGCGAATTATTACGCTTCGACTTCTCGGACGATTTACAAAGGTCTCGTGTTTATAGGAGGACCCAGGCATTTCGCAAGTCTGTCATTTCCGCATTAACGAACAATGTGTACTCGCTGGGATGGTCGTACTTCTCAGACTTGAGTATGGCAGAAGTGTCAAACATTTCGGTGATAAACCTGGCGATCACCGAGGAAGAAACTTACAATCCTCAACGATCCACGCAGACATGGTCAGCCCAAGCAAAGGAGAGGGCGTCTACCGGCCCTTACAACAGTGATTATAGAGATAGACAACACACTCAGCTACATAACGTCCGTGAACCAATTCCAGCAAATAGTTCTGCAGCTGCTCGGGGACGTCGGCCGGCGTCCACCCGGACACAGCAGCAAAGTCTCCACCGGGCTCATTCTCTACCCCCATCTCACCCATTTGAGGATCGTTACAGTCCTTTCCAGTTGGAGGAGCACTATAGAGACAAGACCAGTGCAAATATTACTGAAGATCCAGCCCCGAAATCTAATCTACCACTGGCGGGTCCCTCAGATCCACTTCTATATTCACAACCCCAGAGTACCTCCTCACAATCTTACGAACCAATGGAAGACGAGCCAGCTTATCCGTGTCGAGGTTGCGGGAAGATAATAGGAGAATGGAGAGCGTTTGAACTTGGTGAACCATACATATTCTTCATCAGATACTGTCAAGCTAATGCAAATGCAGGGGGCAGCCGTTGGCACCTTGACTGTTTCTGTTGCAACACCTGCGGTATCATTTGGGGCCCCGCTGCCAATCTCGGCCTCCTCGGCGACGGGTCACTCATCTGCAACGACTGTACGAATAGCTGAAGCGTCGGTAACAACAAGATAGAGGACCTTGTCATTTTCACGGGCGGCCAGACCTTTTGTGCAACATGCTTCAAGTGTCGAGGCTGCAAAAAGAACATCGAGAACCTGAAATACGCTCGGACTTCGCAGGGATTCTTTTGCATGGAGTGTCACGAATCGTTAATGCAAAGGCGTCGGAGGAAAGCGAGCACAGCCTTAGCCATAAGAAAAAAACAACCAGAGCAGACAATCCCAAACAGTCCCACAACTGTACAAAATCGGATTGATAAGGAATTGCCAGTGCTACCACCGCCACTGCTACGAGTATCACCAGAGCTGAGAGATACGATTTCCAACGCGATTACTCTGGCGTCGGCCTCAAGCGGCTCAAACACACCTACCAGCCCCTCTATGACTTTCTTTCGATGCCTGTTTGATGAAACGTCGCCTTGAGAACCATCAGCACATGTATGTTACAGTTTATGTTGTAGAAGAGCTGTTACATGACGTTCCTGAAGAGATTAAAAATTGAAGTAGACCAAGAGCGGTGAATGACGCCAAAGATGCACATATCCATGCACATCTGTGTATCAGGTACAAATGTCCCTATGTGCTTACGGATGTAATGTTGTTTGAAGCGTGCACGACTATGAGTTCAGGAAGACTGAAAATGCGCAGCAAGATATTAAGGGCGCCGCATCCGGCCTAGCGCCAAATGCCACTCCGCCTCGGGAAAAGTGATGACTGAGACATCGAACGAAGCATGACTCAACACCACATGGTCATGACCCGGTAATCTTCTCTCAGGCCGGGATAGCAGCCCACAAGACACATACCCTCAACTGCTACCCGCACCCGTCTCAATGGCATCCAACTCCACCCCCCCAATCCTCATCCCCCGCACCCCCACCTCCCCCCTCGACCCGAGCCTCCGCACATCCCTCCAAGACGCAGTCTTAACCCCCAAAACCATCAAAACCCTCCGCACAACACTGGAGACGGAAACGCAGGCCGCAGACTGGCAGGAGAAGGTGAAGCAGCGAACGCTGCAGTTGCTGGAGAGTAGGGAGTATTGGAAGTGGGAAGATCTGGTTGGGGTGATTGTGAGGGAGGCGAGGGGTGTTGAGGAGGAGGAGGAGGAGGAGGAGGTGGATGATGAGGGGCAGGGAGATAAAGAGAAGGGGGTGAATGGAGGACGGAATGGCGAGGGCGAGGAGAAGGTGGATATACGGATGCCGGAGAAAGCTATTGCGGAAGCGGCGACGGTGGTGAGAGGTGTGCTGGATCAGAGGGTGGAATTGGAGCCTGAGGGGAAGGGGTTCTGGGATTGAAGAGGGGGCGCGTTGGTGTCCGGAGGAGGAGAATCGGCCTCTGAATGCTTCCGGTGTGGGATCCTACACGCCTCGAACTTGCGAGCGATGTCATGGCTATGATTAGAGTATACCGTCACGGTTTCGGCTAGTGAAGAATGTCGGGTACTCACGGTTGAGACTCGGGCTTGGTCTTGCAGCCAAGGTGGAGACCGGCGTCAGGAAGAGTCACTAGGCTGGCAGAGTCATGAAGAATAAGGATTGGGGCAGAGAGCCAGAGCAATGAAATGTCTATCGAAAGAAGATTGAGACTGCAATGTGGATCATGCGTCTAAGTATGAGAGGGAAGGAGAGGAAAGGTTGCAAGGCAATGAAGGAGCTTAGACATGGAGCTTAGACACGATTGAAACGAGTATGCAAAAAAATTACTTCGTTGGAGCGAAAAGCCCTCGGTGAAAGTGAATGGATGTAGAATGCTTCTGAATCTAAAATCTGCTTGCTGTTCAAGTATCTAAGGCACATCGCACCGGTTGAAGTGACCATTCTACTATGTGCCCTGCCCTTCTCGCCGAGATGCCATCAAGTGATAGCGCACAAACACCGTGTATGCAATATTGTAAAGAACCGAGGTTTCCGAACCCAAATGCACACCAGGGCTTAGCATCTAGTCGTAAAGAGAATCATCGTTGCCAGCGTCACCGAATCCATTGCCGTTCCCTGCAGCATCAGCAGCTGCGTCCGCATCTGGAAATCGGAAAAAGTTGCTTCCACTGGAGTTCTTCATGCTCTGTGCGAATGCTTCGTAGCGACGGACCTCAACATCAGAGACTGATCTCCTAGCTGACTGCATAGCCTCCTCGAAATGGGCTTTGGTAAGCTCGGGAACTGGGTCCTCAGCGTCAATGTCTTCCTCCATCTTGACGTCTTCACCAGCAGCCTCACGCTCCTTGGTTCGCTCAATATCAATGGAGATGGATTGCTTGATGGCGAGCTTAACGGCACGCTGAGTGACGAAGCCGAGATCGGCACCAGAGAAGCCGTGAGTGCGGCTCGCAATATAGTTAATGTCGACGTCATCAGCCACAGGAGTCTTGCGCAATTGAGCCTTGAGGATACCGATACGCGAGGTTTCGTCAGGCAGGGGAACGTAGACCAAGGTGTCGAGACGTCCAGGACGGCAGAGAGCGTTATCAAGCTGCTCGGGACGATTGGTGGCACCGATAACGAAGACGTTCTTTTTCGAAGTCATGCCATCCATCTCTGTAGAATGAGTTAGTATACCGTAAGAGAGCTGGACATGAGTCACTCTGGCTTACCTGTCAAGAGCTGGTTGACAACACGATCGGAAGCTCCTCCAGCGTCACCATTGGATCCACCGCGCGACTTCGCAATGGAGTCCAACTCATCAAGGAAAACAACACAAGGAGCGGCGGCCCTAGCCTTGTCGAAAATATCTCGAATATTGCTCTCCGACTCACCGAACCACATGCTCAGCAGCTCAGGGCCTTTAATCGAGATGAAGTTGGCAGCGCACTCGTTGGCGACTGCTTTGGCAAGCAAAGTCTTACCAGTACCTGGGGGACCGTAGAATAGAACACCACGAGATGGCGAAAGACCGAATTTGAGGAATTTCTCAGGGTGATCGACGGGATATTGGACGCTCTCGATAAGCTCGCGCTTGACGTTCTCCAAGCCTCCAATGTCATCCCAGCGAACGTTGGGTACCTCCACAACGGCAACTTCACGAAGAGCAGAGGGATTTGAGACACCCAGTGCGAAACGGAAGTTCTCCATAGTGACGCCTAAAGAGTCAAGGACCTCCGCATCGATGGTATCCTCGTCCAAATCAATCAGGTCCATCTTCTCACGGATCTGCTGCATAGCAGCCTCAGAGCAAAGAGAAGCAACATCTGAACCAACGTAACCATGAGTCTCTGCGGCAATCGACTCGAGGTCAACATCTTCTCCAAGCTTCATGTTCTTGGTGTGGATCTGGAGAATCTCAAGGCGGCCAGTGGGGTCCGGGATACCGATGTCGACTTCACGATCGAAACGCCCGAAGCGACGAAGCGCAGGATCGATGGAGTTGGGTCGATTCGTGGCAGCCATGACTACCACGTTTGAGCGGGCTTTCATGCCGTCCATGAGAGTCAGAAGCTGAGACACCACACGGCGCTCAACCTCTCCGTTGGTCTTCTCACGCTTGGGTGCGATGGAATCGATCTCGTCGATAAAGATGATTGCTGGAGAGTTCTTCTCTGCCTCCTCGAATGCTTTGCGGAGGTTTGATTCTGATTCTCCGGCCATCTTGGACATGATTTCAGGACCGTTGATCAAGAAAAAGAAAGCTCCAGTCTCGTTGGCCACAGCACGAGCCATCAAAGTCTTTCCGGTACCGGGAGGACCAAACATGAGAATACCACGAGGAGGCTTGATGCCGATGGACTTGAACAGCTGAGGATGTCGGAGAGGCAGTTCGACCAACTCTCGGATCTGGGCCATCTGCTTTCGGCATCCACCGATGTCATCATATCCCACCTCATTCAGGTTGCCCTCCTCGTCCTCGCGCTGAATGGGCTCTCCTTCACAATGTATGACGGTATCTTGTGCCACAATGCCGAACTCTGGTGGATCGACCTCTACGACCTTGAACTCAACCTGCCTCATGCCTCCACGGACTGTGAAAAGATCACCTTGTCGTACCGGTCTGTAGGCTTCGCGGAAATAGGGAGCGAGGAAGACATCGAAAAGGGAGCCAGTTAGGCCTTCGACGGTATCAGCGATGGGAAGGACGGCAATACGCTTGGCCTAGTGGTGCGTGTTAGAGACTGCTTAGATCGTGTGAAGGGCAGGTTAGGAACTTACGTATTTGATATCTGGACACGCGTGAACAGTGACGATATCACCGTGCTTAACGCGGAGATTGTGGCGAACCACGCGGTTCATACGTGCTGATCCATCATCAAGATCATCATCCGCCAGCACGATCAGAACGGTATCCTTTCTCTTCTTTCCTTTCACGAGTACTGTATCACCACGGAACAGCTGTAGCGTCTCCATGGTGTTGTTGGATAGTGCGATGATTGAGTTGTCATCGTTAACAGCATCGGTAACACTATTGCCACCACCAAGTCAGCAAACCCGGGTTCCAAAAGTCTAGATGGGCAAGACCTACATCAGAGAGTTGGGCTTCTTCTTCTTCTTGAGAATAGCCGTTGCTGTGTCGGACTCCTGAGGCATGTCAGTGACAAGTTTCTGGATATCTTCGGCGCTGCTTAAGCTCACCTCTTTCTTCTCAGCTCCGGAGGCATCACTGTCACGGCGTCAGTATCAAGTCTCGTGAGAGATGGAGCAATAGCTGGACTTACTTCAAGTTGGCCTTGACCTTGGCC